AGAGATAGAGATGGGATTCTAAAGAGACGGACAGTGAATGGAGTTAGGCAGTAGATTTAAATGCAAGATCTTACATTTGTTCTGAGAATAGTAGAAATTAACAGGAGAAATACTTAAACTTACCATCGTTCTTCCTCGTCATTATCATATTACCTAGATACCTACCATACTTAATTTTATAACACATTATAATACAAATACTGTACTACCGGACAATAGAATCCCAACATCCCAATTTAGTAGTTCCTCATTAACCCATCCAACCACCCATTTATTAATTTAATCAATTCCATGAATCATAAATAACGATACCTATCTACCTGCCTCCTACTTACCTAGCTAACCTTAGCTAAGAGTCTAGTGACTAACTACCTCCACACCTAGTAGCATAACATTTATTTATACACATATACATCTATACCTATTCTACCTTCTACCTACCTTCTACCTACCTTCTACCTACCTTCTACCTACCTTCTACCTACCTTCTACCTACCTTCTACCTACCTTCTACCTTCTACCTTCTACCCTCCAACCACCAACTTAAATCCATCCCATTCAAATCATCTCAAACTCCAAATCCGAAAATATCTTCACCCACCTTCCTCCATTAATATCCCTTCAGAAAAAAAAAACCTCACTAGAGCTTCAACTCTTCTACTTGTCTGTTTTCTTTTATCTATTTCCACTCCCTGCCTTTTTTTTTTTTGCTTTCTCTTTTTGCTTTTGCAATTAAAATTAAAATTAGAAATGTATAATAAAAAGAACAATACACTATTGAAAAGGGATATATATTTGCTTTCTTCCCTGTTTAAGAACTTATTTTAACCGATGAAGTACTTGATAAGTAGATCTTATTATGTTTAGCATTTGGCACTAGTCATCTTTGATGAGGTTTTATGTGGATAGAGGGAAAGATGTTTGCGGGGTATTTATTGAAGAAAGGAATGAAGGTGAATGGGTGAGTATACTAAATTTACGAAAAGATTTCATAGTATATATCTTTACTCATTCATTATAAACACATACATATATCAAATATGCAGGGTATAAACCTATTTATCCAAATCTCCAAGGTATCTAACTCATCCTCATAAAGCAAGCCAAACCAAGGCAAAGCACACAAAAAATAATGCAAGAGAAATGACAGCTCTAACCCTGTAATCCAATACCGTCTTATCCCCACGCCTGCAAACAAATTCGTTCGAACTGTGATGCGTCCTAAACATATAACTCAAAGAAGTATAAAGCCCCAACATTAAATAAAATATCCCCAAGCTCCTCTACAAAATAGCCAAAACGAGAATCACCCCCATAGCCGTAAATATGCCAACAGCTACCAAGCTTTGAAAAAAACTTATCCAAATGCCTTGACCTTGTTCTTTCCGTAGAGTTCTCAACCCTCCTTCTTTGTTTGTGTATGGTGAGATTGTGCCGTACCCGGACGATGAAACCACCGCGCTCTTCTCGACATCGATGGTGTCAAATGGTTGCTATGTGTAAGTGGATTAGCGGATGGTACATAATGATTCAAGTGAATGAATATGTACCATGATGCTAGAAGGCTTGGATTCCTCTGGGAAAGAATTTTCTGGGAGAGCTTTGTACTCCATCTTTCTGGCGGGAGTTGGAAATGGGTATGGTAGGTGAAGCATGAGGTTGAAGTCCTGAAATGGAAAGAATAGATCCGTAGTTGCGAGAAAGGGTAGCTGATGAGGAAATTTGCAGAGTTGAGATGACCCCGCAGATTTGAGATATTCTCTGAATATTGATTTAAGCAAACATGGAAATCTCGAGGAAGCAGTCTTCTTTTCTTCTAAAAAAAACCCACGTTCTGATATTGTTACACTAATTTCCTTATCTGGCGATTCTGCACATAAAATCAATTTGGTGTGTAGTTGATAAGCCATGAAAGTCTGCTGCAAAAGCCATGTGATGGTGCTTATCTCTGCACAGGGGTTCAGAAAATGGCACACTCGTGATTTCTCATGCAGAAAAGATCCGGCAAACATCCGCCACAGTGAAAAAATAGATAACACTTTATATGAGACACGAATAGAGAGGATCCGGTTGATAAGATGGTGGGTAGCAATATCAGCCGGATTGAGGGGCTAAAGCCAATATGATAATTATTAGAAAAATTGTCATGTGAGGTCCATAAAAGACAACAACTGACGCTGTGCTTGTGAACTCGATTTGAAATTTTTATTACACGGCAAAATTTTGCGGCAGAATTCTCCTCCATTGCAAGACACAATTGCTGGCTTGGGAGGGTTGCAGATGCTGCCAACAAACATGAGCATACAACTAGTACTACCATAGACGATGGATATGAGGCCATTGCAGGGAGAAATACCCACATTGAATCATGCAGATGACGGGGCATGCGACTATATTGCGCGAGACTTGGTGCCAGAAGAGTGGTGGCATGAAAAGATAAAAATACTTGGGAACAAGATATCTAACGTCTAACGATCATGCATGCCTCATTGGTACTAACCAAGAGTATTCCAGTGCCCCATATGGATGAATGTATAGAAATGGCAAATCTCTACTGTCTTTTTTATCAGACCATAAAACCGCAAAGTGTACATTATGTATGGTACACGCATACACTGGTGCTGAAGCTAGGCAATGCTTTGAAAAGGCTGTCGAGGTCCTAAAGGATCTAGTAAATTCCAAGCAGGTATCAAAGCTTATACCTTAGAAAGTCTCTACTTTCTTACACATTCAGAGCCATCCTGCCTGATGTTTTGTGATGGCTATCACTTCATAATGTGCAGGCGGAGAATGGCTTCTTATAAATTGCTTAGAAAGGGACACAGATGTTCATGAATGTTGCTCTGGTAGCACTTGAACGATTCAGCATGAGCATCAAAAGATCTTCAGTTCCACCCATTTGTAAGTTTTATATTGCATATTGGAGGATATCGGCGCCACCGTTCGAGCGAGTCGTAGCAATGGGACATTTCTCGTCTGATCTTTCGCACAGGAAAGGGACAACGCCCTTCTGCAAAGTTAGCTGTGTATAGTATATTTTATCAAATATTCGTCTGACTTTGAGAATTAGATTGCGGTAATGCTAAGACTCTAAACATATCTCGACCTTTGAAGACGGAGGAGGAATGACGGTTAAATTTCCTCAGCTCAATTGAGAATTTTCCAACCGCATAAAGATTTTTTTCGACAATCGCCAGGGCGTATTCAAAACATCGTTGTCAGATAGGGTAAAATTAAGAAGTTTGAGAGCTTTTCTCATGTTGTTGAAGTTGTGCTGCGAAGAATTGATAAAATAACAGGATAGGCTGAAACGCTGGCTGGCTTGGTTCACCGCCTGCAGAATAGATAAGATCTTTACAATAATGCCAGAACAAAACAAGTTTTTGGACTAAAGGTAGTGTAGTAGGTACATACTCGTGTTTCGTATTTCGTATCTCGCATCTCGCATCTCGCATCTCGTATTGGCACTCCAAACCCATTGGAAATCGTACAGTCTCTTCTGTGCAATGATAGGTGTGTTCGTAAGGTAGGTCATTACTCAGAGGATGGCTATGGCTATGGCTATGCCTCGTCAGCCATGATGCAATCATTGCAAAGCCACAGTTCAAAATTCACCAACGGATACCAAGTAGGTAGGTAGGTAGGTATTTATATGAACACTCACATTCACATTCACTTGTGCTCGTCGTCTTTGTCGTTCACAGTCACAGTCACATTCACGTTTGATTTTAACTTTATCCTTAACCACTGGGCATCCTTACTTCCTTACCCTCTCGAACAACCCCACCTTCCACTTCCCCCACAACAACCTTATACCTAGGTAGTTACAGATAACAAATTCTACAACAGCAACTACAACAGCAACAACAACATCAACCTTTTTCCATAGCAGTAACATGACTGAACCATCAAATAATACAACTAAACCGTCAGCTTGGGAGAAAACCAAGACTGGCGGTAAGGTTGCTTTTGATAAAGGATGGGCTGCATTCGAGAAGTTAGGAGGACCAGTTAATAAGCTCACAAATAAGATTGGATCTGAGGCCTTCTGGCCAACGGGGATGGAGAAGGAATGTGAGAAAGCTGCTCGAATCCTCAAATCGTTCTGTAGTACGTCTGTGCAATACTCTCAACTACAAAAGACCCACTAACTATTTGACAGAAGATGGATTTATGGCGGAGCAACAAAAAGATGCATCCTTAGATCCAGAGACTAAGAAGAAAGCCCAAGATGGACCCAGCAAACCACCAAAAGTTCTTGTCAAAATCCCCCAAAAGGTTATCAAGAATTGTGTCGGTCTTGCAATTTACACCACAATGCGTTCTGGATTATGGGTCTCCGGAGCAGGTGGATCGGGTGTTTTAATTGCCAAGAATGAGAAGGGACAATGGTCACCACCGTCCGGTATTCTCGTCCACACTTTGGGTGTAGGATTCATGGCCGGAATCGATATCTATGATTGTGTCATTGTTATCAATGACCGCAAGGCTCTCGATGCATTTAGTAAATTACGTGTCTCCCTCGGTGGTGAAATATCTGTTGTCGCTGGGCCAATCGGGAGTGGGGCTATCTTGGAGAGCGAGCTCTTGAAGAGTCGAAAGCCCTTGTTCTCTTACATGAAGAGCAGAGGTTTATATGCAGGAGCACAGGTTGACGGAACCATAATTATCGAGCGTAATGATGAGAATGCGAGATATTACGGCGAAAGGTTGCCAGTGGCACAAATTTTACAAGGAAGAGTCCCGTCACTTCCACCAACGGCTGAATTGTTGATGGAGGTCGTGAAGGATGCTGAGGGAAGGCCAAATCTAAATCAGGCTGTCTTGCAGCAAGTCTACAATAAGCCAGCTCCTGCAGATGTGGAGATTGTACATTCAGGAGAGGCTAGTGTGGATGAAAAGAAGAAGTATGGAAACCCGAACACGGCCGAGGGTTATGCTATTCAGCAGCAACTGCATGGATATCAACAGCAGCAGCATCCAGGATATACACAGGGTAACGACCTGTATTATCCACCTCCACCTCCAGGGTCCCCGCCTCATCAAGGTCAAAATGCCATGGACCAGGCTCCTCCGGCTTACTATCCGCCTCCGCATCCATCGGAGTTTCCACAACAGCAAGGAAGTGGTGCAACTGAACACGGCTATTATGCACCCGAAAAACCACCTCGCCCAACTTGAAGAGTTGTTAGGATAAAGATAAATTAAGTCTTAGCTAGTTTGGCTTACTTATTGTTCGGGTTTTAGTTGATTCTGAAATTGCTCCTCCGATTATTAGCTAGTCTTGATTGGTAGAATGAGTAAGATACGTTGTGATACACTATGGCATGAGACGCCTGCTTGAAAGATATTCAACCAACCATTTTTGTTATGATCAACCTCGAGTTGTACACAACCACTTAGACCACGTTTGTAGACACTCAATCATCGCGTTGTGTACATCGGTGTCTACGAATATCGCACAAAGCATGTTGAATCGAAATGTCATGGAGGCTGAAAACGGGGATTATTGCTGCCTCCGCAATGATACTAATATTAACCTTATTGTACGAAAGAACCCGGAAAGTTCCTTCTCTATATTCTATGGGCATTTTCAATAAACAATATTGGCAAGCTTATAATAATATTTGGAAGCCTGAATTAAACATATTGATACAAGTTACCTCCCTATGTGGGTTACACAGGGATTCCTTTTCGGCCGGAAGAAATTTTACCCGAGACCGGCTAAGGTCATGAGTAGGTATTGTGGCTCCTTCCATCAAAAGTTCATCTACTTGATAACTTCTTTCCCACTTTCATGTCCCTTAGATCTATCTTTTCATTCAAGTACTCTTCCCTTGATTGCGAGAGCTTGTACTCTGAGGACTCATTACGTTGTACTACCAAGAATTACCCGAATTCCGATTTTCTTGGGTGTCGATCATCATCGAAGCTCCAGTCGGAGATATCTTGGAGAACATCCCTTGGGCTGGTCCAAACATGTTCCTGACAAGTCGGTGCAAATTTAAATTTGACTGCATGTTGGTCGATAGGCAAACTTTAATATATTTAACTTGCTCAGGTAGCTCAGAAAGCCGGCGAAGACTCCATGACCGACTAGGATCTGTTTTTACATAAATTCGTTCCTGACCCAATTACTGGCCTCTGCTCTACTTGCGAGAGAGAGCTTCCACTTTTGATATACCATAATCTCATATTGAGACGCTATATAGGCACATTTGACCAGTGCTACTGCACTTTTATTTTGCCAACCAAGTAACAATGCTTAGGTCTCCCTGGATGCTATATTAGCAACGATGGCACGTCTGGGTTTACAGCTTACTATTCAAAAATACTCCGCCCTCAGCTCCTTCAGCTACACCTTCTGGCATATAAGGACTTTTGATTGCAATCCGTTCGAACCTTCTGACTCATTTCGCCCCTTATTCCCCTCCTGGCATACTTACTTAATCTGGAACGACGACTATGGAATTTTTACAACTTCTGTCAGTGTTTAAATCTATAGCAAATACTTTTATCAAAGATTCTGAGGGCAATATACCCACTCCCTGAGCCGTTCTCAAGTTCGCACATTGACTTCATGGAGCTAAGGAATGCAATTACAACAATAAAGGCACAGCACATGGCAGGTTTATCACGCTTGAGGTGGTATTGAAGCCGCAAACTTTTGCATTCTTGCTAAATTGTAAAAAAGGCAGAACTTTTCTTATCCTTCCGACTGAACGGCAAAGCATAACCTATCCTATTACGTCTCTCAATCACAACTTATTCTTCATGACCTTCCAATGGAGTCAGCATCTAACCTTCCAGCCTCTCCTAATCTCCAAATGGCCGTTCGCCCCGATAGTGTGGTGGAAGCTTTTCAGACTGAAATCCCAAGCTGGTGATAATGTTAGTAACATTACGCATGGTCCAAAAGTTACATCCGTACCTGATGATTTAACAGCCAGTGCCACAAGCGCCGCAGGCTTTTCCTGGGATTACCCAAACTTCCCGCCCATTGGCAAGGCAAGTTGGGCATCTGACACCGGGCATCTGGTTCTCTTTTAGTATCAATCAAACCACAATCATATGAGGTGCAATATCTTACGCCGGGCATCTCAGTCACGCCAAAGGACTCTGAAATTTCACTCAAGGGCATCAAAAGTGGCTCGATTGAAGGGAGAATGTTCATCTCTTCTTGAAAGATGGTCTCGAATGGAATTGGTTGAAAAGGCATCTTGATTGTAGTTGATTGAGAAGAATGTTTGACTTGATAAACAAATATGGGATGATCGTGTGTTGGAATAATGAAGTTGTTTGGCTTGATGCGGTTCTTTGGATTGATGAGCTTCAACTTCAGTCGAGTGGAAGTGGTCATTATATAAATTTCAGGATCGGGTCAAGAAGGGTTCGAATTTGATCTGACAAAAGGAAAGATGGATTATCTTATGACTTTGCGGTTGCCTGCATCGTCGAATGCATCTGCAACTAATCAAAAGGGTAACTGCGATTCCTTTCCCAGATTAAATGGACCATCCGAAACTAGGAACAATCGTGCCTTTCTTGAGCACAGTGACAAATCCAAACATTGCAACACCGCATGATGGAAAACTTGAGCGACACTTGTTTTATCAATGGTACTAGTGATCAAAAGTAAGGTAGATGTCCGTGTCATTTCAAGTCAGCAGACCTATTACCTGCATTGGTATTCTCTCTTTGATCTAAATGCAGCAATCGTCGGTCAGTAATGATGGTATATTGATAGGTCGATCGTCTTGGCTTCAATCCTCGCACCAGGTTATCATGGCCGCTCAGCGAATAGTACAAGGAGTGTACCTGAAGGTGACCGGGCCAACTTTTAAGAGCTAAATGTGACCAGGCATCAACGCTTCTCGGTTTCAATCCAATGATCTTGCATATTCTGCAACTATCCATGCGGACATAAGAAATCCGCATGGTTCGAGAGCGTGTTCGGAAGATTCCAGCAGTTGAAGAATTTCTTTTACTGGGCGACAGACCCTTCATGCAGCTTGCAAGTGGGCGTCAAGCCATTATGTCCTTGCATTTCGAAATATCCCTAACGGGATTACAGCCCAAGCCTAAGGGGTCATTACACAGATAGAGATTAACGAATTCATGTCCGCACATTATTTTGCACTCAAAAATACCATCATATCAACGATATTGCAGGATCGATCCTAAATACAACGATTCATTGTGCCTCCCAACCAGTGGTTGGAAGATTAAAACCCCATTTTCAATTATGTTGGGGGTCATAACGTGGGTGAAGCTTTGTGATTGATCATTTCTGACAGAAATGGAAACCTATTTTCCGACTTGTCACTTTTTACGGCGTGTATCGGATGATACAAGTCAAAAATAATCTTTCTATTCAAGAACGGCAGTTGGCTTCTATGCATGCATCTGTGGCTAAGTCTACCAAACCGTCGGAATGTTTTGATATGAACCATTCGGCACTGGTCACGCCCGCGATAATTTGGGCACAATCGTATAATCGAAAGATTTTCAACAAAGATGTCAGAATTTGATATTGATCAACTCAGCGCATCATCCACCGACAATCTACGCTCATCGAACGAGATTAAAATTGGAAAGCATTTGACGCAAAAACCCAAATTCTCCGAATCTCATAATGAGTTGAGATCGACAGGGACTTTGTTGAGTCTTTTGATACCCGGGACGAGGAAGGTGCGTTGTGTAATTAGGATCTGTGTGTTACATTTTACAACATACGGAGTGGTCCGACTGCATCCGGAGTTATTTCCTATCCCTCTTTGAAGCAGTGGGGAAAGTTCTCACTAGTGGACATTGCCATGCAACCCATGTGCAAATTTGAAAATTATCGTCAAAAATCGATTCGATACAAAGGGTTTTATTTTTTGTGTTACATTTACACACACATATGTTTTATTGGGCCAAACCAAAAGTTCGAGCAACATAAGCCAACACATCAAAGTGCATTAAATACATCAGGAAGATGTGACATTATATCATATCACGACGAAAAAGCTTGAATGGATAATCAATTTTCATATCTATTTAAGTACATAGATACATATTTTCCAAACCTTCAATTTTATTGTCATTTGTTCATTTAAATGCAAAACCGGTCAATCATTATGAGAGAATTTGATATTTTCTGAATCTTCCATCTCACAACATGATATCTTCTATGCTTTTCCATTCGATTTTTTATCGATATATTAACATGGTAACGCAATCCACTGTATGATATATGTAACTTTGCAGAAGTAGCCGCCACCAACTTATCCCCAGCCCACTTACTTGAACATAATTAGATGTCCAACATAAAACCGATCTCTCTAATCGTATGATATCCAAGTCGGATTGGCATGCATGCACGAGACTACATTAATCTATAAAATTAAAGTTCCTATGTTACGGAGCATGTTTTTGATATGCGGAAATAAATCACTAATGTCCTTAATCTATCGGTCGGGTAGATGCAGATGAAGTCGATTTTTTTTTTACTCTTTTTTTTGCATCAGAAGTTGCGGTGGAACGATGGAAACGATGGAAACGAACCGTTATGTTGGGATTTCTATTGGGTTCCAGTTGTGCGATTTAAAGGGAATAAATCAGCGTTGAATATTTTCACATTTTGATTGTTCAAATCATGATTCTAGGAGTTATTGACTTTATTGGCACAGCTATTATAGAATCACCTTATTTTTTTGCTTCGTCATTGCATCGTTTCTGAATCGTATGCTATGGTATGGATATCGCATTATCAAAAATGTACGTCGAGAATACCAATACCAATTATTCTCTCACACATGGCAGAGAGGCAGAGTAATTAGATTGAAAATTTGGAGGAGGGAGGGAATTTGTCTTGCGAGTACAATGGTTTTTGGCTTGTTTGTTTGTTGAATGATAAGATTGAGATGATGAGATGATGAGATTTTTCTAGAATGGGATGGATGGATTTTACATGGTTTGGATGGTCTGGATGTTTGGACGCGATTTGATGTTGATTTATTTCTTCAAATGAATGGTATGGACTGGGATGGGATTGGTTGGGTGGGATGGATAGACAGGATAGATGGATAGATGGATAGATGGATAGATGGATAGATGGATAGATGGATAGATGGAGGGATGGAGGGATGCACTGGTATGTAATAGCGTGTTATTCATCAACCTGCCTTGTTTTGTGCTACGCTCCTATGATCGCCAGATCAATGGGATGAGATTGGATGGGTTAGACTATGGCTTTTTGGTAGAGTTGTAGTAGGTTGTTATAGTAGCATTGAAAAGCACTAGTATAAGCATCCCCGGAAAATGATTTACACCTGTAACGATACTGTACTGGAGGCAGCGGCTGCCTAAGGTTTCGTCTGGTTGGTAGTTGTGGGTTAAGGCTTTATCACTGGTATTCACTTGGAAGTGAATTCGTTACTAGATCAAGTAGAATGTAGGTAGACTAATTGATAACTAAGTTGAACATGAAGCTTCCTATACTATGAAACTACTCTGACTATATAATGATCGATAAAGGGAGCCCCCAGGAGCTTTCTGGCTCCTCAGGGCTCCTTATCACGTGATTACTTTTCATCCCAGGACACTAATCCTAATGGTGAATCGTGACAGCACCCTGTGCGCGGTAATTCTAAGAACTTTGGTTTATTTTGTGTATATATATATAGATAATGAATTTGTAGAGAGTGAACATATAAGTATATCATGAAGTGTTAATTTTAACTATTTAGATAGTTATATTTTTATAAAGAATTTTTATTTTTTCTTTAATTTTTGATTTTTGATTTATAAATTCTATCTTCAAAATTTGTTCATTATATATCAAATCTTTATATAATTATTTGAAATTTTTTATAATAAATTATTATATTTATATATACGGGGGTTTCTGGAAGTGAAGGAACTAGCTCAAAGCCCCTTTAAGGTTAGCTCTCTTTAAGGATTTTGTAGCAACATCCGCTACAGGTAGGTGTAACGCATATTACAACATAAGCAAGACAGTAGGCGCTACCGATGTATCTACTTTAAATAGTCTTTCAGGTAGCTTATGAATTCTATAGTTTTACAATCCACAACTTCTTGACCCTATAGATTTACTACCTTCATTCAATAATTACCTTTATTGACTAGGAATATTTCAAAAAGAATAGTTCGAATAGGTTTTCTAATCTATAAAAATCATTTATTTAGGTTTAGAAGTTATTTTATAGTCTATTTATTATCTTTTTTTAATTGTAAATAAAGTCTTTTAAATAAGAATATATAAATAGTTTTCTTCAAAACTTCTAACTTCAAGAAATTCAGGGCTTGCTTTAACTCTTATCTAAATATTTTAAATGAAAGTAAAATAATCATTTAGAATACTATTAAACAAGAGTAAGATATTAAACCTTATATAATTAGTATACTTTAAAAATAAACTAAGTTATATTCTCAAAATTAATTCTTAAAGTGAAATGAGTAATACAGAAATATATATATGTATATATACAAAGTGTTACATCGCATTAGGAGTACCGGGCCGGGCCGCTTTGGTTCGGTTTGTTCTGGTCTGAGATGTGGGTTTGTATACTTGAGTTATATATGTATTTGGATGAGTGTGTGTGAATAGAGTAGATGAGTTGTTTGGATAGAGATGAGGTAATTATATGAGTAGTATATATAAAAAATAATATTTTCAAGTTTTGAAAAATATTTCATTTAAATAAATAAATAAATAAATAGACTGACTGATTATAATTATAATTAAATTGAATTATAATTAATCAAAGATTGAATAAATTTACAATTATTTAAATAAAATACTCAAGTATACATTTATTATAAAATATTTAAAAATACATTTTGAAATTTAATAATTAATACTTTTAAATTTGAATATAAAAAATATAAAAGATTAATCAATTAATATAAGATTATTTCGAATTTTAAACAATATTTAATTAGGAAGAAATTTTTTTTTTTAAAAAAAAGTAAAAGGATGAAAAAATAAACAAGATTCGAAAACCGTTGTCTTTTTTTTTAAAAAAAAAAAAAAAAAAAAAGTTTATATATTAATTTATTTATAAATATTTACATTTTTGTATTAATTAAATATATTACTTTATTTATAAATTAATTAATATTTTTATATTCATTAATAAATACTGAAATTGATTAATACTATAGAATATATCAAAATATAAATTAAAAAAATGTACTATGATTAAATTAATCAATCAATAGATTAACTATATTATCTATGATCTATCTACTATCTTCGATATACGAGTACTATACTATACTTGATATCTATCCAACACAATCCATCTAGTACCATCCATCTACATAGCACTATCTACATCTACCAGATATAGATCCAAGCAAATCATGCATCCACCATCACATCCATCATCAAACCATCCATACAATATATCCTCTCCAATTCGAATACCAACTCCTACTCCAACTCCATTACCATTACCAAATCCACTCCAAATTCCAAATCCATTTCCAATGCTGAGACCCATTCTTGAATCTCCAAGAATTCTCAAGAACTCAAGAACGCCGTACACCTACACTCCAAACAAATCAAACCAAACCAAACCAAACCAAAAATGACATGACCAATAATGTAAAATCCTAATGGGGTATCTTCTCTTTCCATATTATTTCTCTTCCCGTTCGTTCGTCCTTTTCCCACATTCATACACCTTCTCATCGATCGATCCCTTCTTTAATTTCCTTCATCTTCCCTATCTCTTTCCACCTTTTCTGCGCCTCACTTATCTTCCCCGTTCCCCCAAGAAATACGCAACGCAACGCAGCCCAACACAATCCAACTAAAATCTTCGCATATCTCAATTCTTGTCGATCAAAAGTGATCCGAACACACATGAAATGAACCTATTCATACAAACCAATGCCAAGCTTCGATAGCTTCACAAAACATACATCATACATTACATTAAAACTTGTCATCTTAAAATCAAGACAAGACTTTCTCTATCTTCACCAATAGTAAACCATCTGTAGAATTGCCTTTGACATCTTTCAAAGGGACTAATCGATATCCTTGTTGAAGACGATCGAGTCGGATGCAAGCCCATGCTGCTAACTCATCTTTTGAATAATTGGAATCTTCAATTTTGAATCTGTAGGTGTAAGAGGAGTTAGTAAAATGACATGATGGGCTGAAATTTGGTAGATTGATTGATTTGATTTGATTAATGAATAGGAGAAAGAAATTGTTGAGGTAACATTGCATATACATGAAGTAGACATGGAAAGAAAGTAATGGAATGATAAGATGGAAATGCATGCATGGTAAGGAAACAACTTCAATGAAATGGAAATGATGAGCACAACAGGTAGTCGAAAAAAGCCATGTACTACATGAATCGAACTAGGAGCCGAACTCATGAATGGAACGGGCTGAAAATTATTTGAATGATTTGGTAGGATGAATGTTGGGGAACCACACGCAAGCAGCTAAGCGTCGGTAAGGCTTTGATACTACTGCACCCTTAAATTGATCTGCATAGAACTTCGAGCCATGCCCAGCCGGCTCCGGGCCGTTGAGTTACTTGAAGATTGATTGAAGAAAGCCCCGAGGAGAAACTTGTATGTACCAGGCACTTGGGTAGAATTTTCAAAAACCTGAGCGGTATGACATAATTGCAGACACATGATATGTCAATATATCATCACCAAATCATATAAATCTAGACCTTGTCTAGTTTCCTGATTGTGTAACCTTCGGAAGTATAAATGTTGAAGAAAAGTAGTGTAACATGTACTAACCTTACAAAGCTTAACTCCTCCACCACGTTCCTGATACCTTCAAAATGAAGAGTTTCGCCTTCATAATCGGGTTTGCTACCCGATTTATAAGCCGTCTTGAGTTTGTGTTCACCCTCTTTTGCTTTGCCTCCATTTTCAATTGGTTGTCCGTCGAGCTCTTCTTGGCTTTCAACGTGCAGCTCACATTTGACGTATGGATGAAAACCCTTTTCAGTCTCGCCTTGAGGAAAGGGGATTTGTTGCCCAGCGAATATGCTGATTTTCAAATCAAGGGTCTTGTAAGGGATAGCTGCACAAGATTCGGATGTTACATCCTCGCTGCGGTAACCTGGGGGTTTCAATATCCACCCTTGTGATCCGGCAAACATTCCTTCATTTAACATCATACCTTCATCCAAAGTCTGCCAATTCAAGGCAACCATTTGAATACCTTTGCGCCAGCAGACCGAAGGGTCGAGATTAGAGGAATCGAATCTTTTCCCAGCTGGAAATGCTCTCATGAAATAATTGCGATTGTGAGCAAACATTTGTTCTCGATTTGATTCATGAAGTTCCAAGATCACTTTCTCACCGACGGAAAAAATGTGAGAAGGTTTTGTGGCTGCTCCAACGTCAAAAGACACAAAATGTTCGCTGTGAGTATAGATTCCAAGTTTACCAAGGGTTTCGCAGATCTTTGCTTTCTTCTTTGAACTTGCTCGGTCGTCCTCAGAACCTGAATGTGCAGATTCTGCATCCTTTGTTGAGATGACCGGTACTAATGTATTGGATGACGCCTTCTTCTCTAGAGTGTCCGTGTTTGTGGGAGATAATCCATTCGTGGATCCATTCGTGAGCTCGTTCAAATGCTCTGATGCATCCTTCAGCTCCGGAGCTTTCTTGACCTTGACCAAAATTTTATTAAGAAGCTCCTCAAGTCTAGGAACCCTTTCTTCCGGATTACATGTTTCGAATGGAGAATCGAGTAAGAGATCTTCCCATTCTTCCTTCATGATATCAACCATTATTTCCTGCTGTTCATGATCGGCATGAACTTCTAAACTGACGATAATAGGGAGTGGGCTCGTTGTGAAAGCAGTTTCCCGAATTGCTTTGCAAACAGCTCTAAATCCCACCGGTGCTGTCAATGTCCAACCATGTAAAACCAAAGGTTCTCCAATCATCGATGATCGTATCGAGGCCGGCCTTCCACCATGTTCATCCTCATCCAAAACCTTAAGCTTATCACCAGTATTTGTCTTTGAAACTTTATGTTTACCCTCTAATTTCTCTTTGGCAATCTCCAACTTCTCTTTAGCACTCTCTAATTTCTCCTCCACTGTCAATATAGCTGCAGCTGCTCGGCTTGAAAGTGTGCTTCCAGTTCCAGAAGGCTGCCGTTTGTGATCGGTTTTATTCGAAAAGATTGATTTATCATCTTTCTCTGCTGCTTCTCCATTGTGTACATCTATTTCGATACATCGACAATTTTGTGTGAGGGCCTGATGGCAGTTAGCATAAAATCTTCATGAAATGAAATCCAACTTACCGTTTTGTATGCTTCTGTAGAACTCCTTGACAGCAGCTGATTGCCCTCAAGATATGTATTATGACTACTACTGATGTAATAGTTGGTGATTGGTCTTGACTGATCTAACTCCGGAATACGTTTCATAACCTCTAATGAATGACTATAGTACACTGACTCGAGAAATTGTTCGAATTTGTATGTATCTTTTTCCAGTGTGATTGTATGACCCTGAACATCTGCCAACCACTTTTCAAATTTTTCTCTTCCTAGGCATGGTTCCGGACCTCTTAATTCATCGAAGAGCTTCCGTAAATATTCTTGAATCTCATGTGAAAGATAGACTTGTCGCGGGGGATCCCCTGCGGTGGTATTGTTGAGAGAGGGGAGATGTACTCCATGGCCAGGAGTAAGCATTGTAGACATGGCAACGAGTTTGTGAAGAGAGAATTGCTTTCCGGAAGGAGTGAGGAGAGGCATGGTAGATATTCTATTATGAGAGCAAAATCGTATTAGCAAATGAATTACAATGCAACACACCGGGACCACAAATGAATGCAAGACACTGGGTCTAACAAGCAAATTTCTTGATCCATCGTGATTCATTTATATCGCCAAAACTACGGTGATCTTGACGTGTTTCGATCTTATTCAGTGGCCTTGGAGGTGGTGGTGGGGGGAAGGGGGAAGGTAGTCAAACAAGACGGGAAAAGAAATAACTTACCTCCGAAACTTTTTCCTCAAAAACGAAACCATCTCTCCGTAGCATGAATTGTAGAAGTTGATTTGAATCCTACATGAGGAGTGTCAAAAGGAATGATTTATGAAGCAGGGAATGAATTCTTGATTATCAAAGGGGCCAAGACGAGGCTCATTCAGCTGCTGGGTACAAATGTACTATGATTCTGTTTCTATTCTTAAATGCTGACAAGGCTAGAACTAGGTGGGTACAAATATTTTGATGACGGGGTAGGGTAGGTTGATAGGAAGTAGAGCCATGATATCACAATGATATATACGTATGAGACAAGATTTGAGCGAATGTGATAAAGGAGAGATGTGGGTAGGTAGTAGTGGTAGTAGTGGTAGTAGTGGTAGTAGTGGTAGTAGTGGTAGTAGTGGTAGTAGTGGTAGTAGTGGTAGTAGTAGTGGTAGTAGTGGTAGTAGTAGTGGTATAGTTGATTCATGATCATAATTTTCTAACAAGTATGGATAGATGGATGGTTAAGGTTCAAAGTTGATGAATATTTATTTACCAAGGTTACCTATTTTTAAGTTTCTTTTTATTCTTCTAGAGCTCTTTGTTATTAGTTATCCACTGGTTGAAAGCTAATAGCCCCGGCCCGTACCTTTTTACTGGTGTTCCTTGGCTATAACACAACCAGTGATAACGGAATGACATAGCTAGAACACACTATTAAAGCCCATTGAAGCGCTGAACTATCGCTGGATGATTTATACCATGTATTGTTAAGCTTTTCGAATTCTGTCGAACCAACAATAATAACTGGATAACATTACCGCAGAATCACTACTGAAACACCATCTACACCCACCACCATCTACATACGACTGACTGGTTCGTACTAGAGTAACAAGCTTTTCAGGGTTTTTATTTGTGGATTCTTCAATTTGCCCCTCAACCCATCATCTACTCTACTTAACAACACCATAACACTACAACACCGCCTCATCCATATCATATTCCTCACAACCTATAACTTCCTACATCTAAAACAATCATGACCTCAGAAACAAAACTTCAATTGGAGGAAAAGGTTCGTTCCTGGGGTTTCTCATCAGTATTTACCTGGACGGATGCTCCGTGAGTAGAGACCCATCCCGTAACCTTACTACACAGCCTCAATCTATTAACCTTACTCCACAATACTCCATAACAAGGCTGATTCTAACTTTTAACTTCGCCTCATTCAAGAAATTCTCATTATAATCCACATTCCCATGATGGCCTAACCACACATCTCATCGTGAATGGTCAACTTACCATTACCTGTCCGAAGGAAGAGAATGCTCAAAAGATGACATATGGTGTTGGTGATAGAATTGATGTTGATGCTGGGAGGGTTCATGAAGTTTGGATTGGTCCTGAAGGTTGTACGTATGTGATTGGAGAATGAAGGATGTTATGTTTCTTTTGGTCTTTTTTCTTTCGCTCTTTTGATCTTATGTATTCATACGAATGAATCTCTTCCATTGCTTCATTCCATGATTCATAAGCAATATGACATGGCAATGGTGATGATGATGGAGATAAACACGAATAAGATGGGAGATGCGCATGTTGAAATACAGTAGGTGTCGAGATCGGATAAGACTCGTTAACTATATATGACCATTGGGAATATTGTCACAACTACTCTGAAATGAGTTCATGAATCAGCCCAAATTCAAAAAAGCAACCGTGTTTATCTTACCCGTGGCTGCGACATATCAATGATATATATACTGCTACTTCTATCCATGCTATTCGTAGCAATCCCCTTTTCTCTTTGACACTATTCAAATGCTATCAGACATTCTATACATTTTCCCCGGATTTACAGTTTTATATGTCTTTCTTGTTTTCTTCTAACAAACATCCAGTGAGTCAAACATCAATTGCAATCCAGAAGTACTGAAATTGTTGGTATATTACATATCTTGATTTTCAAATCAGACGAGACAGTCTCTCCCCCTCCCCATCCCCCACTCCAAAGAGGTTGGAGGTTTACAACCAAAAATTACCCTTCATTGCATTGATTAACCAGCGCTAGCTTCCCCAGAGGAGACTCATCTAGATTGATACAAACTCCTTCCTAAGAAGTGTATTATGATAATAGGACCAATTTGTAGGAAAAAGTCACCAATTAAACTATTTCCATCTATTGATTTACCGCTCCTAAATACAACTTCTGGTCTTCGACACCATTCACAACCACCAATAGGTATTATCAATACCATTCCTATTCTCTTACTCAACTTACACCAGATTCATTCTCCGAAATTGATAATCATTGATATCAATGATTTCAATGATTCCTCTTAATCACACAATCTTCAATAATACTTCCATCCTCCTACACACTTCTCAATCATAATCATTCATTCCACAACCCCTTCCAACCCTACCATCCCACACACAAACCCAAGAAACTCCAACCCCAAAGACTCAAAACGCAAAGACAAAAATGACTCGCACCAAGAACCAACCCAAAACCCACAAACCACCATCATCTTATCACCTTAACATCTCCAACAACCCATCTACATACCTAACATTCATCCCCCTCCCAAAAAAATAAAAAAAATAAAAAAATCACTTCACTCCACATCACCCCCACAGACATCACAAACATCAAACCCAACTCTAGAAAGACCCATCCAATCCAACCCAAAGAAACTCATCAATCATAAATAACCTCACATTAATCCAAAGCACTAATTTAATTATTACAACCAGTAATAATAGTGAATAATATAATTCCTAAGAACCTATCCCCCTAGGCTAGATTTCCAATTTTGTATTAATTAGAGTATAGAAGGGTTTTTAAAATCCGATGATGTGATGGTTTAGATTTTAATTTTTAATTCTTAATTCTTGTATTACTGTATGCATAAATCTTTTCTTTTCTTTCTTTTAATCTAACAAAATAATAAATAACAAATACAAATCTTACAATATTGATAGTCAGTGTATAGTTGGTAATATTCAATTGATTGGAGCAGGTAATTTATTTATATCAAGAAAACTATTTGTCGGTTGTGGCGGGGTATGGGGATGTGAAGCTTCAATACTGTATATTCATATTGATTTGCCTGAAGGGCTAGAACTATGGAAGTGAGAACTGTAGAATATATATGACCCCCCTTTTGTTACGAGGTTTGCCGTCTAGATCATGTGGAAGTGCTCTAGGCTCTCGAAATGGTTTATAACTAAGCGTCAAGCAAGGACTTAAGTAATGACAATGTTATTCGTAACTAATTGTAGAGTATACTATATAATTGATCTTGAATACAAAGCTTTATATAAAGGAAATCCATCTAGATTATATAGATCTTTATATCGATAGCTACTCAATAGGATCAATACAGTTCAGTATTGAGCTCACTGATCTTTATTGAGCCAATTATATAATATTGATTGTATATGAGGGTTTCCTATTATTTGACGTAACAATACTAATGAATTAAATCCAAAGTTAATATAAGCTAGTGTTACCTTTGTGATTTCTGTTCCTGATATATTATATACAAATTGTATTAAGGATGATAATGTTACGACGGGTAACATATTTCCGTATCACATGACTAATCACAGGATCAGAGCTATCATGTGACCGGCTCCAATCAATCTAGTTAGAGCCTCTAGAGCCAGAACACGAAGGTCTATATAATCAAGATGGATTTCCTTTGTATAGAGCTTCATGCTCAAAATCAATCATTTAGTATACTCTACTATTAGTTACGAATTGCATCACTGTCATTACTTAAGTCCCTGCTTGACGCCTAGTTATAAACCACCTCGAGAGCCTAAAGCACTTCTACGTGATCTAGACGGCAAACCTCGTAACACCATATCCCCATCCCCAATATTACTATTCTCGCACAAGAATTATTCATTCAATCCATCCATCCATCCATCCATCCATCCATCCATCCATCTTTATCCATAAATTTTCTTTCTATTTTCATTTCCATTTTCAAAGTTCTCCTGATTGGCTCACTCTAGATCTCTGAAAATACATTGATACCACTATTACATATGAGTAAACGTAACTATATCGTTACTCCATCAAAATAATACAGCATCCTAAATAGTAAAAATTATATTCAGTATAAAGAACCATAGATCTGTATATGTGAATTTATCTCCCATATGTCATTCTTGGTCTTAGAGAATGATATCCAGAATACTCAGGATGTGTTCGCATTGACGGGTAGCAGTCAATGCTGAAGATAGTTTTTCCTGATGGAGAAGTTGTGAACTTGGCTATTGCTAGATTTCATATATTCTTCTGATATAGCTCTTGATATACTAATCAGGAAACTAATATATAGTGAACTCTGCGTGCCGGTGCAATCGTTGGGCAATATTTCAATGAACCAGTTTTCGATTATCATGTTAAACCAAGGGTAATGAAAGTGAGGACCAATCTAAAGCATATGTACTTCCCAGATCAAATCAACAAGTTCCCTACCTTACTCCTACTATCATAATCACTCTTTCACATTAAAAAAAGCTAACTATTAATCCCCAAATAAATTAATTACAGAACTCGTTCTCAGCAGACGAACTAACACTCATCACTCCTTAAAGTTCCCATCGAATAATAAATGTGATCGAAGTATCAACATCAACATCAACATCATCAGCTTTACATCGTAATTCAGGCGCGGCTGTTCACATATCATGACTTCCCTCTAGCGGAGCAGACATCTGTCTTTTTTGTGAACTAAAGGCATGATTATACGCCTATTTTTCGGTATAAATCAGGAATGGAAGTCTTTGTCATCATTCACCTTCATCATGCATTAATACGCTTTCAATTATACAAAATATAAAATTCCAAAAATGTAATGGGTTTATCGAAACCAAGTAGATGTACTCTACGTCGCAATATACAATGCCTCATCTAAACTTACAAAATGTTCAAAACTCGCTGCGAGGAACCATTGATATTATCTTTATCACTAAACTTAAACAGTGAAACCTCTCCTCTCTACTCTTTGCGTTTCTATGCCACTGATATCACTTTTGTGCCTTCCAAGCGTGCCAACCCGCTGCTACCCTCGTTTGTTTAATACTTCTCTGAACCGGATCATGTTTATGAGTATCATCAGATATCTTCTTCGCATTTGCTTTTCGAATCTTCTCTAGATTTTTGACATATTTTCTCTGATCCTTAGCCAGTGCAATATATTTCCCACCAAATCTACGTTCTGCTATTTCGAGTAATTGTAATATCTCATAGTCACGACCTCCTGCTTTACCTATAAAGTTTAATAGACGGTCAGAATTCCCGTCAAGTTCCATCTTTTGCCGGAGGAATCGTTCTTGTCGTGCAGGATCGATATCGCCATATGCAAGGTTGTCTACACGCCATCCATATACTTGAGCTGTTTTTTGAGGAGCATGAGTAGGTGAGTATTTTGGAGAGTGTAACGCTTCGTAGTATAATCGATCGGCTCTTTCTGCACGTTCTTTGTATGAAATAGTATTGATTCCATCAGTCTTTTGATTGGACCTTAAAACTTTTGCTACTGAAATAAATTCTCCAGGGGACTTGATGATTTCCGCATACTTGAATAAATAATTCTCGTAGAGTGATGTTTTAGTACCTTTCCATAGCTCTGCACGTCGATGATAAATTTCGGCATGTGGAATTTCGAAGGTGCCGTCAATGTATGGTTCAATGTGCAAATCATATAAGACCAATCCATACTCAATCCAAAAATCGTCAATAATTTTTTCTCCGGCAATTCCTACCATTCGATCAACGGCAACTTTTGCTGCTGCAGGTTGCTTTAATTTGCGCAAGGCACGGCTTTGAAAGTAAAGACCTTTAGCACATTCCTCTAGTGATTGATTTCTGAGGAATATATCTAGCGCTGCTCCAGGTCGATGATCGTTTAGAAGTGCTTCGATGGTGCAAAGCTTTTTTTCTACGTCGCTTGCCAAACCCGACATTGCTTCTAAACGTTGATATATTTGGCTGGCTTCACTATAATGTTCTCTTTCAAACAATCCTTTAGCCAAGTGCTTCAGAAGTAGTGCATGGTTTGGATTCTCATGTAAATATCCTTGGGCAATGACTGCCGCGTCCTCAAACAATCCAGCCGATGATAATCCATTAACACATGCAATTGCATAGCTGGGAGCTTCAAGTGGTTCAACTGCAGTGTTTATTGATAGATTCGCACCTCCAAGCAAGGAGGAAGCTGAGGATGAGGACGTCAAGGGTGAGGGTCGCTCGCTAGAATCATGCGAGTTAATAGAGAGCCTCGAGAACATGACAGCATAACGTTCAAATATATTTACTCGATAAAATTGGCTAAGGAATCAAGTTTGTGGAAGACGACGAAACTCATCAACATTGAGAATGAGGTTTTGGAGAGGTGCGACATCGTTGAAACCTTTAAGTCCGGAGTGTTTGCAAACGAGTTCATAGTTCTTTGTTTCCCAGATCATAAATGGCCAGCCTCGTCCTTTTGTGACTGCACGAAAAAGCACACAATAATTTTGCACTAAAAGCGGAGGCTTGATGCGTAATAAGGCTGGAATAAATTACTAGCGCTTTGGACGAACAACTAAAAAGGAAGCAGGGAGGAATAGTTCCCTAGGAAAAAAACAAAAGCAAAAATTAAAGGTGCCCTCAGATAAGCTCTCAAGTTCTCATTGCGAACACTTTCCATCTTATATAGCCCCAAGGCAGTGATAAGACAGTAGGTTGGCCTGCAAATTTGGCTTTTTGGACACGTTTGGTCATCACCGGGCAAAGAAATAAACTTCCATGAACCTCTACATCGACACTATCGAAGTTTGTAAGGGATGGTCACAAGAATGATTGAAAATATGAAACTAGATCTAATTAGCACGGCATTGACTTTTCATTTCTTTGGAAAACTGAATATCTCAATCATATCTGCGGCGTGAAATATATGGTTGTGAGAAAGAGATGAAATGGGGTTGTTCTTACCAAGCTACTCCGATTGAAAACTATTTTCCACTTTCAGCGATAATTCTTGTGCAAATGTACCACCACAATGAATGCCCACGGCCTTCATACTGATCTCTCAATAACTTAACCAGCGAACAATCAAAGCGGTAGAACATAGCGAACATCTCAAGAGGAGCTGATTGTCGTCATTGTGGCTCGATCCAAATAATACAAGCATTACCTGCAACCGCCATACAAGAAAACAAAGGTAATCGAGGTGAAGGAATTGGAAGCCTGCTAAGATTTCTGTTCATTCATTCACACATTCCTAACCTTCTGATTTCTCAAAATGCTAAGTAGTGTAAGCTCAATGAGTGTTCTCGTCACTGCAGGTTGTTGTTGAGAAGAAATTGATATTCCAGGCGCGTGCTGATATACACAACGCGTTGTCGCTAGGCTAGAAACACACTAGAAAATGCACTACTCGCTCGTGGGTCCAAGCTTAATTGCACAAGGTTAAGGTTAACCTGTGAGAGTAATAAATATAAATAAATATATCTTGACGCAGCTACTTCACCATATCGCAACCTCAAAGCCTCAGTTACAGTCATATAATCCACGCAGGTTCATCGCAATCATGGTAAGTTTATCACCTCAAGTCTTTGCATAATGACTGCTAACATTTCTAGGCGCGTAATTCAGAAAAAGCCCAGTCGATGCTGTTCCGCTTCAGAGAAGCGCAACAAGCAGAATTAGGTATCATTGATGCTGGGAGGACGCGACGGCCAAAGATGATAACGGAAGTCTCATCCATACCGGCATGCGAAAAATGGAGAGGTCAGGTTCTGAAAGAGATCTCCCGCAAAGTCAGCAAGATCCAGGATCCAAGTTTAAGTGACTTTATGATTCGAGATTTGAACGATGAAATCAACAAGGCCATGAGAGAAAAATATATGTGGGAGGTCCAAATCAAGAATTTAGGGGGTCCTAATTATATGCGGGGAGGAGGGAAAGTTTATGATGAAGAAGGACGAGAGATACCAGGTGGTGGGAAGGGTTATAGGTATGTATCCATGTGATTCTGGATTATGTGCGAATGGTGCTAATAGTGGATTTCGTGTCTAGGTATTTTGGGCGTGCTAGAGAGCTACCTGGAGTCAAAGAAATGTTTGAAGCTGCAACGATAAAACCTCGCGAGGACCAACCACTAGAATCAAGAGTAGACTTGCGAAAACAAGTCGATGCTTCATATTATGGTTACAACCTCGACGAAGAAGACGGCACTTTACTAGATTATGAGATACAAAAGGAAAAGGAGGCTTATGAGAACCTTCTGGAAGGCAAAGACAAGAAAGCCCCGGATGGTTGGGAGCCATTGCCAGGAGATGCAGGCGATGGCATAGGATGGAGACTACCCACAAGTGAAGAAGTTCAGGAAGAGCTCGTCGATAGACGACGAAGACGATTACTGGACAAACTGGGATGACAGGACACACCGCCGAGTTAGAAAGCTTTTATTGCTTACCAAATACGCGAATTCAAGTCATCTACATTCCTAACCCCGGAGTGAGCCTTTCAATTGTCCGACTAGGTTCGAAGACGGAAAAAATCGAAAACATCCATATGAATTTATTGCATATCATCACGACGAGCTTCGGCAATATTTGTGAATACTAAGTGCTTTGAGCAGCCTTGAGCCATATCTTTTCCATGAGATCACCAGATATGCATTGTGTGCAGTTTTCATGTCTCGCTAAACTTGATGAATACATAATGTCAAAAAATCAAAGTGTCTAGTGCGCCAGGCAAAGTCCCAACATCCTTCTTAGTACGATAGCGCTAAAAATGATAATACACGGCACTCGAATACATGCGGAGATATCCCCATATATCTTCCAAATGCCCTATTGCTCTTCACATGTTCTCAACTTCTTCAAAGCGCGTATTGTGGAATACCCTTTATCCAAATCTCGTCGATATTACCGCGATATCGCTCAAATGCGACTTTCAATCCAAGACTGCTCAACTTGACTTCTGCAAGAATATCCGACCCTGCTGTTGAGTTCAATGGCATGGTAATGCGAACATTGTCCTTCCGTAAAGGGCTTAGAGAGCGCTTGGGAATCTTGATACGAGTATGATCGGCTGAGGAAATATCAGTAAACACTTCTCTGAATGAAACCGATCACATACCTTCGATGAATTTACGCTCTGTCTTTGATAATTTTTGTGCGGATACATCATAGACAATTGCATTCCTCATCTCCCAGCTGTTTGTTTGGGTTTTCTACCAGTGTGATCGTTCGTCGAACTAATAGATCCAGTGAGTCCTGAGGTCCTTAGCATCGTGAATAGTGAGTGGTTGTATCACAGTGCAATTTCGGTGTGCAGTTAGATTGACTATCCAATTGATCGCTAATGTTGACCGTGGGAGAAAGGGGAACTCTTCTAACAATATACCAGATTTCTGTGAAAGCCTTGAGCGGCTCTGCAAGGCAGATTATCAGAAATTGGTCATAGGCATATATTGTGGTGTCACCGGTGCATCTCACTTTCTCCAGATTTATCCTAGCATTGTTTCGCTCTCCCGTCAAAGCTGATCATTTATTCACGTAGTCTGCCTTGGAAGGCAGATTGCTTCCAGATTTGGGCAGTCTGCCTCGTAAACTGCCACCATGTGTTAATTCATGCAGGCTATTGAACACCAGCTTAGTTTCTTTCTCTGGCCAATCGTTTCACAGCAGTCCTCAAGGATTTAGCCACCGCTGCTCGGTTTCACCAAAATCCTCTTCGTGTCGACTTTGACAACCCCTTGTGCCGTTTTCTATTTTCTAGCACACGCCATTGATAAATCTTAGTGTCAATGATGAATGATTGGTAGGGTTTGATAAAGCATTAACGCAGAGAACTGTCCTCAAGGGGTTTTACGGCACGAACCACCAGCAAGGCTGGCGAATAGATATATACTTATCCCACCAAAAAGCCTCCTTGTACTCGCCCCTGAAGAACTCAATCCGGAGCGCGCTTCCCCTTACCCTATATGGCAGGTGGCTCGAGCAACGACTGCAGCGCCGACATACTTCAAAGCAACTCAAATCAACGACGAACGGTTTGTAGATGGGGGATATGGCCATAATAACCCCACCTCGCGAACATTTAAGGAGATCGAGCAAATTCATGGCGAAGGCACCATCGCCCTCACAATTAGCATCGGTACTGGTCGACCTACAAAGATTTCGCCGATAGCCAAGAAGAATAGTGGACTCATAAAGCGCTATCGACAAATGATTAAATACATCGTAGCTACAACTACCGACTCGGAGCGCGTCCATGAACACGTGAAGAGCATGACCTCAGGTCGATGTACCTATGAGCGTCTCAATGTCGACGGCGGCCCCGGTGGTATAAATATTGGAGAGTGGCGTGTTCATAAAAAGGAAAACATGACGCTTAAAACAATACGAGAACAAACATCTGCATATCTCGAACAATCCGAGGTTCGTATACGAGTGGAAAAAATCGCTAAAATGCTAGTGAGAAATCGCCAAGAGAGGTCTAGGACTCCTAGATGGGATATTGTGGCTACAGGTCAGTCCTGAAGGATGTGAAAAAGAGACGATATTTACAAGGGAAGATGATTTGAGAGCCCATCTTTGTGGTGCTCATGGGGTTTCTAGTGCCCCACGGGATTCGGATGAGTGGATTAGACTGGAGAAGGCGATAAATAAGGGGAGAATCTTGCATGCTGATTAGAATGTCGTGTCGTTTTTGCATAGAATTTCTTTACTCGCTTCTATATTTTGCATTTCTGGGAGAGATTTGAAGGGGCAATAATGCAAGGAAATATGTCAGGGTTTGGTCTACAGTGGTTCGGAGGAAAAAGATGGCGTTGATGTTTGCTTTAAGATACCACTTTGTTTTTTTTTATAGAGAGGCTCAATTCTCTTATGGTTGATTACATCATTTTGTTCGTCATGATTATCTATGTACCAATTTCAAGGTGTGGAGGTGCATATGGATGGACCATAAATCGTCCCAATGAGTTTCATATTACGCTCTTGAGCAATCTGTGGGATAAATATCATATCATTCAAGCGAATATAATCTTGTCCACGATACTAGTTCTCAATTTATGTGTAACTCCCTAAGCATGTTGGTGTATACTGTATTATATTTCTTTCTCGTCAAAATAGCTCAGGTTAGCATATACCATCCAAACCACTAATGATCCCGACAACTAATCATAATTCCTACTCACAACCCCCCAAAGTCACATTGAACATCCTATCATATCCTCCGCTGATCTAGGATAAGTATCAATATCAATATCAATTTCATCTCACTGCAAATCTGACTCAACTAAGATAAGATTACAAATATATCTTAATATTCGAGCTAAATAATCATTAAGTACCTATTCTCCTACTGTATAAGCTTGTATAGTATAAGATACCAGATAGTCAGTGGATAATAAATTGATATATATCATCTGAATGACAGGCAGTTCGACACATCTTTTCTATCGTTGGGGCTGCAATTGCAATACTGTGATGTGATTATGTTCTTTCTATTTATATTTTGATTTTTGAAGGGGGGGGAGGGCTTGTGTTGTAATTATATTAGTTGTATATATGTATATATATATATAGGTATAATTCGGAAGGGTTTAATAGGGTAATATATATCATATATATAGCATACACCCTCTTCATACAACAGGATTGTAGAAAGTAAGATTACAAATTCGCGAGTCCGACTGTCAGTAATGATGCAAGGAATCATCAATCCCATGGCCATTACACAAGCTTCAAGATGAATTAGGATACAATGTATTGATTCCAATATAGGAATAAATACCCACCAAGATATCAACTCACCTCAATATCCTCAGCTATACTCGAGTACATTTACCCATCAAATATAAATCCCACACAAACCCTATACAAACATACAAACACTAATCAATTATGATCACGAACTAACTACCCACCAAAAATCAAACCCAAACCAAAACCCAAACAATACTTCAGATTTCTCCCTCTCCCCCTCCCCCTCCCAAAAACTACTAAACAATCCCAATCCCAATCCCAGCCCCAGCAGCACATAATTCAAACAAACAACATCAACATCAACACTAAAGAGCTTCAACAGCAAAATCCTAGTAACGTTCCTTGGAATAACACTATATTATGTTATGTTATTCTTTATGATATAAGATTACATAAGAGTTTATCTCATGAGTGTTTATATAGAATAAAACTAATCGCTGTATACACTCTTATCCTTTTTTCTCTTCTGAGAGAGGAGTGGTGTTGTAGTCTCATGATATTACGGAGTACTCGAGTAGGTAGCTTGTGTAAAATTTCTCGCCAGGGTGAAATAGATTTATTTTATCAATTAGTCTTTTATAACTCTCCTATTCTTATTATTCAAGTCATCGAATTGTTTCTAAGTATATATATAATTAAAAGAATAGTTCTAATTCAGGAGGTATCGATCTTAAGTGCCACCCTCCATCGATTTTATTGACGTATAAATTTAATATACGCGTTTGATATACAATGTATTATTCGTCCATTCCAAAGCCCCTGAGTTCTCGCTTCTCCTGCCGTACGAAAAATAAATAAAAAAAACCCTTCCTAAACGCCACGCTCATGCAAATGCTCTCTTTAATTCATTTTCCTCATTACCCAAGTTGCTCTGGAAATGGATTTTGATCATCGTAATTGTCCAACTCTCTACCATCCCCAGAGTACCCTATCGTATTGCGATTATCGTCAATTACACGGGCGTATTCGATTAGAAGTCTGAAAAGATAGATCTACGTTTTGCTTCGATTAGCACCATCCATCCACTATGACTTGCGTCCAAATGATGGTTTAAACTCACCTCAATATCCTCTTTTCTCAAAACTTTATTCGCCCATTCTCTTCCTTGTCTTCCCAACTTTCTCGCCTCGAAATCATGTCTTTGTACATAAGGCTTTCCATCTTTGCCTTTCGAGTTTGCATCTCCCAATCCAATAAAATAGGTGAGAATACTGTACAATTCGTCATATCGGTTATCTAATGGAACAAAATGTCTCCATGCAAATAACCGACTATCATGCCATTCCCTGAATATGGTACTTTTAATACCAAGTCCCTTGCTTTTGAGAAATGCGTGCCAACGGCCGGAGAACGAATGACCGTCAACGTCGATGAGATATTTACTTTTAAATTGGTCGGTAAGTTCCACACCAGGCTTGTAAGTCCAGACATCATCGTAAAAGCTACAATTTGGTACACAGGAAGCGGGCTCCGTGAAGCCCGCATCCGTGTATTTTGTGGCGAATTCGCTAGGTTGAAATTGGCCGTAAGATTTGTATGTACCTGGATTGTTCGGATCCATGGCCATAATCTCCACATTCGTATCTTTCATAACAGTGCCGTTGGTGAGTAAAACTAGTCTTTGACGATGCATCTTCTTCCAAGTTTCTGCCGTATTAGTCCCACCAGAAGTGACACCCCTCCAAATCATACTATCCTCCTTGTCGTCCCATCCTACGTCACCTGCCGGGCTGTAGGCATATCGAACATCATCATACTCGTAGTATTTGTTCGCAGGAAAAAGAATATCATTATTGATATTCACTTTACATTCTCCAAATACAGGTAGTGGAAGCTTACTGGCCGTTACTGTGCTGCTTGCATATAAAAACCCATGCAAATCTTGAACTTCAGGGCCGATTGTACAGAGATCAGAAGAAAGGTTGAAATTTGTAATAAATCCTCCCTCTGGAATTTTATAGGTGGCCTCTGCGGCAGATTGAGATGTTGACCCTCTGGCATGAGATTCTGGTGGGCAGGCTTCTTTTGCAATCAACATATATTGCTGACCAGGTGCTCTGAACCACTCTGGGTCTTTCAATAGAGGTTCAGTCTTCCCTTCATCAAAGAGAGATGCCCCCTTTTGCCACAGTCCAGACATATTTTTAGTGAAATCAGCGACAGCTTCCGGCAACATAAGTCTACTTGCAGTTTCATTGGCAAGGAGAGCTTGCAAATCATTCCATGGTATCGCTAGCCGTGGTTGGTCTAACCTGTTCATGGCAATATCCATGTCTGGCAAGTGTTGGACAAAGGGCTTAATCATATCTTGCATAGTCTCTGCCCTCCAATTTTCATTGCTCAACTTCCAGACTTTCCCAGCTCGTATATGAATTCCGGAGATTCCGTCATCATGATTGGCATGGAGATGTGCCGCTTGAGATCGAATAATAGGGGGATCGACTCCCCAAAATGGACGCAAGTCATCCATAACTTGGTCAAAATCATCAATATTATAGATCTTCCTATCCCGAGCATATTTATACCACTCCTTGAATTTGGGCGGTGGATGCCTTCCATACTTCCTTCTGTATTTTGAAACTGTCTCCTTGAAAGTTTTCGATCTGCTTTCGTCATAAACTCGAAATGCTTCATCAGCCTCTTTCATAAGTGCAGCTATAGGATGTTGGTCTGCAATAACACCCACCACCTCTTGACCTTGATGCGATGAGGGCGATTTTGTGGACTACACAAGACAAAATTAGCCAAGTCAGGGGAGTTTGTTTCCGTAGAGGCGCAGAAGATACTAACATCAGACTGCGGCTTATTTTTCAAACCTGGTATAGGAATCTTTTTCACATTCGATTGCACATCTGTGCCAGAGATCATGGAAAGATTGAAAAGGAGGATTATAATGCCAGTGACGACTAGAAAGAGGATAAACCGCCGCTGCCCGCGATCAAGTCCCATGGTGCCGAATTGAGGTGTACCTTCACAAGTTTATGAATATAAGGTCGTTATAGAATTGATGCGCGCATTCGAATATGTTAGAAGTGGGTGTGTCATAAAAGTATTCTAAATGATAAAAGCATTGTTCAGGCCATTAGAAAAGAGAACTTTCTTTGGAAACTCGTATCTTGTAGTTTGTGTGATGAAGTTATGGGTTACAACATGGAGAAGAGAAATTGTCGATTCCTCAAATGTTGGTTGGGTCAGTTTAGTTGTTGATTATTTATTGATTTGGTCTGTCTGATAAGGTTCCCCCCCCTGATCTGATCTACTAAAAGTGGAAAATGGAACTTTTCTACGCTGAAAGAAGCTTAAATTAACGGAGCTCGATTCTAATTTCAGGCTATCTTCAGGGATGAAATGCCTAGAATTTGATTAGAACCCCTCGGGAAGACAACTCAATTCGGGTCAATTCGAGGTGAGTAAATTAAAGCAGCAACAATTTAAACATCCAATTAGCTGGAACTTTGACGAAACACAGCTCTCATACAATCTCAAAAGCTTAAAGCAGCATTAACTTTTGAACGTCCAATCAGAAAGCAAACCAACAAATTTCACTCAGAAACTCATAGCGAGGCTCGATTTTGATACCATTCGAGACACACAGCTTACTCACTTTTCTTCCTCCCTCTACAACAATCATGCCTCCACAATTATCAGCGCTCGCCGCGTATTGTCGCTCAGCGCCGACGTTGGCCACTCCTTTGGCCGCATTTCTTACGCCATTTATGCAAGCTCGGAGCGCTTCGATTCTTGCAACATTGTCGGATAATCCTGGGGCATATAATAAACGTATACGAAAAGGTCGAGGTCCGTCATCAGGCAAGGGAAAGACATCAGGACGTGGTCACAAGGGTCAGAAGCAGCATGGAAAAGTACCAGCACGATTCCAAGGTGGTCAAACACCACAAGACGTCGTTCATGGTGTGAGGGGATTTGAGAATCAGTATGAATCTCTCACTTTTTCTATGCCCAATTGAGATTGACCATTCATTCCGAGAAGTATTCATCCCAGATCAAGACTAATATCTTTCTCAGATTTTCCGTTGACATGTCCCCGATAAATCTTAATCGCATACAAGATTGGATTGACCAGGGCCGACTCGATCCCACACGACCTATTACTTTGAAGGAGTTGGCAGATTCTCGATGTTTACACGGAGTGAAGGACGGTGTAAAACTACTAGCGAGGGGGAAGGAGGAGTTGAAGACACCAATCAATCTCCTGGTATCACGGGCTTCGGCAGCGGCAATCGAGGCAGTGGAGGCGATTGGAGGAACAGTTACAACCAGATTCTACACAAAACCAGCGATTAAGAGACTTTTGGCAGGCGAATCTGTTTCCAGTTCCGTCCCACTTTCAGCAATCGACGCCCAGTTAGTCAGCGACTCACCAATCCTCACAGCCGTTTCTGCCGCGTCACCTTTTTCGTACCGCTTACCTGATCCCACGAGTCGTAAAGATATTGAATATTACAGAGATCCGGCGCATAGGGGATACTTAAGCCATCAAGTGGAGGAAGGCCAAGGACCAAGTTTGTTCTTTAGAGCTCCTCGAACTGGAAGTTTCCAAAAGAAGTCGAAGAAAACAGGTACAGCTGCTGCGGCGAGGGAGAACAGGATCTGGTAGACGATGCCATTGTATATTAAGTTCATGGAACGACTGTGTCGCATTCTGGGGTGAATCAAACAGTGGTTTGCAGTTCATAGTAGGCTGAAGTTTCTGCTCTGTCTTACCGACCTTCAAAATTCAGCGTCAAGGCAGCAGACGGCGCTAATTCATTCCGATTTTCGCAACTATGCCCATTTCTCTGCCGGCATATCATACCACGATTCAACGAGAACAAGACAGACCAAGATGCTTGAGTCTCAGCCTCATTTATAGTTCTGGTATGGCTCGAAGCTTTGGATCTAGATCAGGTATGGCGAAGAAATGAAAGTGCAATGCATTTGTAGTAACTTGGAAAGTTTCGAAAGGATGCCCCGCGCGAACTGCTTTTGCACCAACAGACATGAAGAATTGTAAAATCTTATGTTGCCTATGTCTCCAGGATCATACTCTTCTACTTGAAACATCTCTGAGATTCCAAATTGAACATTCTTACACCACCAAAAATATGAGTAAATATGATACTTCCATGCCTAACCACTATAGAACATTGCAAATCCATACATCATCAATAGCAAAGGTCAACGTTGAGCTTTTGCATGAATTAAAGGGGCTCACATTTTAAACGACTTCACTCACCACAGGCTGTATAAACGTGACTACACTAATGAGTTGAAGCTAAATCCAAAATTTATGTACTATTTTGTGACGTAGAATGGACTTTATCGAAATGATCTTGATAATTTTCCGAAATCCATATCAATCTCTTCATTTGGGTTTCCTGTCAATAAAGGGTCCATACCTCCGCAGTCCCACCTAGGTAACACACTAAAATATGCGCGGTTACATGAGATCGCATGTCCAAGCTTTCCGCATCTGGAGCTTGTAAGCTTCCAAGTCCCTAAAACAATCATATATGATAACGACGGTGCGATACCGATTTATTCCATTTTGACTTATTGTACATAGTTATACATTTCAAGATAACTGCTGGTACAATGTCTCTATTTGGTGAGCCCGATGATCCTGTCGAAGCAACGAACCCTCCGAAGTCGCGATTATCGCTGTTCGACGACGAACCAAGTTCAACACCAGGATCCAAATCTTCATTGTTCGCAGATGACGACGATGTCTCGGGAGGCTCGCCATGGAATACATCAGTGCCAAAAAGACTAGATCGGGGAGACTTGTTGAAAACTCTCCTTCCAACATCTGACGTGCCTGAAAGTTACATTGATATCTTTGACGATGTACTCAAGGATGGCAACGATTCTAACGGAAAGCTCAGTAAAACCGGCATCGCAAAACTTTTAAATGCTGCAAATTTAAGTCCCGATAAGTCGAGTTGGATCTCGAAGATCATTGCCCCTACTACGCAGCTTCAAGATCTAGAGCGGAACGAGGTCAATGTACTATTGGCATTGATCGGTTTGGCTCAGGAAGAGGAAGACGTTCATGATGTTACACTTGATGGCGTAGATGAGCGACGAAGGAGTCAGTGCTTTTTCTTAATTGATTTCGCTTGTTCTAATCCGATAAATGCGCAGATCTCCCAGTGCCCAAGCTTACAAGCTTGACAACAATATCAACCTCAAACTTTGGGTCCTCCACCACGGATGAGTTAGCTGCGAAGTCTTCTGAACGACCTACCAGTCCGCCGTCTGTCCCTAGCTCATTTTCGCCACAACAATCTCGAATGCTACGAAAGGATTCCCTCGAATTTCCCGAAGCTGATCCCTGGGGCAGCCCGGCTCTTCATAAAGGCCATACTCATGCTAGTCCCAGATCGAACGGAGCGCCGACAAACGGAGTACGCGAACCTGTGAGAATTACAAGTGGCTTTACAACTGCTTCTACTGGTGGATCAAATGAAAATCGACATCAACAATCAAGAACTGCTCCTACAGAGCCTGCAAGTGGGGGATGGGGCTCTTATAACCCGAATCCAAATTTCAATAATTTGGCAGCGGCCCCAGTTGGTGGAAGCGGTGGGTTTGGTGGTGATGGTGGAGAAGGGGAGCGACCTGAAGAACCTGCTCCACCAGCCCGCACCTTTGGTGGCGGTCGTGTGAATAGCAACGGAGTTGAAGAAAACATAGTCGTCACTTTGTTAGCTGAGAAAGAGGGAATGTTTCTATTTCAACATCACAACTATCAAGTCTCTTCTGTTCGTAGGGGAAGTAAGGTTGTGAGAAGATACAGCGATTTTGTCTGGCTACTAGATTGCTTACAAAAGCGATACCCTTTCAGACAATTACCACTTTTGCCGCCAAAGAGAGTCGCAGGTATGCTGAACAACCAAAGGAAACTTTCACTGCTAACAAGAAGTTTTCTTTAGTGAATGGAAACCATTTGGCTGCGGAAAGCTCATTTATGGAGAAACGGAGGAGGGGATTAGCACGGTTTTCCAATGCACTTGTCAGGCACCCAGTTCTTAGTCAAGAGCAGCTGGTCATAATGTTTTTGACTGTTCCAACCGTAAGCATTCACTTCTTTAACTTTCATATATCGTTGCTAAGTACAGGCTAATTAGCATCAGGAGCTTGCTGTTTGGCGAAAGCAGGCTACTATATCTGTTCAGGAGGAATTTGTTGGGCGACCACTACCTCCAGGACTCGAAGATTCCCTGCCACCCACTTTGAACGATCTCTTCGCTCAGACTAGGATCGGTATTCGAAGATCTGCAGATGCCTATGTTAACATGTGTAATCTCATGGATCGTCTCGCCAAACGCAATGAAGGGCTTGCTGCTGATCATTTACGCATGGCGCTGTGTTTGCAATCACTCAGTGATGTCTCTCAAGACACCTACGCAATCGACACTAACGATGTGCCATTATTGAACGAGTGTCTCCATTCTACCGCGAAGCATCTTTCCAATAGCCAAAGTATTCTTGAAGATGAGGCTAAAGCCTGGGACCAAGGTGCTTTAGAAGATCTGAAGAGACAACGAGATTCGCTTGTCAGCATGAGAGATTTATTCGACCGCCGGGATCGTTATGACAAGGACAACATACCATATTTAGAACGTAGGATCGAGAACAACGAGAATAAACTAGTCACAATAAGATCAAAGCCAGAAAATATGGTCAAGCCAGGAGAAATTGAGAAGGTCACGGAAGCCATTATCAAAGTAAGCTCTTCACAGACTCATTCAAGCTCACAGAAGTTAATGATTTGTAGGACAAGGAATCCATTGTGGCTCAACATGCACGAGGGATATTTATCAAAGAGTGCATCAGAGATGAGCTCATCTACTTTCAATCAACACAGTACAATATCATTCGACTCAATCAAGATTGGGCACAAGAACGTGTGAAGTACTCGGAGCTTCAAGCGCATAACTGGAGACAATTGGAAGAGGAGCTAGATGGTGTACAGATTGGGGCGGATTAGGAGGGAGTGCATAGCGGCTGCTTTTCATTGCGTCCTTTTGAAAACTTTACTTGATACCATTAGCAGCATTCATCTCGGAGGGGTTCATTTACTCAAAGCGTCAATTTTACTTGTATACATAAATATTGTTTGGAATGTTGGTATGGGAAGAGGCATGGTGTGTGTATGTGGTGAAGTCCATATGAAGGGCCAGTAATGATGCTTTAAAATAATAATACCAATTGTGATTAAAGTGACCAACCTCTTCAAAGTTGAACAGAATCATTCAAAGTATATCAGATAACTAATTAAACTGTACAAATTGAGGGAGAGAATTCTAGATTGAAAGAAATAATACCTTCAAAAAATTCAGAATAAGTTTTATAAGTAAATCCTTCGTGAAAATTTTATAAATTACCCACTAGGTATTTAGGTAGTGAGCCTTCTCCCCCTTTTGTCAAAAATCAAACATGGAACAAATATCGCTTATGATAAGGTTAACTCTCTTATCTCAACATGAAGTTCTAAGATTACTACTACTGTACCCATAAACTTTATTTATTGCGCTAGGCTGCGGGAGTAATAAGACCGGACCAAAAGTCCATACAGGTATTCTTAACATCGAAACCCCGCCATCTTCTTCTAGACAATTCAATAAACCCAAAACCAGAGGTCGGAGTTACCAACTCTCTCAACATGCCTCTAACCGGCTTGCAGCGTTCTATGCTTAATGAGTTCATGCAAATTACTGGCGTTTCAGAAAGGACTGGCACAAGAGTGAGTGAATGCTGCCTCAAGCTCTTCTCACACTGTAAACAAATGAACCACATGCTAATAGTTGTTGATCTTGCAGCTCCTCAAAGGAACAAGCTGGAGATTAGAGCCAGCATGCGATAGGTGAGCGAACATTTTACTTCATATAGCTAGCAGCTGCTGCGCAGGACGAATACCGAGTCTTATGGTCAACTCTCGATTAACGATCTACGATCCTCTCGATTTCTGATATGACCATGGACTTTCGATGGCATCTTTGGGAATTACTTGGGGCATTTACGACTGGTCAAATCTGTCACTATACATGAAGTTTGATGGGCGGATATACACACGAGGACAAGGATAGGAAATACTTCCGGGCATCTGCTTCTATCCGTTACTTCGTTCATCAAACACCAATACGTTGGAGGATTACCGGTCCAGAGGACTCTCTTCAACTTGAACCCATCGATACTCCACTTCACTATGCCTTCTGTGGTCTGGATATGCCCGATTCTGTTCGGAGTTATTTCAAAGTGATCCTCTGCCTTCAACCGCACACGGCACTTCTGGCCAAAAGCCTCTGGTCTCTCCTTTATCATCAGTGCTTGGTGTCGACGGTTCGATTTCATGGTCGAAGCTCTTCCAGCTCATATTACAGCTTAAATATTTGATCCATCCTGACATTTCAACCATAACAGTTTCTTCCAAGCAAATAATAATGCCGTTCCCTCAGCTCAAGCAAAGGAAAAGGAGACTTTAACGAAGCTTTTCGAGAGTTACCGCAGTATGTACTTTGCACATTCTCCCCGAAATTAGTTTAATATGAAAGAAGCTGAATATTGGCAATTTAGCGTTCAGTGATGATGTTAACATGGTTGGTGTCGATGGCACTATGAAGTATTTTGGGGATGATTTGGGTGTCAATCTCGAAGGTGTTGAATTTCTTATCCCTTGTGAAATCATTCAAGTGCCATCAATAGGAGAGATGTCTAAAGAGGGCTTTGTTGAAGGATGGAAGAAGCTTGGGTAATAACCCCTGCTCACACTGGTTTACACTCGGCTGCTGACATTTAACCAAAAGCCTTGACACGATACCGAAGCAAAAATCACACATTTCGAAGGCCGTAGCGTCATTGGCGACTGATTCAGAGCTATTCAAGAGAGTATACAAACACACTTTTGTATGTGCTCGTGAAAAAGGGCAGAAAGCCCTCTCATTAGAACTTGCCAGTGTATATTGGGAACTCTTGTTCAATGCACCAGGAAGGCAATGGAAGACTGCTTCGACGAATTGGATCGCATTATGGTTGGAATTTCTCGGACAGAACTGGAAGAAGAGTGTGAACAAAGATCTATGGAACCAAACGTATCAATTCCATGCAAAGACAATGGAGGATGAAAGTCTGAGTTTCTGGAACGAAGATGGAGCATGGCCAAGCGTCATAGATGAATTTGTAGCATGGGTGAAGAAGAACAGGGGCGATCCGGAAGCTGGAGAGACAATGGAGACTGATTGAGAAGGCATGATGAAGCTTTAGAACCGACACTTTTTATTTATTTCTCTTGCAGCGAAGCATATTTCTGATTTGCACAATGGCGTTCTAGGTAGCAAGACTGGCGTTCAGACACCACATAAGCAAGTGAGGAAGAGTACCAAGACCTCATTCCCTTAATATAAATTTAACCTCATACCCTGGCGGCATGCAAATATTGACTGGATTCCCTTCTGACGCCTACACATACAGTATAAATGATACCATGCCACCCATTCAATTATTCTCTTTCAAATGTTCTTTCATTGTCCAAGGAATTGTCGAACCAATTTTACTCAAACTCTCCAATGTTCCATCTCCCAATTTCACCGAACTAAACTTGATCATCCGTGGATCTAATCCAAGGGTCGTTCGTACATCATCTTGTGTCTTGCTGGAGGCGTCATATCTCATGACAAAGTAATGTCCCTCATGGTATTGTGCTTGATGTTTGCGAGTTCGTTTAGGTAAACTGGAAATTCCCCAGTTACGTATACCGCGTATGGTACCACCGGATCTGAGGACGAGGGATCCAGCTGTGCGGGCAATTCTGTAGTTGAAGATGAGGAATTAGCCCTGATGTTTGAGGTGGGTAGGAGGGGAAAGGGAAAAGATGGTTTACTCTTTGACCTCAACGAGGTTGCCGGGTCGGACCTGGAGACTTGTTAATTATATGTCCTTTTGATGCATTCTATCTTCTGGCAATGAACTTACAATTGCGACGAGCTCATACAACATCTTGGTGGCTACATTCGAATTTTTGATACTGATGAGTCTCGACTCAAGATTGTTCAAATCAACCGGAATTTAGATTCGCCGACGCTAACTTTATGAATAAAAAAATATTGCGATTGTGATTGTCGATAAGAAAACCCCCACAATCTATTCAATAATTTTTTTGAGGCGTCGCAAATTATCTACAACAAAAATAGACAAAAATTATCTACGACGAAATTATACAAAATGTCGAAACGCCCAGCTGAAGATGAGAACATGGACCTGTCGTTAAAGGCAGGGGAGAGGCCAGAGAAACCAGAGTTAGATGATGGGGTGGGAGAATTTGAGGACGAATTTGAGGACGAGTACGAGAGTGAAGATGAGATTTTGGAAGCAGGTGTTGATGGAAGACCTGATGCTGAGAGAGAGGCTGAAGAAGCAGGTTCGTAGAAGCAATTATGAAGCAATTTCAAGTGCGCATGTCTGGAAAGTTTACTAACATGCTTATAGAGGCCATGGAAGTCGATCAACAAACTTTCATAGTTGGTAGGAATAAATTAGAACCAGGACAGACATTATCCCCCGATCTTTCCACATACGAAATGCTTCACGCACTGAGTACTCCTTGGCCTTGTCTTTCTTTCGATATACTTAAGGATGGTTTGGGCGACAACAGGAAAACATACCCCGCTACTATGTATGCAGTCGCAGGAACACAGGCAGAAAGTAAACGGGAGAAAGAAAATCAATTGATGGTTATGAAGTTCAGTGGATTAAGTAGAATGGAGAGGGAACAGGGCGAGGAAGACTCGGATGAAGATGAAGATGAAGACTCGGATCCTATCCTCGAATCGGCTTCGATACCCCTCACTGCTACAACAAACAGAATACGTTCCCACCAGACACCCGCGTCTGACTCGTCGCGGCCTCCTACTACTCTGACTGCTTCAATGAGCGAATCCGGTCAAGTTCTTATTCACGATATTACTCCTCATTTATCCTCTTTTGATACCCCCGGCACTGTTATCACTGCACAACAAAACAAACCTCTATCTACTCTTCGAATGCACAAATCGGAAGGTTATGCCGTTGATTGGTCTCCTCTGATATCTACTGGAAAGTTGGTAACAGGAGATAATGATGGTAAAATTTATGTCACTACAAGAACTGCTGGAGAAGGTTGGGCAGTGGACTCACGTCCATTTACAGGCCATACTGGAAGTGTCGAAGAATTACAATGGAGTCCTTCTGAGAAGAATGTCTTCGCATCCGCATCTAGCGATGGTACAATCAAAGTATGGGATGTACGAAGTAAAAGTCGAACTGCAGCTCTTACAGTCCAAGTAAGCGAGACAGATGTTAACGTCATGTCCTGGTCACATCAAACATCTCATCTCCTCGCTTCTGGGGCCGACGATGGAGTCTGGGCAGTTTGGGATCTCCGAAACTGGAAACCTACAAATAACTCTCTACCATCTAAACCTACCCCAGTCGCCAGTTTCAATTTCCACAAAGAACAAATTACAAGTGTAGAATGGCATCCTACGGATGATAGTATCGTGGCTGTAGCTGCTGGTGATGATACCTTGACGCTTTGGGATTTGGCTGTAGAATTGGATGATGAGGAGAGTAAAGATACAGGTGGTGTTAATGATGTACCACCACAACTTTTGTTTGTGCATTACATGGCTAAGGTTAAGGAAGCACATTGGCATCCACAGATTCCTGGGGCATTGGTAGGAACAGGAGAGAACTTTAATGTTTTCAAGACAATTAGTGTTTAGAACAGAAGTTGAGCAAAAACAAAAAATAGAACTAAGAGATGATAATGAAAAAAAGTTTAACATTATTATCTTTCGTACTTCTCTTCTCTTCGGCATCTCGGATAGATGGTTCCTCGTGTAGATAGATGGTATGCAGTGCGGTTACAGTAAGCACCAATAAACACCCCAGATCTAGATATCCCGTCCATCTACCTACCTAGATAGTGTAGTATCCATCCATTCATCGCATCGACCACAATAACATAGCACCGGAAATTTCCCAGTCCCATACTACATACTCCCCTGACCAGCTGGTACAATATCGAATTTTTTGCGATTGGTACCGTTATGGTTATGGTTAGGGGTATGGTTATTTATGCTTATGTAGTTATAGATGCATAATGCATTCATTGCCTTTTTGCCTCTTTGGGATTTACGATCGGATCGATAGGATATACTCGAGTGCTGTGTGTGTCATAAGGTGCGGTTATACTCGGGTACGTATTAATTTGATGTTGATGTTGATGTTGATGTTTGTATGGGTGTTGGAGAGGGAGTATAGAAGTGGTGAAGTGAGGTGAAGTGAGATCTAGGGTGTGATAATTACTGTACAGAGTAGTATTTGTAAGTTTTAGTTCTAGGGAGTATGAAGTAGTAGATGCGAATCTTTCCATTTTCAAGATTGAGATATTGAAATATTGGAATAATCAATATGGAATTGGATAGGTACTCAATACTTACTGCTTACTCCTTTTGTTTTTCTTTTTCTTTGGGGAGAGGGGGAAAAATGGTTGTGTATGGGTTACCTACCTACCTTTTTCCTCTGTGATTTCTGGGGATGTGTATGTATGTATGCGGATGGATTGATTGGATTGGATTTTGGACTGATTGGATTTTGGATTGATGGGTAGTGGTAAGTTGGTGAATGGATGTGGATGGATGGATGGATGTATATGGTTATGGTTCTGGAGCTGAGCTGAATTGGATTGGATCTAGTTGAATTGTATTGAATCGAATTGGGTGAGCTGGATAGATAGATGGTAGGTTAAGTATTATAAATTAAACTACTTTCTATCTTAGATAAGCGCTTTAATCGCAAGATGAGTTTTGGTTTTTCTAGAATGAGAAATAGAATTAGAACGAGGATTAGGGGATATAATACCTAATATCTGGGTTAGGATATGTTTTTGTTTTCAAGGTAGAGAAGGATAGACAAAAGAATTGAGGGTAATATACTATCTATGAGGCACCTAGCTATTAATATTTTATGGATGTATATATATATATACCTTCTTATATGAATATCAATTGATATAAATCTATATCAGAATTTTATTAAATTAAGATTCCCGATTTACTTGACATTCTCTCTCATTAGAAACTATAGAGTACATCTTCTTTCTTTTTAACTCCCTAGTTAACTAATTGATTAACTAACTAACTAACCATCTAAACAACTAACACAACCTATAATACAATACAACCCCATCCACCCATCCATTCATGCGCGCAAGCAACCAAGCAAGCAACAAGCAACGAAGCAAATTATATGCAAGTAAGTGCCCTCGTGATCCCAAAATCGCATCAGCAACAGGGTTCTCCAAGCCTTCTCCAAGCCTTCTCCAAGCCTCTTTAGCTAGGCTTGAGCTGGGCTTGAAGTTTAGAAAAGAAAGTATTGTCATTGGTGCTCAGCTGGGATGGGAACGATGGGAAAGGATTGGAAAATGACCTTTCCCCGCAAATGTTTATATATGCATGTATGAATGTGTGTATGTATGGTGTATGTGTGTATGCATATGTGCGAATGTGGAGAGGTTGTGTTGTAGAACGGGAGATTAATGGATGGATGGTTGAATGGACTAGGATGGATTGATATTGTTTTGGTTTGTGGAGAGGAGAGGAGAGAGAGGTTGTACGAGAGGTGAGGTGAGGTGGATGAGGTGTATGTCCATAATGGGGTGATAAATGGCGGCTCACTTTTTCTGTATTTTTGTGGTTTGTGATTTTGTTTTTATTTTTTTGCTTGTGATATGATGGTATGTGATAACCCTTAATTTTTAAGATCAATTTCTCATACGATTTATTTTACTTTTACTTGATTGATATTTGAGACTCGACGGAGCGATACAGCAGAAGATGTCAAGTTGGTTCTTGTTACCAACCAGCAGAGCATATACCAAATGACTGATTCAATTCTTACTCCTATGCTTCTTCCTTCCTTGAGGAAATGAAGAAGATATCCTTCTGATTGGGCCTCTCCTTCAATCCTTTCTACAAATCAGAAACCATACAAATGAATGTGGATATGGTACCACTTCACCACCCTATGGCTATCCCACTCCATCCCCAAGTTCAAGAACCATTTCAATTCAAACTCATCGCCAATCCCCCTACCGAATCCTCCTTCCCCTCCTTTGCACCTGCATCACTTCCCTACCGCTACAAACGTGCGCGAGCCCTTTCAGACGTCGATGGTAAAGGGAATTCCGTCGAGGAAGGTCGGAAAAAAAGAAGGTTACGTCTTCATCTTGTTACATCACGATTAAGCCGGCCTTTTTCTGTGCCTGCTACTAACATAAATATTGCATATCGAGGGGGTTGTGCAAAAAATTTCTTGTTAGGAGGGAAAAGGAAATTTGGGGAACATGGGAGAAAAGAGATTGGGATTGGGAGTGGAAAGAATGTTTTGAGGAAAATTGCAATATTGAATAGGGTGAGGTTGCAAATGCAGATGCAGATGCAGATGCAGATGCAGATACATGGCGCAAAGGAAGTCCCAAGTGTTTGTCGTGGGAGTCGGAGTGAGAGTGAGCGGAAGGAGGAGAGATTACAATTGGACGTGGGCATACATTTGAAAGAGATCGTGAAGGTGACAGAAAAACAAAACAAAAGGTGGAATGAATTTGTGTTGCCGCCGAGTCCGCTTGGAAGATCGAACTACGATGTTCTGGATTCTGAAGATGATATGTTTATGAATGAATTGGAGGATGGATGTGAGAAGGAAATTTATAGTGATTTCAATATTATGTGTCCGACCAGCGAGGGAAATGATTATGAGTATATGGATACACTTGATGGTCTTTCACCGGAGGATATGCAGGAGCAGCCACAGAGTCCGCCAGAGGGAGAGAAGATTATGGAAATTTCGAAGGAGGACAGATTGCATGACAGCTATTTTGTATGTCTTGGGGGTTCGTAAATGAGGTTGCTGGTGGGTTACGACACGCGACGGAGAGGACTAGGAGGTATTTTTCAGGGGTTATAACAGGACGTGAAAAGAAGGGGAAAGTTCGGACCTATCCATTTTCGTGGAGCGAAGTTGCTTTTCGAAGGATTAAAATGACCTTAAATTGGAGGCAATCTTGAATAATTTTAGAAAATGGTCGAAGTCATGGCGTGGGCGAGTGTATGGTAGGGTGATCAAAAATAACAAAAAAAGGATAAGCATATGCAGCCAAATCTCTTGGATTCAAAGACTTTTCATACTGCTTTTAAAGTATGGAGTTTTGAGGCGCGATCTGCTGCAATATCACACATTGCCTGTATCCATTAAATTAGCTACAAAATCATTTCCAATCCCACACACGTCTTACCTGAATAGCCTCCTTTCTCTCAAGTCCAATATCTCCCCTGGATATTCTTCTTCTCATATCTTCAAAAATCGCAGGTCTCGATCTCCCATTCACGAAAACACTAACATCATGATTAGCACTTGCTTATCTACTGTAGGCAAGAGGTCCGTCCGTACACATATCGTAAACCTGGAAAAGTCCTCTCATATTCCTCATTAAGACCCTTTAACTTCTCGGCTTCTTCAGTAGGTCCAGTATTCAATTGAGCTTGTTCAGCCTTTGATTGTAGACTATCTACTTTCTTCTCGCCTAGTCTAGGATGAGAACCAAGAATCTTGTCTAGCCACTCTTTATCACTTGGTAATGTACTTTCTGATAATTCAATGAGTTGAACACCGACACTTGTGATAAGATCATGGTAAGATTCAAATGTCGTGGTATGAAGTAGATCCACAGAGAGTGTATGAAGAGCAATGCATGGCTCGAATAAAGTGTCGAGGACACTGGATCGTTCAATAGTGGACAGGGAGGGAAGTCCAGCGATGGGAGGTAGGGAATTCATTGTGAAAAGGTTTTAATGAGATTGAGGATAAGATTTAACAAAAAAATTGTTTGTTTACTCAAGAAAATATGTGAGCAAGCTGCAGGTGATTTATATATATATCAATATATATCAACATATATCAACATATATCAATACAACAGTATCTATCTTTCTATGAAGTCACAAATGAATATTGAATTCCCCACAAGGCCGGCGCCGGGAGCTTTTGGAGATACAAACTAATCCAAAAGTAGCTTAGCCCAACTGCAGCTGGTCGCGACCTCAAAATATCTTTTTGTCGGGTCGCGCCGTGAGCTTCTAGCTTTAAACCCCATATCAACTCAAATCAACATGTTGTGCTCAAGTAAGTTTAAAGAGCTCTCAGAATTGATTTATGACTTGCGACTGACTTTCTATAGTATCTGGAGAAGCTCCACTGCAACCTGTTGCTTCATCGAAATCAGGTAAGTTGGAAAGCAACTTACCTTCCTGTCAATGAATTTAAAATAACAGATTTCAGGCAACATTTTCGAAAAACGACTTATTGAATCATATATTGCAGAAAATCATAAAGATCCAGTTACCGGGGAAGATCTCGAAATTGCAGATCTAATCGACCTCAAATCCGCCAAAATCGTTACTCCTCGACCTCCGACTCTCACATCGATTCCTTCTCTCCTTTCTACTTTCCAAAACGAATGGGATGCATTAGCGTTGGAAAGCTTCACTATACGACAACAATTACATCAGACTCGACAGGAGTTGTCAACAGCATTATATCAACATGATGCAGCCGTGAGGGTTATTGCGCGGCTGACGAAGGAGAGAGATGAGGCTAGAGATGCGTTAAGCAAGGTTTCAATTGGAGCTGGAAATTCTGGAAATGGTGATGCTATGCAGGTTGATACTCAAGGCCTCCCAGAAAACTTGGCGAATCTGGTCGATGCTACACAGGCTGAGTACGAGTTTTGACGAAAGAGTTATGAGATTAATTGCTAATCAGATTATAGGCTTTCCAAAAGCCGTCGAAAGCGACCTGTTCCAAAAGGATGGGCTACCGCGGAGGATATTGGCCAATTTAAGATCGCTGCTACTTCGGAACCTTTATACCCTGGATGCACTTCACTCGCTCAGAATGAAGACAAGTTAATCGTTGGTGGATCGAAAGAGGTAGGTATCTATTCATTGACGCAACAAAAGATCATAAAGTCGTTTGAGGTCGGAGGTCCAGTCACAGGAGCTGCTTTCTCCAGCAGCATGCCTATTGTGTCCACTGCAAATGGAGTTGTAAAGTTGTTGGGGGATGAAGAACATACATTTACATCGCATGCTGGTGCAGTCAATGCTCTTGCATTACATCCGAGCGGTGAAATTCTAGCATCTGTTGGTGTCGACAAGAGCTTTGTATTTTATGATCTGGCTGAGAAGAAGGCAATCATTCAAATTTATACAGATTCAGGTATGTCGGCATTGGAACTTTACAAGTGTCCATTATTAACATTTGATAGAACTTAAAACGGCGGCTTTCCATCCAGATGGTCATCTTTTTGCGGCCGGCGGTGTTGATGGCCAAATCAAATTATTCCATGTTAAGACGGGTGAGAGTGCTGGTGTAAATTTCGAAATAGTTGGGCCTGTCCAGGATGTCGCCTTTTCTGAGAATGGTATATGGTTTGCCGCTGTTGCCAAAGGATCTACTAGTGTTGTGATTTTTGACATCAGAAAAGAAGGAAAGGCTGCAGAGGCAAAGGTTTTAGAAATTGGTGGACCAGTTGATGCTATTCAGTGGGATTACACGGGTCAATTTTTGGCAGCCTCGGGACCAAGAGGGCTTACCATCTCTCAATACACCAAATCTACAAAATCCTGGTCGGATGCTACGAGCTTAGCTTTGCCAGCAACTGCAGTGCAGTGGGGTGAGGAGGCGAAGAGTTTAATCACCGTTAATAATGAGGGAGTTGTTACGGTTCTTGGTGTAGCTCCTGAATGATGGAGTTTTCAAAACATGGAGATCGGGTGGGAATATCATGGGAGTTTGGTCGTTTGACGATGTGAAAAAGAACAAGAAACTTGGCGAGTTTTTTTTCACATTACTGTAATATTAAGAGAGAAGCATATTCGCAAGGCCCAAAATGATCAATATTGATGGCACATGCCGACCTGCACTTGAAGTCAGAATTTTAATTTGCGAGTGATAAATGTTGAAAGTTTGGAAATTGTAGTAATGCCTTCCTATGGACCTAGGTATATCAAAGGTTCAAGGGTTGATAAGAATATAAATTGATAAATATTTATTATATTATATCGAATACAATTTCTACATACTATAAGTATAACTATCAACTATAAAGATATTTTTTTAATATAGAATAAATTTTCATTTATAAAAGATTATAATACTAATGTCATTGAATCTTATATAACAAATTCTATACCAGTCGAATTAGAACAAAGATATATAATTGAATTCTCCGGGAGATTATAGTATCCCGAGTGCCCGTATAAAAGAGGTTGATAATACATACCGATAAAGAAATGAACTAAGATCGCTTATTCATATCTAGGTCAATACCATTCATATCAAATTGGGCTCCGATCGAACCTCATCTTATTACAACAACAACACACAACACCCCACTACAAAGGGAATACATTCGATTCTATACCATTGATCCATCAAACAAAAGGATCTTGTCAAGATTTCAAAAGTTTTTACTTTCCTTTTTTATCCACAGAGCAATCGAAAGTACAGGATACAGGATCCTTTGCCGCTACCGGGGAATTTCATTTGATTATGGAGAATGAATTGACAGGAACTCGAGAGAATCGTAAGGTAGGAGCCAATGTTCACTTTTTTTTACTTTGGTGAATAGAAAGAATATCTAGTTGTTTCTTTACTGACATTTCTCTATCCTCTCAAAGCGATCTCATCTAGAGATGTCCCAGTCGCATTTAAGACTTTCATCATCACCAGTACTATTTCGGGAAAGACCCTCGAACTTCGGAAACTCCTCTCCAATATTTGCACCATTGGCAAATATTCCTACTGCCTCCTCTTCTTCTCGAGAACGACGCTTTCCAGCACAGCGAGGACGAACACCAAATTCTCCTTCAGATCAATCCAGTCGCCATTCACGATCATTTAGGGCTTCGGGAGAAATGGAAGCAGATTTATTGCCACCTCCTCGACGCCGGTCGGCAGCTAGCTCCGGAATCATTATCGATTTAACATCAGACCAAGATGATATTCCTTCATCTCCAGCCCCGCATCGTCGCACAGCTCGTATTAATGCTCCTTCTCCGAGACCACCACCGACTTTAGGGAGGAGTGAAGCAAGATTAGAGCAGGTTGTGGATCTTACAGCGGACGATGATGATGATGATGAGGATGATACTATCATTATAACCCATTCTCGAGAACGTTCTATACCCCTTCCTCCCCGTGGCCGACTACCACAACCACCATCAATAACTCCTCCATATGGAGAGGGAATAAGAGTTCATACGATTCGCGGCACTTATATTCTCAATGAAAATCAGATGGGACCAGCAAGGCCGCCGCCAGAACGCCACCTCCCTGTTGGTGAGCGTGCCATTGGTGGTATGAGAGCTCTTTACGAAAATGGCGCTGACATTATCATGAACATTCACAATTTAATGGGCCTCAATCATGATGAACTTGTGGGAGGAATGCCTTTCTTGGGTGGCTACCCAGCTATGCCGAATGTTATGGATTATGGAAGAGTGGCGTTGCAAGAAAATAAGCCTGAACATGTTCCACCTCCGCCAGTAGGAGATGGATTTACAAGGTCGCCTACAGAGAATGATACTGCGATTTGCCCAAGCTGTGAAGAAGAATTAATTCATAGAAAGGATGGTGATGAGCCAATGGCAAAGAAGTCTCGCGGGGCACCTAGTAGAAAAGACAGAGAAGAACATCCTTTCTGGGTTGTCAAAGATTGTGGTCATGTAAGCTTTACTTATTCCATCTCAATCAAACATCACTAATAGAAACTAGGTGTTCTGCAATAAATGCTATCAACATCGCTCGAATGAAAAATTATCCTCCTTTCGTGGAAGCAAGAACATCCTCTGTTCAGTTGAGGACTGTGAATCGGTCGTCAAAAATAAGGATAAATGGGTGGGCATATTCCTGTAATATCAAAATTTCGGCCCCCGCGATGCCAGGATGGTTAGGCGATTCCTTTTTTTTTGGTCAATATCGACGGGATGGCATTTCATCAATTATCATATTAGGGACATCACTGTCATGGAGTTTCAACATTAGCATCAGTTACAGGAGTATCGATTGGTTGGGGCGGTTTCCGTTGATTTCTACAAGGCGGGCTTGGGCTTGGCTTATATCATTATGTGCTCTATACTGGGGCGTTAATGAAAGGGAAAGAATGGAGGAATAAATCAAGGTCGTGGGCGCGGAACATGTGTCAATAGGCATGGAGAACAATGGAAAGAAATTCTATCTGGGTAAAGGTCTGGAATGGATAGAGAACAAGAGCAAGTGAATGGAGAAAATTCTCTGACATTCCAAGAGCGATATATTCATATGTATCACACATTTTTTTTCATTCTGGACATAATGGGCAGAGGTGTACATTAGTGAAGTAGAATAGCAAAATGAAGTAATTACGATAATATTTTTATGGTGACGGATATTGTGTGTGAGTATGCCTTTGCGTCATTTTTCAGGTTTGGCTCTTGGTATCAAGAGGAAGAAGAGAGAGGAGAACAATGAGGAGGGAATCGATTATAAAAGAATGTCTAGAAGTAGTCTTGTCTTCTTTATAAATATTTATTGATTGGATTGGATTATAAAATATATAATGTAATTTGATTTGATCTGATTTAATATTTCTTTTTGATTAAGTTTATTTTATTTTGTTCTTTCATTCTATATTTTGAAAAGAAAAATTATATATATTTTTTAATATCTTTTTTTTTAAATATATATATATATATATAAAGGATTGATATAATTTATAGAAAAATCAATATTTAACAAAAATTTATTATTTCAAATTTAAATTTGATTATAAGGTTTTATTCTTTTGAGGTGGTGGAGGCTGTTGGTTGATAGTTGATAGAAAGGAGAAGGAGAAGGATATGTAACGATACTATACTGGAGGCAGCGGCTGTCTAAGGTTTCGTTTGGTTGGTAGTTGTGGGTTAAGGCTTTATCATTGGTCTTCATTTGGAAGTGAAGTCGTTACTAGATCAAGTAGAATGTAGGTAAACTAATTGATAACTAAGTTGAGCACAAAGCTCCTTAACTACGAGACTAAATGAATGTTTATATACCCTATATCATCTTTTGAGGACCCTTGGGACCCTAAGGTCCAAAAGGTCCTCGAGGTCACGTGAATTAATGAATCGTGACAGGATAATAGATTTATATCAATCAATACCTCCTCCTATACCTCCTCCTCCACTAACCCTCTAACCGTAAAACCCCCAAAAAGTAATTAATGAGGCTTAGGTAAGCAATGTAGGAGTAAGATAAACTAGACGGAATAGGGGTGGCGAGGGTGTTGGTTGATTAAGTATCCATAGTGGAATAATTAGTGTATTTGATAGGGTAAGAATTACTCAGGGGAGGAGGTTAGGACTAGGAGGGAGGATGGAATGGAGAGCTGTATATATCAGTAGGGTGAGTATTTGCAAGACGGTAGGAAAGAATAGTAGTGAATATCAGGAATAGAATAAAGTGAATGGTAATAGAGCGAAGTGAGGTGGAGGAATGGCATGGAATGAATAAATAGGTGAGGGATAGTGGTGAATGAGAGGAGATATAAATGTTAGGATCTTACAAAAATGAAATGATGTTTATAGCAAGTACTTTAATGCTGAATATCATAATTTTCATTAAGGTTATTCGGTTCTTAATTTTTTCTTCTAATTCCTTCATATTCATTTCTATCCCATTTTCCCTCCTCGACGTCCCATCCTATCTGATCTCATCTATCTATATTCAACGTCTCTATCAATAGCAACTTCCAAATAACTATGCGATATATCAAGTCTAATAAGTCGATAATGAAAACTGCCAGGAAGACGCAGATTTGGATGACGGGTTGAGATGAGCATGGTTGATCTTTAGTGGATTGAATATAGTTATGTAATTATATCTGGGCTTTAAAATATAAGATTTGTAAGTAAATTTGAAGAAATTGGTGAGCGAGTGAGTGAGTGAGGGATTAGGAAATGACCAAAAATCTGACAGTTAGAAAGAGGAATAGAAAATAATAAATATGAAAAATGTATGGCCCAAACTGACGGTAAATACCTCGGGGTGAAATGTCTGAGAGTGCTATGTTATATTTGTGAAGTGCTACACTGTTTGAAGTTCTTGATACAAATGGCAAGATGAGTTATAAGTAAGGATTTGTCTTTCTCTTGTCGTCTTGTGAATTTCGACTTTGAAAACTTGAGAGTTGAGATGGATGTGTAGAAAAGAAAGGAGATAAATTATATAGATGTAAGGGATTAAGCGATTAAGTAATAGGCAGGCAAATTCGAGCAATGGAGTACGTTGAGTATAGGATGTAATTTGTATTGAGATGAATGGCATGATGATTGGTATAGATATTGTCTTTCTTAAGACCACTATCAATACAGAATCGACTTCGTCTGGTATAAAGACGCGAGAATGTAATGATGCTTCTACATAGACTCAAAAACGTAGCAAGCTGACTCCCTCCTTCGAAACTATACTAAGCAAGGAGGTATAGTAGCAAATAATTCGCGGGACTAAATGTTATATCGCGATAGATGATTATATGAGTACTAGACATGATTTTGTCAATTGACCACAGAGAAATATTCTGTGCAATGTCCGCTGTTTCCACATTCCCATATCATAGCTTTCGAATCCACGCATTTATCCTACAAGTAGACTTCTCTTGCATCGGCAGCAGCAGGACAGGAACAGAAGGCAGCATAGTAACAAACAGCAGCATAGCAACAGACAAAAGAACAACAACGCTCCACCACAAAAAATCAAAAATCAAAAACCCAGAAATAAAATCATCAACCCTAAGCGATCAACAACTCCCTCCCCACCCCTTCCTTCCATACCCCTCCTACAAGAATCCACACACATCAACGCCGATCACCTCACCTTACACACATAAAAAAAACTGCAAATATCCAAACCCTTATGCAAGAATGCTTGTACCTGGTTTCTCTACCTCGCTCGGAATTACTCCTAGAGGAAGTGTATCTCGGGAGAGAGCGGAAGACCCCTGGATTTTTTTTCGTGCAGTAAGCTAGCTGCTAGCTAGCTTGTAAGTATGTATGTACGCAAGCAGGCTAGCAGGCTAGCAGGCAAGCAAGCAAGCGGCATGTCGATAATAGATAGAATCTAAGATGCAAGAAATAGGCTAGTTGAGAGATGGATGGATGGGTTTGGGGTGGTGCTAGTTATGCTGTAGAGCTATCTAGATTTTGGAGTGTGAATGAGATGAGACTGATGGGGTGAGTGAAGAGATGAAGAGATGTGGAAGATTGACGTTTGGATTAGATTTTTTATTTAACGAGATATGAATAGTATGATATGGAAGATAGGTAGATATATACATGTATACGGACGATACATAACTAGGGATGGATATATAACAGGCATTTATCTACCTTCTTCATTCAACACTAAATAAAGAATGATGTAGATTAATACACGCCACCCACTCCACTAGTCTCCCACCTCTCCCCCAAACCCCGATTCCGACACAAACCGACCGATTCTGCGCGAACTTTCTTTGCAGATTTAGATACATTTTCGTGAACGATTTTTTGTAAGCGATGATCTTAGCTCAAAATTATGCATCTAATAGATAAATATGTAGGTCTGTAGTTAGGACATGCAGTAGAGGAGTAGGGATTTAGTTAATAGTTCGTCTGTTGTTTATTTATACTTTGTGATTTTGTGAGTAGAGAGAAGATCTTGATGTGATTGACGAATTATTTTTGTATAGTTGGGGAAATTATAGAGTATGAATGGGTGGATTTGGTGGGACTTTTTTATTCTGATGTTAAATAAATAAATTTAATAATAGTATCTATTAATACTTTTGAAATAAATCTTTTTAATAAGTGTTTATATTGTTACGACGGCTTCTGGCCTCGTATCATATGACCACGTACGAAGTCATGTGATCCCTTCGATCCCTTTTATCGAAGGGATCGAAGGGACCGAAGGAACGATAGGCATGAAGGTCTATATAATCAAGATGGATTTCCTTTGTATAGAGCTTCGTGCTCAAGATCAATCATTTAGTATACTCTACTATTAGTTACGAATTGCATTATTGTCATTACTTTAAGTCCCTGCTTGACGCCTAGTTATAAACCACCTCGAGAGCCTAGAGCGCTTCCACGTGATCTAGACGGCAAACCTCGTGACATATATTTATATTTATATTTATTTAATCTAATTCATTCACCTACTCATCCCCCCTAATTTCCTCAATCCACAAAAAAAGAACTTAATCTCAATACTACAGGATCAAAAAATCTTCCCCGTCAAAAGATCGGTGGAATATGCCGCTGGTCATTGATTGCTCGTCGCGGCGCAGGGTATCTACATCCCATATTCATACCCCATATAAAGAGGAAGTTCAGGTTCAAATTTATATGTGATGCGTACATATATTTTGATGCCAATCGATGCAGATGGTATGTTTGATACCTAGTTATACCTTACCCGCTTTACATTATATTTGGTCTATGCATATGTATATATACGCACAACAATATCTAGCTGAGTTTGGATAATAATCGGTTACTTGATTTCTTATTCGTTTCCTTGGGGGATAACCTTATGTCTGGCTTTTTTGATGGGTTAAGGTTAATGAAAGAGAACCAAAAGAACCTCCAAAAAAAAAGCTGGGGAAAACAGGGGAAAACCGGGGTATGAAAAATTTCACTGTGGATATTGCCAACACCAACTCATTCACTTAAACACTTTCCATCCATACCGAAATCTGGACCTGGACCTGGATCTTTTTACTCTCGATATCGCTTCGCTTCGCTATTGAAGTTCTGTTATTCGGTCGAAATCTAATAGAAAAGACAGGGCAAGGTGTTGCTAAGAGTGGGAGGTGTATAATAACTCAATACTCATACTCTGCACACCACATACATATAATATATAAAATCTAAAGTTCTAACGTCTTTCAAACCCTTCTTTTGCATTGCATCGCATTACATGACATAGCATAGCAGGTATGCATGGTATGGTATAAGAGGAGAGGAGATGAGAGACTATTAATATTTTGCCGGCTTCCGAGTGGATTCACATGTGAGGTGAGGATGAAAATCAAAGGGAGGGTGGCAATGGAAAAAGAAAAAGAAAAAGAAAAAGAAAAGAAGCAAAAACTAGTAGGGGCATTGCGTTGCATTTCTTACCTATCTATCCTATATGCAGATAATTTTGCCGTGCCGTGTATAAGTGAGTTTGAATCCGCGGTTGATGTATGTGTGTGATGTGTATGTATGTGTGTGATGGATGTATAAAGCAGAAAACAGAAAACAGAAAACAGAACATATAACATGATCGATGGAACAACGAATAAGAGAGAGAGAAAATTTCAGTTTAGCTTGAACTCAAAAGTTGTTATGTACTATACGACTATACGACTATACGCAAGGTACAGAGGAAGATATGTTTGTTCGTATATTCCATATTTTGAAGCGAAGTGGTCTAGATGGTTGATTGATGCATAGGTAGGTAGGTAAGTACGTACGTACGTACGTATATGTAAATTTCTTCCTCGCGCACCTAGACAGAGATTACTACTGTATAATTCTTTTGGTGTGATGTGTAATAGAGTATGTATAGAGGTATGTATGTACGGAGTATGTACAGTAGGTATGCTCTTTCATCGTTGTAGAGCAGAGCTTGGATCACTTCTTGATCAGTAAGATGGATTGTAGATTTTCTGATATGTACCCGTCTGGGGTCTGGAGAAAACACGAGTTTGTAAGGTTAGATCCTGGATGGGTGTGGAGATGACGAGACGGAGGTTGAGTTTATTTGTACGAGGTGAGTGTATATATTGTAGAGTAAGTGGATAGATGAATTGGTGTATAGGTAGGTATGTATTACTAATCTAATTGATATTGAAATGTATGAGATAGTAGAGATACAATAGATCAAACATACAAACTCATCCGAATCATTCAAAAGAAATAGATAATCTTAATCAGGAAGAGTAGAACTAAAAGTAGAATAGTGAGTTACGAGTAAAAAGACGGAAATAGGTTTGTACGAGGCATTTTTTCAGTCTGCATCCATCCCATCATCAATCGGTGTACCGGGGTAGTTTACACGTCCGTTGTGGGTAAGGATAGAAGCGGATTCTTCGGATAAGAGCGGCGATGTGAAATGATGGATGCATGGTGGGGACTAAGAACTCAAAATGTACCTTGTAGTAAGTAGTACAGTAACTAATCTACTCTGTAAGGAGTAAGGTTGGTTGAATGAATACCGTACCTACTCTACTGTCTAGGTACCTAGTATAAATGAATAAATTAATGAATAAATAAATAAATAAACAAAATAAAATAAAAATGGGTTGAAACTTCCAGCAAAGGTTACCATGTTCTGGATCCGGATTCCATTTCTTTCAAAGACTGTTTCTGTTTCTGTTCCTGTTTCTCTTTCGGTTGTATGATGCAGAGAAACGTACAGAGTATAGTTTACTGTCAGTCTAACGGTCGGATCACTGATTGATGAGATTACTTCTAGCTAAATACTCCGTAGGTATGTAACGGTACATACTATCTAGGTATTCCGAAAAATTCTGGACCGTTGATGTTGGAAATCCTTCCGGTGAGTTTATATTGTATTCTGGAGATACGATGGAAGTATGGAGTAGTGTGGATTAGATGAATGGAGTATGGTGGATGAGATGAATGGACTACTGTGAGATGAATGGACTACTGATGATTATGTGCTCTAGCTAGCTGTAGTGTTACATGTAGGAAGCTTTTGATCTTGATCGAATGATGAATGGGAATGGGAGCCGAGAGTTAATTCACATCACCGTACGTCGTAAACCAGTAAGGACACAGATGTAGAAGGATTATTAATGATTAGAAAACAATATAGAGACCGTTCATCTGATCCAGTTTCCTGTGCTATTTGTGATCGGAGTACCGGTGTGCTATCCGATTCACATATTTGATAATGAATAGCTACATACCGCATACCGCATATCTCAATCACATATCGATGAAGAAATCCAGGGGCGAAATGGTCCAGCCCTAAATCCGTTGGATCTTGATAAGAAGATGAAAAACTATTGAACGTTTTCATCATGATACTTCGGTCGGATTACTAATTTCGTTTACGATTCCCTATCCTTTTCTTTGTACTGTATGGACTTGGGATGCTTTTACATGATGAAATGTTGTGGACCCTTGAGAAATGCTTAGACATTTTGATGGGCGAGTAAGAGAAGGATTTCTTTGTATACTGCGTACCAAATCAACCAGTTAATTGGTAGACTTATTTGCAGGTGCGTTGCAGAATATGCTGTAGCTATGTAGCTATGTGCCTACATGGCAAAGAAGCTCTGATTGAGATTAGCTTGATGAAGTTGATGGCCTTGATTTGCTGGTTAATGTTCATTCGATGCGAGAACTTGCATTGAGACGATTTTGATGGCTTTGATTAATTGATATGAAAAGCTTCCATTCCTTCGTGAAGCTTCACACTTTTGAAAGAAAACGCCTTCTATGATGTATGAGTACTTTCATCTCATGCATCAAGAACTTGGAGAGTCAAAAATAGTACGAATTCATCACTTTATTCATTCCTCATTTGCGCTTGTTGCCAAGTCAATGAACCAATCATTTGATTCAATTCCTGATCAATAAAGAAAAGTTAGGTATTACGGAGATCAATCCTACTCTTGAATATGATTGGGTAGACTTCTTCTCTCTAACTGTTTTCAATATGGGAGGTCCAATTACTTCCAGATCATCATTCATCATTCATCATTCATCATTCAACAAGATGATTTTAGTACCGGGCCGGCAGTTATCAGCTATCTGATCTACCATCAATCACCATCAACTGATATAATTATCAATTGATCTTTGTAGTTTACCCTAAATTATTATTGATCCAAATAATTGAATTTAAATCATCTGTTATTGATTAACTTTCCCCTTCGTCATCGCAAGATTCCATCAATTAATAAGGACGGACTTACGAGGTGGTATTAGTATTCCGAAATTCAATTATATCGATAGCTACCTACTCATCTGCTCATCTGCTCACCTGCTCACCTGCTCACGAACCCTCTCTTAAAACGGCAAGACGTCATCGAGAAATCAATAGGCTATGAGGTCCCTCCCTAGTCGATTAGTCAATTAGTCAATAAGGATTAGGTTAAAAGTCCCCAGTGTGTGTCAGAATCCACTAAAAGAGATCCACCCCTACTCCATCATACAGCCAAAACAGCAAAAGCCTTCTCATAATTATGGATATGACCAATCATTATCCTAGATTCCCTTAAAACTTACCCTGAAAGTCGCATATTCATACAGATTCCTACATGTTCATACAGCTTCATACATGTTCACTTAGCTTCATCATTGGTTAGAGAGAAAGGTCATCCTGTTCCTAGTTCCATCGGTCGTCTCCACCACAGCTCTCTCTCTCTCTTACTTTCCTTGTCTTGATGGGCAAAAAATAGACAAGACTACCTAGCACTACGTATTTCGATACACGGCTACCGATATCCAAAATCATCTCGCCGTTTATGAAGGTACTCTACTTGCGACGTGAAAAAAGAGAACCTCGAGTGACTACGATCCAGAGTTATTACTCATTGTAAGTAGACTCAATTAATTATACTCATCTTCACAATTCGTAAATATCATATTCATGGGGTTTTTATTAAGTTTACAGGAAACAGCTTAGTGGAATCGGCTCATTTACGCACAGAGTTACGCACAGAGGATATACCTCACAGCCACCCCCAGATTTAAAACTACATCCCATTTCAACTACAGCTACAGCTACAACTACTACAACTATACAACAACTACAATCACAACTACAACCACAATCTTTTTCATTTACTTATATCATTTGTACCGAATCACATACTTTATTTTAACGACAGACAGCATTTCCTATTATCATTGGCCCTTTCACTATTTACGCCATTCTTTCCCGAATACCATCTTTTTCAATACTCCATACCTCCCATTCCTCCATCGAATTCCAAATCCAACCAAAGTACATACAACCAGGAGGCCTGCAAATAATCATTCACTTACTGGCCAACAGCAAGAATTGCCTACACCACCTTTCATTTATTGGTCTGCAGAAACGAGAAACAGTAAAGGATCGGGTCGGCTAAAGCTTCAACGGCCGAAGGTTGTAACGACTGAAAAAGGCTTGGGTGGTTTTATTGTTGCATCGCTGCATCAAGAACTGCAAGTCCCCCAGTAAAAAGGATCCGCCAGCCTTTGATTCATTGGAAAAGCCCGTAAGTCGAAACATCTACCTTTGCCACGAACAATCACTCTTCAAACCGGGAACGAATGGATTATTGAACCATTTCTAGCATGTACAAACCTTTGTAGGAAGTTATTCTCAAATATCTCAGCCTCGTTCTTCTTTAATCATGCGGGACAAATCGACAATCAAGCAGGAGGAATCGCCTAACATGTCTGCGCCGACGTCATCTAATAGCGCTGACTCAAATGGTAGCATGAATGGTGGGGAGACGGGTAAGTAACAATCACATATCAAATCCAATTCGGGCATAAAACTCCTGTTCAATCGATGATATGGTTACCGTCTTAGTCGAGAGAAAATTGTATCTGACATTTACATTAGTCACAGCGACGACATCAGCAACAACGACTACTACCACACCTCCCGACACTTTTCCGCCCAAAACCGACAAACCTAAACCTCATGGTTGCACTACGTGTGGAAGACATTTTGCACGTCTGGAACATTTGAAACGGCACGAAAGATCACACACCAAAGAAAAGCCATTCGAATGCTCCGAGTGCAAGAGATGCTTTGCGCGGCGGGATCTTTTGTTAAGACACCAGCAGAAGCTCCACTCCAATTTAACCCCTTCTGCGAAACCAAGAAATCGTCGAAACAGTAGTATGAGTAATGCATCCGTAGCTGTTGGACCGAACCCAAACAGGGTACGAAAACACTCCATCGCCAATCCATCAGGCCCACGACCAAGGGCAAATACAATTCCCAATTCCGAAAGCCCCTATGTGCAAATGGCAATGCATCAAATGCTAAATGAACCTCACCCGCCCAGGAATCAGAACCATACAAATCATCCAAATCATGGTCATAGTCGTCATGCCAGCCTCGTGGGCCTGCCAATGCACAATTCGGAATTTGGTGGAATGCGCGGTGGGATGGGCCCGATGAGTGGGATGTCCGCCGTGATGGACCAGCGCAATATGCCTCATGGATTGCCCAAAATTGAAACGCAACACATGGTTGCTAATGGGTTGCGAACTGCGCCGGCCGCTGGGAATTTTCCAAATTACGAATTCAACCATTTTTCTCCTGGTTTTTCATTTCCAAATGGAAATACTCCTAGCCCGACGATAGATCCTAGTGCCTTGTTCAATCATTCACCGCAATCAATGGGCATTGGGCCAAATGATACATCTAACTTCGATTTCCCAACTTACTCCGGAAACTCTGTTATGGATGACCCTTTTGGCTGGAATGGAACGATGAACCCCTTTAATCAAACCATGACTTTTGATGAGAATGTGATAATGGACGGCTCTTCTCCCTCTGCCATCAGCACTGCCAGCCAGAGTGGAATCAGTGACGGAGTGATGCTGGATGGATCTAATAATACGGCCGTGAGCTCAGCTCCTATGTGGCATCCCGTCACGGAAGCACCTCTGATGACTCCAAACTTTTTGGACCACGGCAGTCAGAATTTTACAAATTTCTCCAACGGAAACCCTATGTCACCACACAGTCTACCGCAAAACCATACGAATTTTTCGAATGGAAACCCTATATCACCACACACTCTACCGCAGAATCATCTACCATATTTCCGCACTCCACCACCTCTAAATTCTATGGACCATTCTGCAATGCCCGGAATGAACAACACACAAGGTTTCCAACCCCCCATGACTCTTGGCCCTGACACTCCCAATTCCACGACCGGCAGTACCCACGGAAGCTTACCTTTGTCTTCAGTTACAGACTCGACCCGTTCGGCTCTGGCGAATGCCCTGTCTCACAATACGGCCTTTGGCGGACGAAAATATTCCTTCCCTTCTGCAAACTCCCCGTCTTCCCAGTCCCCTCGGCCACCAATTCGAGCAAGTAGTGTTAGTGAAGGCGTTAGATTTCTTCCTAGCACATCCGATCTCAGAAAATATATCGGCGCTTATATACAATACTTTCACCCACACATGCCATTTTTGCACATCCCCACTCTCAACTTCGATTTTTCGACTTGTACAAACGATGGACGAGGCGCTGGTACCTCTGTCGAAGGACCTGGGTGTCTCACACTTTCAATGGCTGCTATCGGTGCACTATATGTAGGAGATCATCTACAATCGAAAGCGTTATTTGAATCTGCGAAGAAGATGCTACAACTCTACATAGAAATCCGGCGTAAAGCCGATGTTCGCAGAGCTGACCACCGTTCGAGAGCTTCAGAGGCTTCTACCCGCACGCCAGTATTTTTGGCACAGGCTATGCTGTTGAACATTATCTACGGTTTCAATTCCGGGGATAAAGTAGCAGGCGAAAATGCCCTAATTCACTGCGCAACTTTGGTCAGCCTTGCTAATGCCGTCATCAAGCCGCCGCCTTCTGATAATGGATCGTCACAACAGGATGTACGGATGAATGATGATGATTCGATGAATGGCTTCATCAAAACTGAGACTCCAGACGATCAGCAGGAGTGGCTTAATTGGAAAACTGCCGAGGAGAGTAAACGGACTTTATACGCAATCTTCATACTATCCAGCATGCTTGTGTCCGCCATCAATCATGTACCATTCTTGACTAATTCTGAGATTGAATCGGACCTACCTTGTGACGAAGAATTCTGGTCAGCTGAATCTGCTAATAGCTTCTATGCTATGGGTGGTGTGGAAATGGCGAATCATAACCAGATCACGTTCAAGGCTGCTCTGGGTGAGCTACTGCAGGCCAGCGATAAACAACAATACCAACAGGCGCAAGCTCAACATTTTGGAAATGGGAACAATGCCCAAGAATTTCCCCAGAGTGATTTGAAGCCAAGCACTTTTGGATGTTTGATTCTGATTAATGCACTGCATAACTACATCGTAAGTTTATCCAAGTTCTCACTCCAGGTTTCCCATGTTTTAATAACTTTTCTTGCCCGATAATCTTTAATAGTAAGAAATACTGACTCGAGGATAGTGGGAAACCCGACAGAGACACGCCGAACAGGAGTGGACGAATGAGGAGACTGAAAGAATGTATCGCCACATTGAACCTGCCTTGAAAGCATGGCAATTAGCATGGCAACGCACTCCTGGGCATAGTGTGAAACGTCCAAATCCATATGGGTTAGGACCTTTATCAGCCGACAGTGTTCCTCTCCTGGACTTAGCATACGTTCGCTTGTTTGTAGACATGTCAACTTCAAAAGAAATGTTCTGGAAACGTAATTTTGATGACATGGCGAATGAACTGCCCACGGAAAGGAGATTATGCATCATGCAGAACGATCTCCCAACTCCAATGCCGATTCCACGGAATTCTCAAGCGGGTCAACTGCAAGCTCTGTGTTCGTCGATTCTCCCACAACATCAATTTCTCGTTCTGACTTTCAATCTTCCAGAGCTTTTCAGTACCCCCCACAAAAATCAGAGGGGCCTTCCAAGCGTGAACGTCATTTCAAAAAAGCAGCTCAATATGCCGCAGATTTTCTTTCAATGTCAAGCCAATTTGGTATTACTTTTGCCGACTTCACATCTCGGGAACTCCCTTTACAGGCCGCCATGTGCGCATTCGATTGTGCGCAAGTAGTAGCTGAATGGGTTACTCTAGTGCAGGAACGCCTCGGACGTTACATTGGAATTCTAGGTCATACCGACGTTGATTTTAGCAGCGTGCCTGCTATCATGTATCTGGAAGAAGAAGATGTCAAACTTTTGGAAAAGATTAAAGACGTCGTCGAGAGCGCTGAAATGAAGATGCAACTTGAACAAACAAATGCTCACATGAATGGTGGTCAGACATTTCCGGCATTGGATAATTGTGGATTTGGAAGCAGAATCTTAAGAGTGACTGCTTTCCAGCTTGATAGGGCTGCAGTTTGGCAAGGTACTTCTTCCCTATACTTGTTTCATACCTTAAATGCTAACTCTAGTTATAGTAACCCATCTCATGGCACGAGCTTTAGAAACGCAAGCTATTCATGTGCAAACACGAGCAGAACGCTCTAGTCAACCAAAAGACCATTTTCTGTGATACGGAAAATAAAAAATAATGGGGTTCAATTACGCTTATACAACAAAAGCAATTTCCTAATATTACCCTTTGATCTTTTTGTAAAAAAAAAGTTGACAATAAGACTTGGTCATGTCTTGTTGTCTTGATTTCGCGGTACATATGGGTGGTAGGTTGCTTCTTTGACATACATTCAACCCAAAAATGACGGCTTTGCTACGTCCATTCAAAGCCTTCATAGGATAATTTTTACGGAACGATTCGATTTTTTAATGCAAAACACATATTCCCCTTACGCACTCAATTGCGTTTCTCACGCATGCTTGATAATACCATGCTTTGGTTTCTTTCGACTCGACAGCACGTCTTCGTACGGCTATACGGTTTCTTTCATACTAGGTCGCATTTTTTTTGGCGGGATGGTTGGGTATGGGTTTAGGTGTTTATGGATGGATTGTGATTGAAATTGCGTTTGTTTAATGCAATGTTGTTGAATGATGAAATGCTTGAATGACGTTGATAATGATGATGAGAATGAAGAGGATGTTAATTTTTACTTCCCTTCGATTCATGATACATTCTGAGACATTAAGTCTTGTTTTGGGATGGAGGCGATATTTTTTGAAGGAGCATCAGTGATAATATTGATGGAGAATGGATTGGGTTGATGAGGAGAAAATATGAAGAGAGGCAGGGTAGAGAGAGACAGGTGAAATATCCACTGATGGATATATCACAAATTTTCAAATGAAAGATGAATAGGATAGGATGGGTTGGAACAGAAACAGGAACAGGAACATGATATTGAATTGAACTGATCTGAAGGAACGGCAAGGAATTGAACTGATATGCTGATATGATATTGGACTGGGATGGAATTAGGATAAGGTATCTACAGTATCGGATGGTGATTCGGGGTATTATATGTACCTAGGTACCTATCTATCTACCCTTTTTACTTTGCTTAATTTAAGTGAAGTTGGGTATTGGGGGATTAGGGGATTAGTGGAAAATTTTAAAAGTGAAAATTTAATGAATGAGATAAAGAATCTAATTCAAGAGATATGAATTAAAGAGGTGAAGTAAAGAATTAAAATTGAAATTATTTAATAAAATTTATTTATTTTATACATTTATATTATCTTTATTTTTTTATTGTCAGACCTAAGAATACTAGGTAAAGTATCTTGTATTAGAAAATACTAAGCTAAGGAGAAAAGAAGAAGGAAAACAAGAGTAGAGATTGATTGATTGATTGATTGTGTTTATCGTCATAGGCCGTAGGCCCACGCGCCTTGGCGCGTGATAACCTTAGCCATCTATTCCAGTTTTGGACAAATGACGCTCAGAGGAGAAGCCTCTGAGTGGTTTACTAGCTAGCTAGGGGGAGTATTTATATACAATTTAAAGGGAGCTAGGGCAGGGTTTACATGATTGCCTTCGCAGGGGGGGTTTGAGCCGGTAGGCCTTTTGGGGTTGTAATTGTGGTCATCCTCGTCCACTAGATCACTGGCTCTTGATCTCTCTCCCTTCCCCTCATACTATTAAAACATTGTATTCGAAAACCCTTCATCCCTGATCCCCTTCCCGATACCATCAATCCAATTACTCCTTATATACCAGAACGTATTGTAATCGCCCACCGTCAGGATTGCCTCGTCCTCATTCTGATCATCCTACCAATAGAAAGCTTATAAAGGAGCACCAATCCTCATATAGCGTAACTATAGCATGCACAGGTAGTGGCTTGTACGGGTGTCCCGATTCCGTAAGTAGCATACCTCCGCTGAATGAGAGCAGAGTAAGTTTCGTCATCAGCTCAGGTCCTTCAATAGTACTCCTCCGGTGTTCCCGTATGGAAGGTATATAAATTGTTGTCGTTTCAGTCGTGTCGATCATGGGAGGTATACAGTATATAACATATACGCGTCAAAGATGTCGAGTTGTACTATATGTTCCAGAGGAGTCTCACTTTTAAGAAGTGAGATGATTTCGTGGCGTATTGTCGTAGATGATGGTGTTGTCCTCTGTTTCGTAATAAAGGTAGTGTTGTAGAGAGCGCATTTCGATAATGCAACTGTCAAAAAACCGCAAACGGGTAAAAACGTCGTGATCGGGCGCCTCTTCCTCTTCCAATTACCACGACTCCATCAAATAACTCAAACTTAGCTCTGCAGACTCTCATAAGAGAGCTGGAGGTTCGTAGGATGCACCGCGTACAGGTGTTGAGTCTTCGCATCCCAACAAGAGTAGAGAGTTTTCCTATGATTAAATATAAACGGGGCATGCCACGTGACCCGGAGGTGTGAGGCGTCACATTTATTTGATCATTATTTTATATATAAGATTTTATTATATTTATTATTTTTTTATAATATATCTATTTCATTTTATTTGATTAATAATAGAATTGTTACGACGGATCTCACATACCTAACATCACGTGATTAGCATCATGTGATATGAGGATCCCAGTAGGCTCAGCTGTCCCAGTACAACTGGGACAACTGGGAGCACTGGGACGCATGCCACGATGGTCTATATAATCAAGATGGATTTCCTTTGTATAGAGCTTCGTGCTCAAGATCAATCATTTAGTATACTCTACTATTAGTTACGAATTGCATTATTGTCATTACTTTAAGTCCCTGCTTGACGCCTAGTTATAAACCACCTCGAGAGCCTAGAGCACTTCTACGTGATCTAGACGGCAAACCTCGTAAAAATAGGTAAGATTCTCATATGATAAATTTGATAACCTAATCTCAAGCATTTTCAGGACCAAGAAAAAACGTGCATGAAAGTTATTCATCTAGTTCCAAAATGTTGAATATGTAATGCCTAGCTAATATTTAGTAGTACATAAAGTGACGATTCTTACGTTGTTAGGCAAAAAATCCACGACTACGTACGTATCCTGACAGAATAATATGGCTTAACTTAACATAGATTAAAGAATACCAAAATGGCTTACATGCACGACTCGTCCTTACCAAAATATCTCATACTTATTGAGAAATTCCCATGACTCAATACCTTCTGATATCCATGCGTTATATGCATCCAAATCCAGATGGAGAAAGGAAGAATGCGTCGGAATGTCCTTCATGCGTATAACCCCAATATTCATTCGATATGATGCTGCATGAGATAATTACCGTACAGGATAGCCCCACTCTTGAAGAAGATGCCGCTCATTCCGCCATATTTGGTGCTCTAGACTTCGAGTATGAATGACAGCCTTGATGAAAGGTATTTCTAGAGGTGCAGTTGTGTTTTTGAAGTGCCGTAACAGATAGAATATGCAATACTGGGGCAGGTAGTAAGTAATATTTTGGGTATCAATTCATATCTTCGCTCACAATACTCCTATTGGTTTTGGTTTCCATGGTCCCTCCCAACGTGTCCAGCCTTTCTCCGTATTATTCGTGGAAGATTCGTCACCCGTATCTACTTGCGGAGAGGCATCGGTACCATCCAAGTCATGTTCCATTCTCATAATTTCCGCTCGAAAATCATCAAGGTCTTGGGCGGCTGTATCGGGTTTGGATGAGGCATTGCTTTTTGAGGATTTCGATTCGTCCCAGTCGAATATCTTTTGTCGGAATTTGAGCGCTTGTAACAGTGTCATGGGATCCTCAAGAGATTCCTCCAGTTCATCTAACGCGCGAAGAATGTCGTCTCTCCCAAAGGTCTCAAGTCGATCCTTTATCATATTTAAATTAATTCCTTGGTCCTTCTGCGCTAGAACTCCCCGCACGAATGCCTTGCAATCGTCATCCTCTTCACCAATAGATAAATCTACCCAGTAAAAATCCCAAATCCATTTTAGTGCTTTGCGCGCAGCTATTCGAAGTTTAGGAAGTGATGGGAGTTCCTCGTGAGTAGCTTGATGTCGAAGTTCAACGTATGTAGCTGGTAAGCCGATAGTTTTCGCAATCGAGTACATACTTAATTTGCGACGCTTATCTTGATGACTATCGAGAAGACCTGTGACAAATCTAATGACAAAGTAGAAAACATAAGTCAGTCATTAGAAGATAATAGACAATGAGCAAACCTCAATCATACCGACAGAAAGCAGCAGAATAAGCAGCTCTCACACAATAGGATGAATTTCCGGGAACATCGTTTAAAATGGCTGAAGTAATAATGGCAGAAGATTCGACAAGATGGGGACAATTTCCACGTTGCATCCACACAGAGATGAGGCATACAGCTTGTCGGCGATGAGTATCATTTGGAGGGCCAGTCTCTGTATTTTGGTAAAGTCTTTCGCGTACTTGGATAAGCTCACGACGGGTACGCCAAGGTGTAATTACATATTGAACCATAATTCGTAATTGGAAGGATAAGTTGGGATTGAAAGATGATCAAGATAATGAAGACGATGTTTAGAAATAATAACAGAAGTTGTAAGTGTTTTGATACTGAGATGCCAAGCGATAAAGTTTCCTGGCTAGCGCTCATATTGTTAGAAGCTAGAGAAAATCATTAGATAAGCTTGGAATTTGAATAATCTTTATAAAACATAATTGGTGAAAACGATCAACGATGAAGGATGAATGGAGGAATTGGTTATTACCCGAAGCCATTAGAAAGTTGATAAACATATTCACTATTCACAAAGTATAAAAATCTTAAATCTTGTCTGTTAATCTGAATTTCCATTCAGGTATTGATATTTGTGTGAAACTATATACACGTGTGTATGTGTATGATTTGGGAAGACAACTTCAACCACACATTTGGTAGAAGTGTCTAAACGATAATCTAATATATCCTCCCTGTCATTGCTGACATGATCCTATAGTTTCCAATACTCCAAGTACCTGTCCTGTTCCCAATATTCAAACATACCAACTCCATCGCTAAAGTTAAAGTCATAAATTTTTCCCATCCAGAGATCCATGCTCCATAAAATCAGATCCAGCCTGTAGTGCCATAATTCGTTGCGTAACTTGCGTCGAAGTTGGGAAAGTTTTGTGTAGTGCCCATCATATAAGCAGCAGTGTCAACCACTTGAGCAGGTCTTCCTGACACAACTTCTTGCTCATCTTCCTCACCTTCCTCTTCGTCCTCCTGCTCTTCGTTTTCTCCTTCACCATCCTCCTCGTGATCTTTGTCATCATCATCTTCGAATGGTGGTTGCCAAGTCTCCTCCAATTTCAAACACTTCCCAACTGGTTCAAGTCGACGGTAGCTGTTACCTAACAGCTGTGACGACATCATTCGATAATTATCGAGTTGAGGATCCGAGAGCGATGTTTTGCTATTGTCCGGAGTGTCATACAATCCCATACCAATTAACTCCTCTCCTTCTGGCTCATCATCAGAAAGTGGATGATAAGGTATCGATTCTTCTGGAGTAAAAGTGGGGTCGGGATGTTGAATGGGAAGGAAGTTATCTGGTGTCGGTGGAGTGGTACCATCCTTGAATCCACTTGGTGCAAAGTTGTTCCAATCAAAATGTGAATACATTGTTGAATCTTGATTGTTGTTTATGTATGGAGCTTGGACAGCCATCAGGGGGTTTTCTAATGGTGTATGTTCCGGGGTGTAGAATTGATCGAGTGGATATGAAGTAGGAGCGGTGGTGAAGGGATATGAGTTGTGGTGATCCTCACTAAAAGGCATCGACTCAGGAGAAAAGCTGGAGTCTGGTGATGCATATCCTGAGTATACAGCTGGTGTCGGGACATCAAAGTTGTAATACTCCTGGGGGAACGGGTATCCACTCGTAGAATGCCCTGGTTGACACATAGGTTGTTGTGAGGATGGGTGCCAGCTGACGGGACGGTTTGATCTTATTGGCATCTGAGTTGAAAACCCATTGTTTGATTCCCATTCATTAGAAGCCATCATTTGTTGTTGGTTGAGGATCGCCATCTGGCGTTGGTATGAGCCATCCGACATGAGAGTCCTCCGTCGATTCTGTTTCACGGAACCTCTTGGGCTATTACTTGCACTGTTTGGTTTGCTAACGCGCATCGGTGCCATATTCCTTTGGCCATTGGACATTGATAATCGAGTTCGAGACTGTGAGGGTTGTGTCATTTGTCTCGAAGCGTTTTCCAGGAATATCTGAACATTGTCGTCACAACCCATCATGTTCGTTCTATATACTGGAGTAGCATAAGTTGAATCCATTTTGTGATATCGTACAAGAGTGAAGGTAGTTAGTCGAGCTAGAGAGTGAAAGAGATAAACTGAAAGTTGAGGGGTTGGAGAGATATATGAAGTATAGGCGCTAACGTCAAGTGGACGTTAGTAGTCGAGATATCATAGCCTTGATATGATTTAATCTAGAGAATACTGGTCTTAAATTATAAGAAAGGGATCTACCCAATTTTCCATGTGAGGACTAAATATCGGCAGTACAAAATATGAAGACCACCATGCAAGTGACTTACCGTAAGGTATGTCGTCTGTGTCATATGGCTGATGATGGATCTCAATCGATCCCACGAATGGGCAAGGATTATATCATAGGGAGTTTGCCGGGTCTGAGCTTCTTCTGGGGGATACTAGACAGGGCTTTGTTGGCGGTCAAAAGCCAAAGCCCCTGGCTTGCAACATACGCAGATTCGAAAAAGTCAGCGGTACAAAGGAAGACAAGGGGGATAAGCTACATCCCGCGGCTGGATACATGTCGCGTACGGCTCCTTCGCCCCAAGGGTGTGCGGTAATCAAAACGAACGTGTCAACCGATGAATCAACTTCCTAAAGAGGAGGATTTGCTTTGCAAGGAAGGAGGGCGAGAAAGGGCGGTCAGATTGTAGCAGCACAAGGGTGGGATAGATTTTGATTTTTCAAGGGTGTATATATCAAGTAGCCGACGGGGTCCAAGAATGCTCTTGCTGATGCGGTGGAGTGTAGGTTTGTGGCATTATCCGGGAGTGGTAGTGATGTGGATAAGTATGAACATCTAGCATAATTAGTATATTAATCTAAGCCAGAAATGTGGCCTTCCCGTACTGACGCAGCGCCTCTGGAAGTTTGAGATGTGGATGTCTCGATACTTTGGATCGTTAGTTTCGTTGTAGTGCACATGTTAAATTGTGGAATTTAGTCAAATTCTCGGCCCCATCGATCACAAAACGTGGGTAAGCATTCCAATGGTTCCATACCTAAACTCTGTACATGGAAAATCCCTCGGTCGTATCGTCCTATAGAGAAGACTTATTTCCTTGAAAAGCCTAGAAGGTTCACTGGTGCTATTTCGTGCGGACCAATTATTTAAGACGGCTCAAGTAATAATATACAGTAGCCTAATAAAGAGTGCGTACTGTAGGCCAATACGATTAGGTAGAACCACACAGTTCCGCTAAATGAAGGAGAGTAATGAAATGCGGTGCTACCGACCAATTGCAATGTATCTAGACCTGGCATGACCATCAATCATACTTAGGTATCATGAAGCATCTAAGTGGCAAGCACGACTCGTTCTACATTTGGCGACATGTACCGTACCGTGTATACCACACACACACCACGATTAATATTCTTGGCTAATATGATTTTCCCAGGAGACTGCAGGATAACTGACAAAAGTATGTATGGTATGCCATGGCCCATGAGCAACCAACGAGTGAGGAAATTTCCAGATATTCTATCAGATACTCCATATTTTAAAATTCTGATGAAATGCAGATGGGGCAAAGTATATTTTAATTTTTGCCTTGTTGTGAATTACTCCGGTACAACGCTATCCTAGCTATGAAATCGGGAAAGAAAGCAAGACTGGGGCAGCAGTACGCGAGTAGCAGTAAAGGGTGCTAATCTCACTTTGAGAACAAGTCACAGTTTAGAAATGGAATAATGCAAAAATAAATATATCACCGACCGTTCAACATCCTGGGTATCCACCAGTGCAGTAGTACAGAGGAGTACAGAGACACTATGGAGTAGGCTCGCTAGGACTCGCTAGGTAGGGATGCGGAATGAGTTTAGTTAGTGGGATGTTTGATAGATGGATTGATGGATCTTATGCTAAGGGATTGCGAACGACCCCCAGGGACCAGCCACCATTAAAAAAAGGGCTAAGAGCTATCTATCACGAAACACCCAATCATATGCAACCACAGGTGACAACATTGAGGCCTCTTTGTGAAACTATGAGCCACAGTTCCCATAGCCAAGGAGGACTCGGAGGGGAGCCACTTAAGGAATGAATGATAATTTTAAAGGTGCGTCAAATGGTCAATCGTTTCGCCCGTCGCTCATACCCAACTAAGGTAAGCTTTCATTTTATCCCATCGTCACCACCATGATGATCTTACAATAATAATGTCATTGTCATTCTTGGTAAACGTTTTCTAAGTTTACGACCACCCACCACCAAGGCGCCAAAATTATGGGGAAAACATTAGACCAGTTAAACCCGTATTATGGTATGCTAATCATAGTGGCAGATTTTCTCGGATATCAAATTTCCATTCTCCATCATCCATGGCCCATGGGGGGGCTCATGGCTATCACATACATCATGCACATCGAGGCCTAATCAGCAGCCAAAAGGCAAAGCAATCATTATTGAGCAGATTCAGTAACTTTCATTGATTGAGCATGAACCCGCGGCGAAAGTATGCACAAGCACAAGTACAAATTGCATGCATGCGCAATAATGACTAAGACCGGCATATGGTAAGCAGATCATGAAGCCATGACCGTGATCCATGATATTTTTTCTACTTTCCAAGAATTTCTACATTTCAGTGGAAACTTTGGAGGAAACGATAAATGCGAAAGAAGGAAAAAAATTAAAAAATTCCCCTTGGAATTATCTCAGCATGCATGGTAGGGAGGCCCTGAGTTCAGTCTCGATTCAAGATTGAGGCTTTGTTTTGGTCATCGAAGAGTCGAAGAACCCCTAAGAAGGGCGCATTGAATTCCAAGGTTGTCTTCAGCTATCCCTGTTTTAACTGCTAAAGCAAAGGAATACGGTAAGCCCCCTCCCCTCCACTTCCAAAAGTTATACTTTTCCTACTGTCAAGGAGCTTATGTTGAATACAGGGCCGAAAGATGTTTCGCAAGGGGTTGAGCATGATGTTGAAAAAGCAAAGCACAGCAAACATAGTCAAGTTACAACATCTATATGTCGGTCGGGCGCTGAAACAGATTCGGACTTGATTGGGTATGTGGAATAGCCAGAATGCAACTCAATTTTCTTATAACTCAAAATTTGCTTTTGCCACATCGAGGACTTGTTAGACAACACGCACGGAAATGGCGGCCAAAATATAGCACCTGTTACAACCTGCGTTCAAACTGTGTGGACTCGAATCAACAATTAGATGAATTTTTTCTGTCGACTTCTTTGAGCTCTAATCCAAAAGGGGCCACAACCGGAGATTCTTTTTTTATGTGATCACCCCGCAATAATCCCAGTCCACCAGCAGATGAGCCGGGCCCTTGGAAACTTATATTGCAAGAAAAGCTAGTATGGCATGAGTATTGACTGCAGCATCTAGCTGGCGCTAAACCCAATGACGCGTAAGACAACAGTTCTTTAAAGAATCTGAATGTTATTATTGGATAGAAACATAAAAGACTAATTAATCACTAGTTGCTAAAGTAGATCTTATCCTTGAATATCTTTTTTTCTCTCTTTTTTTTTTTTTTTTTTTTTTTTTTTTTTTTTTTTTCCTATCCCTCCCACAGCTTCTTCCTTCCCCCTGCTTTTCTCCTCTTTTAGATTTCTGCCCTGGTCAACTGTAGATCGTGTTTCGCTTACCCGTGCCACGAATTTATATCAGGGATGAAGATGGAGATGTCAGAATCTAGGATCTAGAATTTTTGGACCCATTCATGAGAACACCACCATCAGATTCTTACGCAAGCAAGGGTCCGGCTACTTTTACCAAACTTCTTTTTTGGATCTTAAACGCTCGAGACATCATAGCACAGTGCACATCCCTCGCTTCGCACATCTAACCGAATCTAAATCAGCGATTCAGCAGAAAGAAGAAAATTGTGCTCATCAGATATTTCCATCCCAGTTGAGTCTTGACAAGGCTGGGACCGTCCTTCCTTTTCGGTTTTTTTATTTACAGGGGACGACACCTTCAGTGACACCACACTTTCCTGGAGGGTACAAGCTTGAATTGCTGAAAAGGAAGTGATACCCTGCAAAATGAGGCACGGATTTCCTATTGACTTTGGAGGATCGCTCAATTGAATGGCCGACTGTCTTCATAGTAGCGCTGCTAAGTTCTAACTCTCCACATAAGCTTCAAGCCAGTGATCCTCTTTGGATGACCAAAAACTAAGCACAGCGTTTCGACCGCTACCATTCTCACGATCAGGACCGATAATTGGACGCTATATTGAAATTTATTGTGCGCAACGGATGGGTTCATTCAATCATATCAAATTGGTAAGACGGGTACTCTAAATTAGCCCAAAGCTATTGAACGAGCATTATTTGAGTATCATCTCATGCCAATCAGCCATCTATATTTTGATCCCGCCTATCGTGTTAATAGAGTAGTTGCATCAATCCACACTCTAGTCATCATACCCTCATGCGAGCATTTTTGAAACCTTCAAATCCAACATCCATACATCCTAATCCTCGTTCGCCGTCGGAAATGGTGCCAGCCGATCTTTTATTATTGCAACACCCTTTCAATCATCTTGGTCTCGGCTTCCGCACCGTTGCAGACGCTTGCATCCTATTCCGGCCCAAACTGCTTCCTCTGGACCAGGGCGAAGCATATCTGCAAAAGTACAGTAACCAAGATCATCAGGCTTTATTTGAAGCGACCCACCCTGTTGCATTAAAATTACTTGTGCTGTGCCCACCTGATAGGCAATCTAATACAGGGTGGCCGGCGCGATGAAATTACCCTAAAATTTCGAGCAGAGCTTGTGGAACGTATGGCTGATTGACGGCTCAATACATACGGATGAAAATAGGTGGCCAAAGAGAGAAACACAGTGGTGATTTATATATGGGTTCAAACTTTGTGTTGGCTTTGTGTGTTCTCTTTCGTATTCCCCATCTGGATCGATTGAAATCTAACAGTTATATTTCGATAGTCGATATTCTTCTCTTCTAGATTAATTATCCTCCGGCGTACGTGGGCGTCTAGTGTTAACGGACAAAATACGATTTTGGTCGAGTAATTACAGGCATCACGAGAATCATCCTTCCATCACCGAAGTTTTCACTGCAGAATACTGTAATCAAAATTTTTGATTGATATGACATCTATCCATCATCATCCATCCACATTTCCAAACAACTGAGCCGTCTTAAACCCAAGCCTTGTACACACCATGACACTACCCCCATCACCATCATCATGTGAAAGAAAGAAGAAACTCCTAAAGGGCTCAGGGTTTCTTGTAATTTTGTGCGTAGTCTGTTTTTGGCGCGTAATCCGCTCAGCAGCGTACGAATTCAAGACATTTTCAGCTGGAGATAAATGGGTATGCAAAATGCAAACAACGGTCGGATGCAGCACATTAGCATTGATCGGAGACGAGATGCGTACCTGGTTCTAACCCATACACTGGCATGTATGATGTCTCTCCAATCTAGAATCATGGATAAGGATAAAAAAGCTGCATCGAACGATGAACCCCTGTTTTAACTTCTACGCTCTGTTCCGCAATCACTCTTCGAGGTACTTTACCGTGTGTGGAAAAGCGGAATTGACTGGTTTAATGGCTTATTTACCAATGGGTTACAACTTACGATGAGCGAATCATGCTGGTCTGCATATACTCACATCAGGAGCACTGTCTAGGGTTTCGTGGATCTGCAATGAAGGATGATGTATGATATTGTTCGCTGAGCTCTTTGGTCGAGAATGGCCCCCTCCAAGTGCTCATGAGTACTTGCTATTGGTCCAACACCCACATCATCATCCCCATTGTCTAAAACTCTTATTTCATCAACAAAGCTTACTACCAAAACCAAGGATCAAATTCTAGGCCCGCGTGAAACCCAAAGGAATCCGGTGAGCCTTGTGAACACTATTTTATTACCTAGACCCCAAATCCAAACCCAAATTCTTCAAGTCAGGAATACTTAATCCCCACTATGAAATAAGGAGGTGGGAACTTGGATGAGAAAGTATCGAAGCCTACAAGGAGGGGCACAGCACAGCTCCTCGTTTTATCGAAAATGAATGAATGAATGAATCAGATCTTTACCAGTTTCGATATCTTCTCCGGTAATTGGAAACCCAAGAAACTTTAGAATTTTTTTTAGAAACCTTATGGAGTATATCCAAGCGTCTGTCTATATTGAGCCTCACTTACAGACATAGCTTATTTCTGTTGGGTCACTAATGCACATTTTCATTCGCTTTTGAAAACCCTAGGTAGCAAACTCAATACTAATTAATAAATTACAAACTTACAGCGCAATAGGGTGTGCCAAGTCTCAAGGTCTCGAACTTTGATGGGACTACGGGGTTGATAATCAATGAAATCAATGATACTCGAATACGAATGTAGGTATGATGTACGAATTGATGAGCACAATCTACGACGGTACGTGGAAGTGGACCTGTTCCATCACAAGCTCGTCTTCTTCTTGGTTGGGAGGTTGCGGTTCGTAATTCATTATTATGTCCGCTGAAGGGGATTTTCGGCCTGACAGGGACTGGGGATTTCTGTACTATCATATCATATCATGACGGCAACGGCAACTCAAGGCATGGCATGGCAAGTACCATTAGATTTAGATTGGAGCACACCCACCACGAGATCCCAAGCACTCAGCCACCATACACATACGCAGGTGTACGCTTTGAGTCTTGACTCACGAAGGTTCGTTGTTTTCTTGGTAAATAATGTATGGGCGAGTGGATATGATATGCGATATTAGATATCGGATGAACGGCCGCGGACATGCTCTACTTCTAGTATACGGGTTCTGCAGCTTGTACAGCCTTTATTGCTTGCGTGGAAGGGTTTTTGTGGTTTTTGATCGAGTGCGTGTAAGGATATCGCCTTGTAAAATATGATGCGTCCATTAGTTACGAAAAATGTGAGAAATGCGCGTTCGTTCGGAAATGCTGATGGTTCCGGGATGGATGGCTGAATTGAATGCTGGAAACTGGAATGAATGTTACGATGTGTACAAGCGGCATCCTTACACATTTCGTACGATGGATGGTTAATAAGACTGGCAAGTGGACAATTTTGGCTAGCAGGTTTCGTTCTCACCGAGCGAGGTTGATCATCTCACTCAATAGCAAGTTACAGTGTGGTTAGTAGGTCTCACGGAAAGGAAGAAAGGGTATGGCGGATAGTGATAGCATAGTATGGTATAACACGACAAAGGTTGTTTCCAGTTGAGTAGGTAGGCATGGTATCCAATATTATGTTATTGATCCCGTACATTATCTGCACGATCTAGGAAGGCAGAAGTTCATTCTGTCTCATAGAGTCGTAAGTGGGTTGGCTTACTACTAAGGTGGGCAATTTTCCACCCTCTACTTTCTTTCGGTTGGTGAGTCGGTTGGTGAGAGAGTACGAAGGATGTACTGAACCTGTACAACGCATCCCCATCCTAACATTCATGTGTGAGCGTCATTTGGCTATCATCGGTGTAGGCATCAAAGATTAAGGTTGGTTGACAGGTTGAGGAGATCCAGGGGAAAAAACTAGCAAGGCACGAGATCATGAGATCCTCTCTTCGTACGGTAGGACTGGGTGTGGGTTGTGTGGGAAGAGAAATGGAGCTTACATGCCTTCAACCATGCTTGTTTGCTAACAGTTTATGAAAGCACCCAGATCCAAATATCGTAAATGCAAGGTCCGACTCCACACACATAGACATACGGAGTACGCATACTTATACACAGGATTTTAGGTTGGGTTGCGAATGAAGCCGATGTGTACGGATGTACTTACTTCCGAACGGAGAAGGTGGTAAGTCAATCTATTTGATCATCTCCATCCTTCAAAGCTTCGGTTCTGGGATCTCCTCCCATACTCATTGTACTCGGGGTGATAAATGGATGACACAGTCATCTATCTACGTACTGCAGTGCTGCAATGCGGCATCGTTTTGCATCCTTTGCATTGTCTGCTGTATTGAAGGCAGGTACTCGGTTACGGAGTTGGTGATGAAGGGGTAAAATGTGAAGGGAGGGGTGGAATAGACGGATGATACCCTGATGTGAAAATAAAGCGGGCTATGTAGTACGCATGAATGCCAATTTATGAAATGTAAATGTATGATTCAAACTCTAAACTAAGTATCGATCGAATAGATAGCCTCCATACTCGTTTCCTGCACCTGCATTCATGTATTGATGAGGCATAGTATATTGTTGCCAATATGTTGGTGTACCGGTATGTGTCTATTGATGGCATGGCATTAATGCATTTCAAGGTTCGTTATCGATAGTACTGGTCAGAGGGGTAACCTACTATTGGATAATAAGGCAATAAGGTGTCAATTAATTGAGAGCCTGAATGAAATGTACACTAGAAGTATCTCCTTTTCGAATAGGTAGTTGCTGACCTACGCCTACGCATGAATCCCCGGGCACGTGCTAGAAAAGGTACCTGAAAGCTTTAAAATTGATTTGTAATCTGAGGTTCCAGGATCTCATAGGACAATTGATATCGGAATTTCAGATATTCCGACATGAGGTTGAAAAAGCATCGGAATTTAGAGCCCTTGCCGATTCGATTCAAAAGAGGTTTAGTGTGACTTCTTAGGATAGGATTTGCTAATCTCATATGTTGAATTTTATGAGTACCATTCATTGATATAAAAGTATTCAGGAATAGTAAAAGGGAGTGGTGGTTAGAATAGGAAGCCATTAGACTTTTGCTAGAACTACAGAGAATTTCATATGGGCCTCAAACAATAGAAAATATCTGTCTGAATTCTTGCATTCCTCAGTGACTTGTGAAAGGAGGGGTAGCTGTATCTACTGATTTGTATTGTGCATGAGAATTGACCAAAGACAACACAATACAATAGACAGAAATAATAAACATCAATCAAAATGGCTCACTCCTCACCACCAAATATATCTCTTCTCAGTAGGGACCAATTTGACGCTCACGATGAAGTATACCACCTTTATTTGGAGCTTGCGAGTTCCGGATTCATTCCACACTAACTGACTTACACTGGCAGGGACATTCAAGCGCAAGTGATTCAGAGTATCAGCATGCACTAGAGGTAAGTTTATCTAGTCTCCTTTTCTCAGAGGTCTGCAAATGCATTGAAGCTTACGAAATGCCATCTTCCCACAGGTAGTCTTTGATGCTCAAAATGCGCATCGTAGGAAATCATCCCTCGTAACAGCCGATACACCTCTTGCGACCTTCCAGCGAAGAAAAAACACAGAATGCTATGTGCACGCACTGCTGGAGAGCCAGCGTAAAGCTGGTAGAGCATCGAGTAGTGGATTGGAAGGTATAGCAGAGACTTTGGCTCCCTGCAGGGTTGCAAGTGATTCGGATGGAATTCGTGAAGGGGAGGACAAATCACTAGACCCGAAAATACACAACCACGTCACAGAAGAGGAAGATTGCGGGCAGGTTGATGAGACTTCTTGGAGAGATACTATCAAAGCGAAAGATGCGGCACAAGTGGTTGAAGATGATGCAAGTGGGAAGGTGGAATTCCAAACTGATGGTATCGATGCGGGCGCGACACATAGTCGTCTTCTTACAAAGAAACAACTTTCCGATATGGCATGGGGAGTCAGGGAATTGAGCAAGAGGTTGGGGAGTATTAGATTGAAGTTGAAGGTCAGGACGGTTTTTATTCTTACAAAGGCGCATGATGAGAGCTTGATTGCGAATACAAGAGAGGTTACTAGATGGCTTTTGAGCCTAGAAAGACAGGTTAGATACACGGTTTATGTCGAGGAAAATCTGCGGGATAGTAAGAAATTCGATGCGAAGGGACTACTGGATGAGTTGGAGAAGGCTGGGGAGGGACAGGTTAATGGAGATAAGCATAAGAGGTTGAGATACTGGTCATCAAATATGTGCAGGACAAGGCCGCATACGTTTGATTTCATCGTTACTCTAGGGGGTGATGGTACAGTTCTTTATGCAAGCTGGCTGTTCCAAAGAATAGTACCTCCGGTTCTAAGTTTTGCGCTGGGAAGTCTAGGGTTTCTTACCAAGTTCGATTTTGGAGATTTCGAGAAACAGTTAACGACTGCATTCAGAGATGGAGTTACTATTAGTCTCAGGCTGAGATTTGAGGGTACAGTAATGAGGAGCCAGTCGAGAAGAACTAAGGCTGTTGAAAATGGCGAGAATGGTGATGAAAATTCAGCCCCCATAAGAGATCTAGTGGAGGAGTTGGTAGGTGAGGAAATGGGTGAAGAGAGAACTCATCGACCAGACGGCACATATGAGATTCTCAATGATATTGTGGTTGATCGAGGACCAAACCCCAGTAAGTAAATACTCTTTCGCCTCATCCATAGATATTCTTCATCAGCATGTGACTTACACGCAACAGCAATGTCTTCAATCGAGATCTTCGGCGACGATGAGCACTTCACCTCTGTCCAAGCTGATGGCGTATGTGTCGCCACACCTACTGGTTCCACAGCCTACAATCTCGCCGCAGGTGGCTCTCTTTGCCACCCCGAAAATCCCGTCATCCTCGTGTCAGCTATCTGCGCACACACTCTTTCCTTCCGTCCCATTATCCTTCCAGACACTATTGTACTCCGTCTCGGCGTTCCGTACGATGCGAGAACGAGCAGTTGGGCGAGCTTTGATGGGAGAGAGAGGGTGGAATTGGCTCCTGGGGATTATGTGACGATTAGTGCCAGTCGCTATCCATTTGCTAATGTGATGCCCCAGGGGAGGAGGAGTGAGGATTGGGTTAATAGTATTAGTGGGAAGTTGGGCTGGAATACGAGACAGAGACAGAAGGGGTATAAGGAGTGGTCTTCATGAGGAGGTGACCGTTGAAGGGTCTCATTTTAGGATGGGAAAAGGTGGGGGAGAAAGGGCGGTGGATCCTGCGCGGAGAAACAAAGAGGGATAGGGGAGAAGTGGGTTATGACATGATATAACGGGAGTTTACAACTATATTCGCAATTGCAGCGGTCAGTGGCAACCATAATGTAGGACTCCATAGCTGTGATTAAGATGGTTGCTAGAAATTCCCACCAGCTAAAGACATTATCTTCGATACTGACCTTTGCCACAAATTCTTCTTGAGCGGACAAGCCAACCGCTAGTCCTTACGCTGTACCGGACACAAGTTAGGCCTCCCTCCCGTATAGAAAGAGTATTAGCCTCTTCAATCCAGTCCCACCCCCTTAGAATTCCATAATTTAATCATGTGATAAATCAGTGACGAGGACGCACAAGTCCCTTTCTAACAGGTTTTATACTGGAATTGTGAAAATTTAACGAGTTTAATTAAAACACCGGGATCTCCGGGATATATACAAGACTTACAAAATATAATAGAGCTTGGCTATACCAGATGGAATACTTCGATTTATCAAATCTGGTATCAAAAGGTTGCTGGTGTTAAAATATATATAGATAACGTCTTTTATATAGGATTTTTGCAGATTAATACCGGTAAATTACTTGAATTTTGTCGCTGAACCTGTGATTTCCTTGAAGCGGTCACATGATAAGTTTATACCGGCATCAGAATATAGGCCGACATTCCGATATTCACCAAAGATAGGAAATTCTTACGGTACAACCAGGTTTCCGGTATATCAAATCCTACCAGTCATGATCTCAAAGGGTTTGAACCAGTGTTTGAACTTTAGAGCACAGCCTCGAAGTCGTGGTTATCTGATCTTGCGTTGGAATAACCTTAAGTCTACTTTCTTCTACAATTGGCCTGGCGGGTCTCCCTTCCGGAGAATGGAAATTTCCATCTTGCTCGAGAGTTAATGCGCACATCACGCTGATATGCAATAACACGCGAGAGATGAATTTCCGTCTCCTCCTTTAAAGATATAGAGAATTTCTATTTGTCAATACAGTTGAGACCCATAAGAGGATCTGATGTCTTTTATATTTAAGTTCTGTGTGGAATTTTTGAGTGGCTGAGTCTCAAATGGTTTTTATGGGTTTTCTTGGCTTGGCTTCGGTGTTGTTGTTCGTAATGATGTTTTTTTTTCCCAAAATACACTATCCCAATTTGTTATTCAAGTGATCTAAGTAGGATTTAGAATTTTTATGAGTCTCCAGAAAGTTGTTAAAGGGGTTCATGTTTGCTAGCGCATCGTGCTTTTCTGATGAATTCGTATTTGACCCACGTCTCTCGGCAACCATTGAAGAAGCCCCATATTGAAGTTGACGTATTGAGAAAAAGATAAAACAGCAGTATTCGTCTTGAATTCAGGATGCAGATACTTCGATATCGAATATTTACTCGCTTTCCTAGGTCCATTCACAAAGTTTTATAATGAGTACCTATGCTCTGATCGGCTTGGCGGCGGCAGCTTCGGCAGCTGTGCTCGAGCTACCGATTGTAAGCCTAAATGAATACGTACGTTACTTCTATCATTCAATAATAAGTTGACGGAAACTAACCCTAGAGCTACCTTTAGAACTCTGTGGTGTTGGACATTGGCACTCCAGCAAAACCATACAGACTCTTGTTTGACACAGGATCCGCAACTTCATGGGTTACTGGGCGCAATTGTACCGACAGTGCATGTCCTAGCCGCAGCGGTTTTGTCCGCACTCCATACAATGACCTAGACTCATCTTCTTCGGTCGCTTTAGGCGTTTCTGGCAGTATTGAGTATATCTCTGGTGGTGTTGATGGTTCTATATTCCAAGATGTGTTCTCCGATAAGAATGCCCTCGCATGGAAGCAAACTTTCCTTGCTGTATCATATGATGAGAAAGATACCTTCCTGGCCGCCGATGGACTCCTCGGCATGGCCTTTTCGTCCATTGCGGTGGAGAATACAACGACTTGTGTCGAAACACTCATTTGGGAGGATAAATTGGATGAACCCCGTTTCGCCGTCTACTACGGCACAAATTTGAACAATACCGGTGTTCAGGACGGTATTCTCACTATCGGTGGTAGTCACGAAGATACCTATGTTGATGGTGAAGTAACTTACGTGCCTCTGCGCCGCGAAGATCCATATCAAGTCTGGCGCGCTCCCCTTCGCTCCGTCAACGTATTGGTCGCTCACGACAACGCCATCATCAGCACACACGTTGGAAAAGCACCCACCACCAACGCTCCAGCAGGCACGTTTCCCAAGACCAACACCACATGGCCATTATACGGCACCGGATTTTCAGTCTTCGACACCGGCTCGGGAGGTATCTCGCTCCCCAGCCAACTCATCGAACCCGTGTACTTCAATTTAGGGTGGAATCTCTCAAAACTTTACAGTGGTGAGGAGCGTTGGAAATGCGAAGATTTGAATTCGACGTGGGCGATTTCGTTCACGTTTGGGGAGGACGACGAGAGTAGTGATAAGACGTTTTCGATTAGAGGTGATGAGATCTGGTTGGCCGCGGATGATTGCATGCCTCCTTTTGGAGACAGCGGCAATAATGATTTTGCGTTGCTTGGGGCTTCGTTCTTGAGGAGATTTTATTCGATCTGGGACTTTGGGGGTAAATCGGTCGAGACTTATGAGCCTAGGGTCGGTTTTGGAAAACTCAAGGAGGAGTATGATTATATAAATTATTAGTATGACTTTTTATGGATTGCAGGGACGAAATTCATCTGATTTGAACGAAGGTTCATATGTTTATTTATGGTTTATTTGCAGGAATAGTATAGTACTAGCATGTATTATTCAGCTTTATATAAATACTCTCATAATGAAAAATAGATCAATAATTATATATAAGTATTCTACTATTTGATCCAGTCATTTGATTCATATAGAAATAATCAAGATTTCGAAGCAATGTATTCCCATCATCAATCCCTTTTCGTTTTTCCTTTCTCCTCTTCTTAAAGCTATACTCTACTCTCTTCCGTTCTATCTTATATTCTTTTCTCCCCCTTAAATTAAAATGAATCGAATAAGCGATTGATCATCTACCCTAAAGCAAAGGAATATCTACAGCAAGAATATTATATATTTTTCGTTTATTAGCTTATTGAAATTCATAACGATATGAATTAACGATTTCTTAAATATACCAATCTATCTATATCTCTTCCTCTTCCTCTTCTGCTCAAATATCCAGCTCTATCTCCCATTCAAAGTAGCCAGTCAGTGAGTCAGTCAGCGATTAATTAATAAACCTCCTATTCTTAATTGACTAACTGACTGATAATATATTATCACTATTATTGATTTATTGGATTAATGGATAAGTTAAATTATTGATCAGTTAATATATGATCTTTATTTGATAATTAAATTATTGAAAAATGAAAATGTACTTATTCCCTGCCCTCTTCCCTTTCCTCTTTTTTCTTTTTCTTTCCCTTTCCCCCCTCTCTTTCCCTTTCCCCTTTCTCTCTTCCTCTCCCTTTCCCTTATACTCTACTCTTCCCCCCCTCCCCCCCCCCCGCTCCCTTTTTCTTTTTCTATTTATTTTCTTTTCAAAAGTATTCTCTTTTTGAAAAAAAATAAAAAATAAATTAATCATATTTTAATTGATCATTTAGCTATCAATTGGAATTTAACCTCGCTGATTAATTAACAATATTTTCAAAATTCAGTTTGCTAGCTTAGTTTATTCGTTGTCAATCAATAATTATAATCAGCTAGCTGATTGATTAGTTTGATTAGCCACTCTGCCCCTATTAGATCTATCAATAATAAAATTCAAAAAACTTCTAGTCTCGTTGTTTAAGAATATGTGTGAGTCATGAATCAATGGAGAAACGGAATCGCTTGAAAATAATATATTTCGGGGTTTGTTAATATAGTGATAAGAGGAAATGAAATTTAGTGGTATGTAAGGTGGATATCACTGTTATAGGTTTCACTATATATCGCTATTTATCGTCTAACTTACCTTATCAGATCTTCCCTTACCTCATCTATATATTGAATCAAATCCTGTGCCCTACATGAGGTTTTAACATATTCTCTTCTCATACCCCTTCGACCAATTCCCAACGACTCCCCTATAATTCCCCCTTCGTCTCATTCCCCACTTCTTTCCCATTCCTCCCCTTCCCTTCCAAAACACCCATAAAATCCTTCACCAACTTCTCATGACTTTCCTGCAACGTCGTCTTTATGAACCCCATCAACATCCTACTCGCCCTCACCACCCCCTTCTCCTCCAAAACTAATCTCCCATCCCCAAGCATCAACGAACTTTCCCCCGGCCCCGCTTCCCTCACTATCCACGTCGTGACACTATGAACCCCCATCGGCGCATGCGTAATACTAACCAATCCATCTTCGCGATCTTGGAGACTACTCGTATAAGTGATCTGATCTGGGATAAATCGTTTCGACCAGCCACCCCGCCATCCAGATCCCGTTTCTCCTTCTGAGTTGGCGGATAAGTCGTCGGTTATTTCCCATATCTCGCAGGGACATCGCCTACTGGGTTGGAGTTCTACGGGCTCGAATTTGAAGAAATCTTTGGCGAGAATGTGCGTGGGTGGGAGGAGGGTATGTGCTGTTACGAGCGGGTTCATGGTTATCATTTTCTTGTGGTCGTGGAGTAGGGTGAGCACTTGGGTGATGGGGATGTGAGGGGGAATAGGGGTGAGGGTGAGAGTTTGGTGGGTTGTTGTGAGGACTGTTTGGGGTTGATGTTAGCATAATTGATGTGTTATGAATTGATAGGAGGCTTATGGCAGAGGGGGAAAATGATACTCACAAGACATCATGTCACTGTCAAATTGGATTATATTGAATTAGTTCAGCAAATCGTTCTGGATCTTTCTAAGCTGTATTGAAGCTCGCTCAGATGGGTTGTGTTGCGATTGAGATGTGGTTGGACTTGACATTTCGAGGTCGATTAAGCTGATTGATCATGTTCGTAACGTGTATTGTTTCAAAAGCTAAAGCTAGATCTCCTTTGCTGACGAAATTATACCGAGACATGATTTTGGAAGAGAATTCAACTTACTGTACTGAGATTTTTCAGGAGTCAGAGAATATGATATACTTACGCTGTTTGATTCTTAAGAGAATTTGTTTTGTTATGTTGTCTTTTTGTTATTTACAAAGTTCTCAGTATTGCTTCGGGGAATGAATGTCGTTGGCTTCGGTTTAGATTTTTAGTTTTCCGGAAAAGCTCTTTTCCGGACGGAAACTTTTCAATACAGCCAGCTATAGCTACAGCTAGTAGAAGACTTACAGACTAAAATACTTTAAAACTCTAAACTTTGAAAAAGAGGAGATAGTGGCTTAACCCGAAGTGAAGCCACAAGTAACTCTCATACTCTTTATCATTGTAAGTCACGAGATTCTATGGTATTGTGTACAATACTTGTATCAATACCGGTCGTAATCTTATGAAAAGTTTATTATCTTTATTTTAACCCTGTCTCTATCCACCTAATCCCCAGGTGGAGTCCCCACACGACATGAACTTTTTTCAGCTTGCAGGTTATTATGGAGATATGGAGACAAACTAGAGAGACTCACCAGAAAGAAACTTAGTAATTATTTTCGTTTTTCTCGTGGTGGTCCAAGAAGGAAGTTCTTCCGGTCTCTAGAGCTTTTCACCTTGACTAATTAATTTGTAACGTTACGACTTACGAGATAGCTGAGTTGTCAGTATTATTGAGAATAATTCATGATCAGCTACGTATACGAGTATCATCTACTTGCAGTATGTATGCATCAGTACTTCCTCGGCTAACCGGTACTGGTCAGCGCGGCGGTCCTTCCAACAAACAACTCACGACCTCGGGAGGGAAAGTACGAGCTTGGAGCCACCAGTGAGCTTGATTTATAACATGGAACATCGAGTCTGTTGAAGCTGTGCCACTGTTGTGTCACCGTTACTGTATTCCAAGCCGAACAATCTCCTGTGTACAAGGAAAGAGCCTAGAGGGAATACAATATCATGGGAACTCGATCCACTCCTCTGGATCATCTCCGAATTTTTCACAGCTTTGAGAGTCGAGACTTCAAACCCGTACGATCGTAACTAGACTGAGCCGTCCATGTTAAGATATTTGTCCTTTCACATTCTTACCTCGGCTTTCCTCCGAAGTATCGGATTATCCCATCTTCCATCTTTCACCATCTTATACATGATTCGCTATTTCCTCCCAATCTTAACATTAGATATGAATCTAGACACTTTAGCAAATCAGAGTACCAGGATCCCAACATCTCTTCATTCGACGGAAAAACTCTCTCCAGGAACTCTGAAAATTCTGGAGACGGTAATCAATGACATAAGCCTTGTTCCTTGCTGACCGACCTGGGATTGGATTGCTAGACCTTTTTTTTTTTCTAAAATTTTCTAGGCGCCCGGATATGGCTTATTGAGGCTTGAAAACTTTCGAGTCAAACCGCCAGGATTAATGAGCCACTGCCGTCATTTAGTCCATCCTTGGGATTCTTGTAATCATGATCTTCATGTCTTATTCTGACTTCCTGGAATCATATAACCAATCGCCTACAAGTTGTAGTATAATACCGATTATTGCAACAGAAATCTTGGTACCGCTCGGGGAAGGAAGACACGAAGTAGTGTTTCGGGCCATGTGTTCGGTTAGGCTAGCTTTGAGTCTGGGTAAATAACTGTCTAACAAAATGTTAGCCTTCCCCAAATCCCCAGCTCTCCACATAAAATCTCCAAAGAAATGGAAGGATCCACCAACATCATTTTTTTACCCAGTTTTCAAACAACAAAGTCATTCAATAAGTTGGCGCGCAAATGAGATGCTCTGACAGGCGCCGATCAAATCCACCCTAGGTGTACAACATCGACTCCGTATACGCACCCATGTTGATACTTCATAGATCGTCGTCTGTAGCTGCATACCTCGCGTGATACAGTTGGATGGATTGCTGGAAAGCGTTATGCCTGCATCCAATTTCATGATACCCGAAGTATCTATGTCATCAACAATTCAGGTGAAAAGCTTCACTCTTCGAATTATATCAATCTTATATAATCGAGGGTTGAAATACTTGTAGGAAGGATGGTGCCGACGAACCGTGGATTGGCGGGGAAGGAACGTCCCCCAAAAGTGTTTCCAAATCCATCAAAACCCACATGGCAAGGACAATCCCCGTGCTGATTGACACCCTAAAGGTAAAAACTTGGGAGGATCCATAGGTAAGATTCGGCCCTTCTTTTTCTCTCCACTTGCTGTCTCTCCAGATTCCATTATTCCAACTCTTCTCGTGCTCCATTATTACCCCAGCACTTCAAGCCTTTTCTCTATATAAGCCTTTGTGTCGATCACCACGAAAAACCTCTGAATTCCTCTCTTCCCTATCAGTTCTCGACCTGCTTTGAAAGAAGGTCGACTATTACTTCACTGCGTACAACACCCACATCCTGTCAGCATAGAAAAGGTCTAGTTACCTGATCCAGCACACAAAATGATGATCGGTAACGTCTACTTCATCGCGGCCGTGTCCGTGGTGGGTGGTGCTCTTTTCGGTTTTGATATCTCATCTATGTCCGCTATCATTTCCACCGATGCATATTTGTGTTATTTCGATCAAGGAGGAATGGTCGATGGTAAATGCACGGGTCCAACTCCAAATGTTCAAGGTATGGAATCATTTTCACTCTTATTTGCAAAGTATATCAAAGGCTAACTGGATGCAGGTGGTATCACCGCTTCTATGCCTGCTGGAAGTTGGCTCGGAGCTTTGATCTCAGGTTATATTTCTGATATTCTCGGGAGAAAGAGGGCCATTCAAATCGGTTCTGTGATCTGGTAAACATTTCCCGTTTGCATGTTTTGTATCGAGAACCGGCCTAATCAAGCTGCATAGGATCATCGGTTCAATCATCGTCTGCGCTTCCCAAAACATTCCTATGCTTATCGTCGGACGTATCATCAACGGTCTGTCGGTTGGAATTTGCTCTGCTCAAGTTCCAGTCTATATCACAGAGATCGCACCACCATCCAAGCGTGGAAGACTCGTCGGTTGCCAACAATGGGCTATCACCTGGGGTATCCTCATCATGTTCTACATTTGTTACGGATGCTCGTTCATCAAAGGAACCTCTGCTTTCCGTATTCCATGGGGACTGCAAATGCTTCCCGCCGTCTTCCTATTCTTCGCTCTATTCTTATTGCCTGAATCTCCACGTTGGCTCGCTAGAAAAGACCGTTGGGAAGAGGCTCATCAAGTCTTGTCTCTTGTTCACGGTGGCGGCGACAGCAACTCCCCATTCGTTGCTAAAGAACTGGCAGAAATCAGAGAAGTTGTTGAATTTGAGAGAGCAAACGCTGATGTTACCTACTTGGAGTTGTTCAAGCCCGACATGATTAACCGAACACACATCGGTATCTTCACACAAATTTGGTCTCAACTTACTGGTATGAATGTCATGATGTACTACATTACTTACATCTTCACCATGGCTGGTTTGGGTAGCAATGTTCTTTTGCCTTCCTCCATCCAATTCATTATCAATGTCGTTATGACTGTTCCTGGATTGATCTGGGTCGATAAATTGGGTCGTCGTCCTGTTCTTTTGTTTGGAGCTTTCCTAATGATGCTCTGGCTCTTTATCAACGCTGGTGTCTTGGCTACATACGGAACAGTTCCATACCCAGGTCAATTCTCTAGTGCCGCTGAATCCATCTCTATTACCGGAGCACCATCAAAAGCCGTCATTGCATGCACATACCTCTTCGTTGCATCCTATGCTCCAACATGGGGACCGGTTTCCTGGATCTACCCACCCGAGCTTTACCCTCTCCGCGTCCGTGGAAAAGCCGTCGCTCTCGCTACTTCTGCCAATTGGGCTTTCAACTTCGCTCTTGCATACTTTGTCCCACCTGCGTTTGCCAACATCAGATGGAAGGTATATGTTGTCTTTGGGGTATTTTGTGTTGCCATGTTCCTCCATGTCTACTTCGTATTCCCGGAAACTAGTCAGAAGCCCCTTGAAGAAGTTGAAGCGATCTTTGATTATTCGACCCCTGGCAGCATCAAGTTCTTGGGTACACCAGCCTGGAAGACAGGTGTTGACAAACGTGCAGGACGTTTGGAGAGAGGAGAATTCGATGTGGAGGACAAACTTGGTCCTAGTGCTGCTCATCATGATGATGCTATACCAGTCAATGAGGTTTCTAAATCTGACTTGTAGGTGAGAAGGTAGAGTGGAAATTATATGTGGAGGAGATCAGAAGAAAGGCTTGGCGGAGCTCATTTGAGAGAGCTGGTACGATTTAATGATGTTGTGGCATTCATGAATGGATTGCAATCTGTCGATTGCTAATTTGCTTACGAACTTGCTTGAAATGAGAATCAAGTGGATGGATGTACGAAAATTATGGGATGGCGAATAATAATGAAGGGATTATGTAAAAGGAAAGAAGAATTGGTGGATTATTGATACCCAGATATGTATTTGAAAATGAAATTCAAGAGATTTATATCTTGGTACTTTTATTAGTCTTGCGATGCTGTATTTGAAATGTCGGTGAGTGTTTTGAGTTGAAGATGTGAGTTGAGTGGAAGTGAATTCAGGCAAATGAAAGAGGTGGAAATGGGTAAACTGGGGAACGAGGTAAGGGAGAGCGAGAGTTTTTATAAAATGTACTCGGGATAGTCTTCGAAGAGGGTCCCCAAGCCTTTATAATTCTTATTAAATTTTTAATTTTTTTTTTGAAAAATATATATTGATTCAATTTTTTAATAATTTTTATTCAATTTCCGAGATTGATATTAATATTGATATTCAATTCATTAATAATTATATGTTATATTAAAAGGAATGACCTTACACAGGGAATAGTGGGAAGCTGATAGGGTGTTACGAGGTTTGCCGTCTAGATCACGTGGAAGTGCTCTAGGCTCTCGAGGTGGTTTATAACTAGGCGTCAAGCAGGGACTTAAAGTAATGACAATAATGCAATTCGTAACTAATAGTAGAGTATACTAAATGATTGATCTTGAGCACGAAGCTCTATACAAAGGAAATCCATCTTGATTATATAGACCTTCATGCCTATGGCTAGTCAGGACCGCTGCGTGTGACGCCTCACACCTCCGGGTCACGTGGCATGCCCCGTTTGTATTTAATCACAGGAAAACTCTCTACTCTTGTTTTCCTTCTTCTTTTCTCCTTAGCTTAGTATTTTCTAATACAAGATACTTTACCCAGTATTTGTCACGATTCATTAATTCACGTGACCTCGAGGACCTTTTGGACCTTAGGGTCCCAAGGGTCCTCAAAAGATGATATAGGGTATATAAACATTCATTTAGTCTCGTAGTTAAGGAGCTTCGTGCTCAACTTAGTTATCAATTAGTTTACCTACATTCTACTTGATCTAGTAACGACTTCACTTCCAAGTGAAGACCAGTGATAAAGCCTTAACCCACAACTACCAACCAGACGAAACCTTAGACAGCCGCTGCCTCCAGTATAGTATCGTTACAGTATTCTTGAGTGTGACACCATTCTCTTAGTTCTACGGAAGTGCGAAGCTCTCCTACAGAGAGCTTCTCAATCTAGTTCTAATAGGACTGGTGCCCTGTGCACGTGCTACGCAGGAACCATTCACTTTAACATGTTACTAAAAAAAACTATTAAATAAATTTTTTTAAAAAATTTTGATTTTTAATATATTTTAGATTTTGAGAATATATTGTGGTATATAAATTTAAAAATAAAGATATTAAATTTTCCAATAAATATTTATTGTTTTTTTTTAAAATTGAAATATTGAAATCTTCGTATTAATACTATATAATAACATACACTATATTCTATCTTGAAATCATTTGTCGGAAAGACGAATCAACTATAACGGGAGGATTACTACTGCTGAAAAACCTCAGAGCGCTTTATTATACTTTTAGCTAGCTCCCGTAGATAATATCTCAGCCATAGAATCAAATTGCCTCATGCATTTCTATTTTCCTTCTTCCACCTCCCCACCTTTCTCCTTCCACTTCAACCACCACGCATAAACACCATTCAAATTCCATCATCCCCACGCCATCATAGAAAATCCATATAAGCCCCATCCACGCGGTTCCACCTGTAGTCAAAATAAAAAATAGTACATACTCTAAAGCAAATCTTTTTCGCCCAGTTCAAAAAAAATCAAAAATCACATAGCTCGAAACTTAGTTCTCAAAACGCTAACAGAGCTGAGCTTTTTCATTTAGTCTATGGCTAGCTAAGCTGCAGACTTAATAAGCGCTGAACCCCTAAGTCTCGCTTAGCAGCTTAGTACTTTCCCCGTCTTTGCTTGGAAATAACTTTAACTGTTAGTTGAGAATTAGATCATGTTTTCTTTTCTTCTTCAATTGAGTACAAGTACTTTAGGGGTTTTCGGATTGTAAGGATTGTTCCTTCCCAGATTATCTCACCTAAATGGAGCACCTGTTCATTGTCAAGTCTTAAGTTCAAAACTATGTTCGAGTTAATGGATAAGAAAAGAATTCTGGCAAAAAACATACTTCTATCATCCAATTCTCAATCGACTTTATCGAAAATCCAGCGTATTAATCCTCACAGCGCATCGCCCGAGATTCACTACACCGATATCATTCGGCTACAGCTCTTTGGTTATTTCATACCGGACCAGAACATACCCTATCAATCTATTGTACTATCGACAAATAGTTCTTCAATTGAATATATAACCATGGGCTCGATCGGCGAGGAGAATCAGAATTCTTCAGGTAATTCCGATAACCACATTAACGATGACGTGTCACCATCGATGAAGATGGAAACTCTATTAGTTTCGGAAAACCCGAACTCGCCAAATGTCCAACAATCACAAGAAATCAGCAAGAACGACGCAGTTGATGTGCAGTTCACCGATCCATGCGCCATTTGCATTGAGGGCATGGACGCATCGGAAGAACTCACGAAGATGACATGCTGCCAGAATCTCATTCATAATGAATGTCTTCGAAAATGGATAAATTCCACCATAGAGATGGATCAACAAGAAACTTGCCCCTTGTGTCGACACGTACTTTCAGATTTATTTATTGATATAGTGTTCGATATTGACGAGAAGGAAAGCGTACCGAAGCCAGGTCGATGTTGCGAACTTGATGATATGGAGCTGATTATCGCTGCAAGGTATTTAGAAAACTTACCTGTAGAGCAAAAGAGAGCCCTTTATGATCTTTTTGGGAAAATAGAAGAGGAGGTTTTCGGGATTTCGCTGTGGTCGGATGGAGAAAGGAATCGTCTTCGCGTTGTTTTCTTTCTGTGTAAAAATGACCCCTTGGGCACCGTCATACAAATGCCAGGAGATTCAATTGAAATTGCTCACTGGCGACGGTTGATGGCACTTTTGAACCGGGCGTTGTTACAAATACGAAATGAAGAGCAGGAGCCCGTTCTGTGCTCGACCATTGTTCTTCGTCAACGTCCCTACTACTTTGATTTTTTCCACCCTGATGTTTCCGACGTACACTACGGCTTTATTATCGACTCCGACTACGACCCCCATGATCGGAGATTCTTGTGAATTGTTAACCTTGTTCACGAGTTTCCTTTTCTTTTCCGTTCCAGCGATATCAATTCTATTCGTGGGTTCCAAAATGTACCCCTTCCTAGCTGCATTTGAATATGTCAACGGCTCAGAAGATTTACCGGACCTGGTGTAGGAGTATGTGCGTTCGGTTTAGAGCGAGAGCGTGGAGCGCATGCATTTAGATGCGAGAAAACAGATAATCAAGATGCTTCTTTATCAATTCTGGTTTGGAAAATGTGAACGTGCAATCATTACCGTCAGTGTGATGTCTTTGCTTAAAGAAAAAAGTAGCTTTGTCCTCGTGGTTTTGAGATCTGAGTACTCCATTATATGTGGTTGATCTTTATGAACGCAATTGTGAGATTGACAATCATCTGAATCTAAGTTTGCTGAATCGCCGGTTGTGAAAATTGATACTTGTGATATTTAACTGGGAAATTGGATAATCACTTGAGCATGTGGTATCAAATACCTATCTCGGCAGAGTAAGTATTGGAGGTGGAGGATTTGTGACGGATTTGCAGTAAGGTTGAAACGTGACCGCTGAGTTTTGTTCTACGGGCAGTTTATATCTGTCGCTTGATTCTAATTCCGCATCTGGCACTTTACTTTTAACAAGGGGGGAAGGACATCATGGCTATATTTTGCAGTACCTGTGGATAGAACGCGACTACTATTTTTTGACTCTATGGGGAATTGACAGTCAAAAAGTACCATTGTATTCTATAGAGGAACACCGTTCGTGTATAGACCACCCTTCAACTAAAAAGATAACACATTTTATTCAAAGCTTTCTTGCAGGAGGGAAGGGACTCGTTTTTATTCGAGCAATTGCTCACTCGAGGCTTACATGACATCTCATATTCCGAAGTTCATGTTATGCTTAGGATGAGTCCTGCCTACCTAAGTTCTTCAAGCGGATTACTATACATAATCTGTGAGTTGATGTGGATCCAAAACCATGAAAATGGCGAAATGTTTTGTTAGACCTGGGTGTCACGAGAGGAATGAAAGAGGATTTGAACACACAGACTAGAATTGGGCAGTGCATGTATACCCTATTGAGTCGTCTTCTTCGATTTTGGGCCCAATAGAAGGCCACTTGACCTTCCAACTTAACCATCCTCGCTCGAACTTCCCAGTATTTTTGACATAATCACTCAGTCATTCAAATGGTATATTTCGAGTAATCATGGTAACTCAAGAAAAGCGACCTGATATTCCGAAAAAGCTACTTCCTAGTCGAAGCCAGATGAACATGAGTCCAATTGACCCTAAGGGAAAAGAACCACCTTCGTTCCAGATCAATGCAGTTGAAAAGGTGTAATGACCTCGAGGACAATCCATCACAGAGTATGCCTCAGCACACAAGTGTCCATAAGCGTTCCTCCATTCATTTGAAAGTGTCCTCCAAAGTGTGACCATAAATGTCCTCGTTCGTAACCCTTTTTCGTGCAAAAGCCCAGAACTCCATTGCCATGTTAATTTATTTCCCTCCACAAACCCATCGCGATCATATCGTTCCGTTTTCGATGAGGTAATTGCCGAGATGTGGTAAATTTAACGGTGCTGTAAAATTTGTTAGTGGTTATTCCATTCCATTTTGACGATCGTAGGATGTGCGTGGTGAAGTGAGATGGCGCCTAGATTGTGTGAGCGTACCTTGACGAATCCAATATCAGATGCCTTCTCTCTGAAGCATTGTCTGCAGATGTTGAGACCGTATTTGCGGATCAAACCGGCCTTGTGTGTGCAAACGCGGCTGTAAATAATTATTAGAAACGAAATTCTTCAATTGAGATCCTTGATAGAATCGTAGTGAAATCGATTCTCCACATACCATCCGCGGGCTCCCTTTCCGTAGGTACGGGGTCTGGACATCCAAACTGATTCGTGAGACATGTTGTCTGATTTTGGCGAAGACTGTTGTCGGCGGTGGTGAGTTCTTGAAGTTTGCGAGAATCGTTGTCGTGGAGTTCGTAATGTTCAGATTAACTGGAAGGGCTTATTGAAATCTAAGCGAAGTTTCCCACAAATGGAGTTTTTTATAAAAGCCTGAGAATTGAGGCAAGATTTCATGCGAGCGGAATAACGAAAATCCGCATGAAAGGCTTTCAGACTTTGTAGTAGCCTTGCAGATGAAATCCCAGCCTCATTTTACAGCCTTGTTTTCTTATCATCGAGTAACGCAGTATTGCTGCAGCGAAGAAAGAGTAAACAAATAATATCAACAACCAAATCTCCGTTTGCTCTTCTGAAATTCACTTCACAAAAGTCAAAGATGGTAATAAACTCTAGGAATTCACTCATTCCATCCATGATACTACTATTACTAATAATGATACAGTCTAAAGATTCAAATCACACTTATGTACATTTCACCCTTTCTCGCACAGCAGATCTTTTCGAGGACTTCTGCAAAGATAAACTTCCCGACGATGACATTTACGTACCACCTCACAATCAACCTATAAATCCAGAAGATGAAGACGATGTGGTCCCCGATCAACATGCGGCATTTGGTATTCAGCGGGCAACTCAAAAGACAAAAGAACCAGCTTGGAAAGATTTGGGATTGGCGGAACTGATGAAGAAAGGTCCCGGTGGAAAAAATGGGAATGAAGGAGGAAGCTATAAGGGTATTAGAAGTCTTCCGAGGTGAAAAGTTACGTAGATGAGTCTGGAGTTGAAGAGTGTATAGTATATTGGGAACTTATGATGGAGGAGTTTGGCATGCAACAACTAATTGAGGGATTCCGGAGTCGGGAGTTAAATGTCACTGGCTAAGAAAGACCGGATTTATGGTGTTACAGGCACATTTATGTTTTAACACCAAGGATATCATCATGTTGCGGGAAGCATGAATAGCTCAGAGAAAGCAGTGCGATACAATTCAATTTTTATCTTTTATAAAGAAGTATCGAAGGACTTGAGTCGCTAATGACTCGGATTCATTCGAACCTACTTACAAAGATATGGGCGAGGATCATGAAATCGAGACGCTCTGAACGGGTCTTCGACTCTATTTTCCCCAAGCTAGTCAGTGGCTGTACGTCCCTGTTTCGACCTAAGAGCCTTTCTAAAGTATTCTATGGAGGTTTGGTGTGGAATCCTTCGGTGAATATATCTCTACAAGCACCTTGCCAGATACCATCAGCATTTTGAGTCCTAAAGGTAGGAGAGCAAGCCCTGTGACACAATACCTCAACGAGTCTAGACTCGGAGAGAATCGTTTAACGTAGAAAAGTTACGGAAATAGTGACGGCCATATGTTCACTTCGATATCGTATCTAGTCGAATAAAACGACTGCGGGACAGACGAAAGACCTAATTCAACCATAAACTCCATGCGAATGATGCCCCTTTGCGCCCCAACATATGATCATGGAAACCAGTGGGAATGGAAAGCTCAAATGGTACCTCCCTCCCTTCTAACTCTTGGCCAAAAATGCCTCTCTTTCCACCACTTCCTCCTGAAACTTAACCAAGAACACAGTCTTTCCAGGCCACAGTTCTCCCTCCTCACCCCTTCCCACACTATGCGCCGTCACCCTAGCTGGGAACCCCGCTCCGTCACAAACACCCTCGATAATACCCGCAACGAACGCCGCACAGTTCAACTGGTTCATCTCTTTAGGGACACTAATATATTGATTCACCAGAGGTTCATTGTCCGATATCATGTATTCTTCTGGAGTATCTGGATTTGAAGATTTCTCGAGGGCATCTGCTGGTCGGGAAAAGAGATGACGCCAGAGAACAGTGGTTATGAATTGGAGAAGGGCGATGATGTTTAGAGGGCGTGTTTGGGTACGTGGAGGTTCGCGGTATATAAGAAGATCGAGGAGTTTGAGGCCGATCGGGTGACCTTGGACATTCAGTCTGTAGTTTCATTTTAGAATCTGATATATAGGATTCTAGGGTACCGGCCATGTATAATCTTACCGCTTCTCAAGATCTTGAATACCAGTAACCCGTCTTTGCGCATAACTAACCATCTCCCCGAATAGATATGCAAAGCTAGCCTGGCTTAACTCCTGTGTTTTACTACGATTCAATGGTCTATGATATATCGTTTTGCCGGTCGAAGGATATCGTAGCCCTGACTGGGAGCCTCGTTGAGGATGAGAAGATTGGCCAGCCAACGGCGGTTTTACCGGCTGAGAGGACATTTTATTTTTTAATTATTGGTCGCGTGTACTTGGATAGTGTAACTCTCAAGGTATTACAAGTGTTTTGCAGATTTGAGAGTTGTATGAAGTCGGATGTATGTTTTGGTAGTGTTTGTCGCAAGGCTGTGGAAATTGAGAGTGAGGTCGATGTCAAGCGAGGGGGTTCAATCGATATCATCATCATTTACATTCGGCAAAGTCGTGGCTCCTTATACACAGTTGTCAAATGTAGAACCATATCTACTCCTATTGATTAATGCGTAGTCTATTCTAACCTAATTGAGGCAGATCATCTGTAAAATTGTTTTGGACTTTTCACTCCTGATATTTTAATATTATGGGTTTTGCTTTTGGAAACTCGTAAGACTGGCACCGATTTCCGCTCCGTTCAAACAGCAAACAAGCAAGCTCACACGTCATCTTTGTACAATTTATAAACAACAGACCAAGATTTCCTTCAATGGTTTTCTCACAGAGTCGAACTTGAGTACATAATGGTGTTATCTCTAGGGCAAATTCTCAAGGGGAAAAGGGATCGTATCAGCTTCTAGAGGCATTGAAAGCTCCACCGTTTTCAAAGGACAACATGAACCAATCAATTCGCGTCACACCACATTGTACATATTCGGGGTTTAACTGTCTTTTTCCAAAAGAACTATCAGTCATGACCACTTACTGATTGTTTATGCAGTGCTGTGGTGAAAACCGCATTGGGTGATCAAAAGATCGCCCTGAACCGCGAGCATAAGCGGTATCAAAATCCTGCTATAGCATCGTGTCAACATATTCGTGCATTACTTGATATTGTCGGCGAAAGAGACCATAACTTAGAAATTGATGAGACCGAACCTCTCAGTCTTATCCTTGAATGAATGGAGAATGATCTGAGATCCATATTTTCCGCCCCATTTCGAGCGGACTCCCATCTCTTCAAAGTCATAGTTATGCAAAATTTGGATTTTGAAGTCTGAAGTGTAGAATCTAGAAATTGTCAATTGAAATTGATTAAAGACTCTACTTTAAAATGTCTATGGATCAATAAAAGTTTAAGTTTGTTAAAATTATGGCAAAGAAGATAGTGAGAAACGGGTGCAGATATTAAGATCTAGGCACTTGTAGATGATGCTTCGACTGTCTTTGGCTCGACAGCATGGCCATTTGATGACGACTCTTCAGCTGCAGCACCGCCAATGCTAGGAACATTTGCACCCTTCAAATAAACCTCACTTTCTCCGATATGCTTTCCCGCTTGGACCCAGCGTTCATACACACTCTTTTGTCGCTCCTGACACATCTGAATTAACGCCGGCCAATAGGTTGCATGATCATATTCAAATGCAAGTTCTCCATTAAACTCGGCCCAGAGTTGCTGAGGAGGTACATGTTGCTTCATATCATCATTAAACTTCAGCTTTTCTTTAGTCAGGGGATCGATGAATGGAGTGATGAGTTTGAAAAAGCCGTTAACCATCCAGGGAACTTAAAAGAAGTTAGTGAGGAATACGTTCGTCATCGTAGGAGACTTACTGTTGATAATCAAGGCCCTTCCAAGTCGTTCGGGATAGTGAGTCTGAAGGATGTTCAAGACTTCCCTAGCTTGCCCAATGCCAGGTGCTGTGTTCGATCTGCTCTTACTGGCCTTGAAGTTGATTAACAATGCGAGCGTAAATTGACCCGGTATCATTAAATCAATACATCGCTCAAGCATGAATACTAAATGCTGTACTTGCTTGGGGTTAGGTTCGGTATTTTGTCTTCCAGGGTTCAAATAATGACATGGTCGACCTTCGTTGTCATAACCCAAGATGAATTGTTTGCCGGTTTCATTTTCAATTGAAAGATCATCGCCCGTAAGACCGCTCACACCATACTCCCGTTTCCAAGTCAAAGTCCCTAAAAGTCGTTTTGGAGCTTCCGTAGCAGACCATTTTGTTGCTCGCAAGTAACGGCACAAACATTCTCTGGTCAGCCATAACCGTTCCTCATCCGTGAGAGGGCCACCTTTAGAATCCTTGGCTGGAATGTCGGTCCACGACTTGACAGTTTCTAAGAGCGCATCGTATTTCTTTTGTTGTTCTTCCGTCAGTTCTGGTGGGGGGGGAGGTTTCGAAGTCTCGAGAGGATTTAGGAACGGCGGTCTCAGTGGGCTTGGTCCATTCTCCTCAATTGACTTTGGAGATGTCGTTCCGTTGGTGACGCTTCCCAAATTAACAGCGGCCATGTCCTTCTCGATGCCTGCGACTTCGATTGGCTTCTCCGTTACTGGCTCGGAGGACATATTGAACTATGCTGTGATTGAGTGTGAATAGCTAAGTATCTGAATACCTGATTGCAAAATAATGTACCTCAGACTCAACTTTTGATTGACTCTCGAAGATAAAAAGCACAAAACCAAAAAGACGTCTAGGGAAAAAGATGGTAAAACGACTTGTGTCACCGACTTTCTCAATCTAAAAATGTGGTGCTAGTTCAGCCTTATTTAGGTCTTCGATTGGCGAATATTTTGGGTTGGTACCTCTTCTCAACTGATTGTCCCTGCATGTTGTGAGTAATCTACCAATGGGATATAGCATGCGATGAGTGAATATATCAAAATGTAAAATTCATGAAGCTCTCAATCATCCAACAAATTAGCTTCTGGAAAAGGGGTTTGTTGCCATGAATTTATTTGTAGAGTGTGGCTGGGTTTTGTGTGGCGCGAAGTTGTGAAATCAATTTAAATTATGTTGCAGGAGCGCGTCGGAGCGCGTCAAAACGCGTCTCCCTAAATCTTTCTAAAAAGATCAAAATTGATTAAACTTAATTATAGAGTATCAACGATTCTTATACACAACAACCTCACCATGGACGAAATCGATAATGAGCTCAATGACTTGTTCTCCTCCGCAACTGCTTCAGGTGGCCCTATTGAGCAAGATGTGCTCGCAGAGTTGCAATCAATTATGCGACTGCACTCAATACCACCACAAGAACTTTTCTACAAGTGGGAATCATACAGTATTAAAATGGGACAAGATGATATGAAATTGGATATCGATACTGTTAGAGCTCTCAAGCAAAATGTACAAGACGGACTCGAGAAGGAAAATCGAAAAACTAAGGCTTATACATCAAATAAACGAACGGGGGCTGCACCTCGAAATGTTGGAAGTAATAATGATGTTTTTGGAATGTAAGGCCGTCTTGAACATCTGATATTGATATCTTCTCATGGCATCCTAGGTTAGATATCACGCCAAATACTCCTCGAAGTGGGATGAGTTCACGACCGAAACGTAAATTCGAGACGCCTTCCATATCGAGGGTGAAAGCAGAACCCGCTAGTAGTCCCCCGGACTTTAGGACATCAAGCAACCTGAACGATACTGGTACTGGCGCTACGCATGCTCCGTATGTTGTCATTACCGGTTAAATTCGGCAGATACTGACAGGCTGCAGCACTTCATTCAACGACCGACCGCATGCTGGCCAAACCGTTGAAGTTCTGAATGGCCACCTCGAAATCCCAGAGCCTCCAATCGCTCCTTATCCGGAATCAAGAACTAAACTTACGGCAAATTCGGACATGAAGAAGTTATCTTACAAGACAATGGCTATGAAATCATCGGAAGCTTCAGAAATATTGGATGACCGGATAGATGAATTTATGCTTCTCATACAGGCACATCATAAGCTAGAAGATTCAGATTTTGGCAGTGCAGCAAGTCAAAGTACAAATGAGATAGTAGCTGTCGGGAGGATTGCATGCGACTCTGCTGAGGGAAAGCTTAATCCCTCTTCAATTGTACTCGAGACCTCACGAAGAATGGGTGCAGGATTGCGAATACCACTTAAAATTGACAAGATGAGAGGATTTCAATTCTTTCCCGGGCAGATAGTTGCTTTAAAGGGGATAAATGCTTCCGGCGAGGATTTCACCGTAAGCGAAATTCTCGAACCTCCCTTACTCGGTGTTGCTGCATCGACGCCTGCCAGTCTCGATGACCATGTTCGAAGACTCCGAGGAGGTTCAGATGCAATGGATGATGATTCTGATCCAGCACCACTTAATATTATCATAGGGAGTGGACCCTTCACAGCAGATGATAATCTGGACTTCGAACCTCTACATGCCATTTGTAGCCAAGCAGCGGATAACTACGCCGACGTACTAGTTCTCACTGGGCCATTTCTTGATATAGATCATCCATTAATTGCAAGCGGAGACTTCGATCTACCCGAGGAAGTTCTGGCGAACCCGGATTCCGCTACCATGACCGCTATCTTCAAACTTCTCATCACCCCAGCCTTCACCCAACTCACTTCCAGTCACCCCAGTATAACTATCCTCCTCATTCCTTCAGTCAAGGATGCCATCGACAGACATGCCGCCTGGCCCCAGGAGCCCTTTCCCCGGAAAGACTTTGGTCTTCCTAAAGCTGTCCGGGTCGTTGGTAACCCTATGACTATCGCCCTCAACGAGATAGTGATGGGTATCTCCTCTCAAGACATCCTCTATGAACTTCGACATGAGGAAATAGTCGGTGGAAAACCACAGGATTCTACTTTGCTTGCACGTTTACCTAAGTATCTAATCGAGCAACGACATTTCTTTCCGTTATTTCCACCGGTTCAAAGATCTCAGTTACCGAAAACTGGAACGGAGGACGGTATACCTGTGGGAGCGATGCTCGATACGAGTTTTTTGAAACTGGGTGAGATGATCAATGTGAGGCCGGATATGTTGGTGGTACCAAGTTCACTACCACCCTTCGCTAAGGTATGTGATATTTCTGGATATTTATAATGGTCGTTGGTATTTGTCTTAAAATCAAATTGCTGATACCTGAGATGTTTAGGTCGTAGAAAGTGTGTTAGTGATCAACCCAGGATACTTATCGAAGAGAAAAGCAGCTGGCACATATGCAAAATTGACGGTATACCCAGCGTCGATGACGGAGCAAGAAAGGACACAAGGAACTATGATTGGTCATAAGTTATTTGAGCGAGCTCGTGTAGATATTGTGCGGATATGATATAGATTTGTTCCAGTTATATATTATCAACGATAGATATTAAAGGCTGAGTTAGCATTAATTTCTTGTTTCAATTATAAAGTTCATCATTCTAAAGCTGTTAGGGACTTCTCATCTATCGGTGAAAACATCGATTGAAAACAATGTCTACTCCAATGGCTTTTTTCTCATGGATGATTTTCACCCTCCTGTCTATGTAGGGATTACAAATAAATAACCCAACGTTGCCATTGAGCCACTTGAAAAGTTCTAATCTAGCCATAAAATATAAAACCCCTTAGTTTTGGAGCTGAGATGTGATTTTCGCGAGGCCGAGAGTTTCATTGCCCCGCGTTTAGCTTTGCTCCCACAATTGTGTTGCAGGGATAACATGGCGCTAATATCTTTACGGTATAATTCTTCAGCCTGGTATGAAGCATATCAAATTATCAATGAATTGACACACATTTTCACATCCAAACAAAACGACGAACAATTTCTATTCGAAAGGTTCATACACATTTTCAGCCGAGACGTTCAACTCATATTCGACATACAATTCTTCACTTCTTATTCTCTTCAAATTGATGGGCTGTTAAAACTGACGAGCAAGTGACTCATTTTCGAATCTATTGCGACAACCTTCAAACCCCCACCATACGCCAGACACACAAAATATCATCGCGACAGATCCTAAAACTGGTAGATTTGAGACTTGATCACGGCGTCGTTTCGAGTTGGTCTTGGTTCTAGCGTTTGGTTCATAAGCTTAATTGCTTTTTATATCCAAACCACCGATGTCTGCCGAAGAACCAGCAGTGGCTACAAGCCCCGCAAATGTCGTGAAGTCAAAGGCAGGAAGTACGGAATCTGCGCCTTCTTCTATACCAGCCAAATCTTCGAGTACGAAAGCAGGAAATGTAAGGGAAGCTGCGACACCCACTCCCGATGGAGGAAAGCTGTCGGCCGCCGAATTGAAAAAGAAGGCAAAGGAAGAGAAAGCCGCACGTAGAGCTGCAGCAGTACAAAATAAGGCAGGAAGCGAAAATGTAACTCCTGCGCCCGCAGCAGCAGGGCAGAAAAATGAACCCGTGAAAGGAGGAAAAGCTCAACCCAAGAAAGGTGCAGAAGTACGAAACTTACCAGTGAGAGGAGGGCCGACAAAATCTGCTCCGGTTATAGAAGTGCCAAAGGTTGAAGATAAGACAGTCGAACTATTTAGGCATTTATACAAACCTCGAACAACTTCAATTGCTGAGGCAGGCAAAGATGTTCATCCTGCAGTGCTTGCCCTTGGGCTGCAAATGAGCAATTACATAATATGTGGTAGTTGCGCAAGACTCGTGGCAACGCTGCAAGCATTCAAAAGGGTAAGTTTATGCTTCAGGATCTTTGTTCTGTAATTTTCATGTCTATCAATTTACTGGAGATACGTATCTATTATCACTTTCTTACTTGTCTTCTAGGTTGTCGAATCCTATAAAACCCCTGTTGGGGCAAGTCTCACACGTCATTTCATACCACATGTTCTTTCTCCTCAGATTGAATACTTAGCTTCTTGTCGGCCCCTTTCGGTATCTATGGGTAACGCTATTCGCCACCTTAAACTGGAGATATCAAAAACCGACCCAGACCTGTCAGAAACTGACGCAAAAGAGAACGTTTGCGATGCCATCGATGTCTTCATGCGCGAGAGGATTACTTTTGCTGATAAAGTTATCGCCGATACTACTGCGGAGAAGATTAGAGATGGTGACGTTATATTGACTTACGCCAAAAGTAGCCTGGTGCAAAAAGCGCTAGTGAGAGCTCACGAAATGGGTAAGAAATTTAGAGTCATTGTGGTTGATTCTAGACCTTTACATGAGGGGAAGCACTTGGCATCAGCACTCGTCAGTCTAGGCATCGAAGTCAAGTACTGCCTGATTCATGGATTAAGTCACAACATTCAAGATGTGACAAAAGTTCTACTAGGTGCTCACGCGATGACGAACAACGGACGATTATACTCAAGGATAGGCACAGCTTTGGTCGCCATGGAAGCTTCCAACGCTGATAAGCCGGTGATTGTTCTTTGCGAGACCATCAAGTTCACTGACAGAGTAGCTTTGGATTCAATTGTCCTTAATGAGATTGCGCCAGCAAATGAGCTCGTGATTGCCGGAGGACCATTGGAGAATTGGATGGATGTTAAGAAACTCCAACTTTGCAATCCAATGTACGATGTCACACCTGCTGAGTACATCCAGATGATTGTTACGGAATCAGGAAGTATACCAACTACATCAGTCCCAGTGCTTCATAGACTAGTAAACGAAGCTCAATAGTACGTTAAAATATTGGAAATTTGAAAAGTATCATGAGAAGCATGATTTCATAGAGCAGGTGCTGGAAGGCGTTCAAAAAGGGATTTTGATGATATGACGATATCAAGATTTGCACCTGATGTATGATAGAGTAATCGCTGGATAGAATGAAAGGCAATGTTCAAGCTTCCTTACTTCAATTTGGCATAAATTTCATGAGCCAGACTGAGAGCTTCAACCCCGATGTGCATCTTACATCTTGAATGTATATGAGTGATTCCTTTCTCATTGAATAATTGCCCGCAAAGCTTTGTACAATTCTCACACCCGACCTCGATTTCTTATTCTCCGCTGCCCATCCATTCCAATTCGTAACCCTATATTCGTCTCGTTTCAAAATCCACATCATGCTTCGAATGGATACCCTACGACTCTTCAGCAGCACCCTCTCTTTCCTTCCTCCTCGCCCTCTTCTCCAAAATAGCTGTCCGTCTTGCCCCAAGAATAGACTGTTGTCGATTTTCAACTCCCTGCATCCAATATCCAAATGAAGCGCCGACACCACCGAAAACGGGGTAGACCCAGAGGGATTGTCGGTTGAAGAATGGTCGCATTTCGAGACCGAGTTGCCATGCACGGACAGCCAGGCCTAGGGATGCTTGTTAGTGAAATCGACAGCAAGAAAGGAATATGCGGGGGAAATGGCTTGTGAGATGAGGGCGAAAGGGAAGAAGGGAAGAAGGGAAGAAGGGAAGATACCGAAGCCGGTCCAGAAGAGAACTTTATGAACCATGTTTTATTTGTGATGTGAGGTGAGTTTTTAAGTAAAAAGTTGTAGATATGACTTTGGCGGACGCTTCGCAGTCGGAATTAACGACCTACAAATGCGTGTGAGGGGTGGTGTAGTGACAATTACGGCTTCCGCTCCAGGATACACTTGTATGGTGGTGGTTGAAGGTCACTTGTAGCTGGCACTAGCGCGATTGGTCGGTGGTAACACGTGATCGCGTTTATTGAATTCCACCGCGGACAAGTTACTTTGAGTACCTGGTTTCGATCTTTGTTTGTTCATCTCTTTTTCAATGTCGTGAAAATTCTTGATACTTTTAATTTTCCAATATGAAGTAGCGGTCGAAGATACCTTAATAAATTTAATCGGCACCACGAACAGAGAATGGCGACGATGGCATCTGCATACAAAAAAGATGGTGGACATTCTGGGCCTCCACCGCGAAAGAAAGTAAAGACCTCAGAATTACCACTTGCATCTGCGACAAGAGCCGCCATTGAAGGATTGGCTCATACATATAAGAAAAAGGGTACTTATGATGAATTGAGGACCAAGATTTGGCAGGAGTTGGAGAAAGGTGTATGTACTACGAAACCATTTATAAGTTCTATTTGCGCCACTAGGCTGCTGGGAATAGGCGTTGACTCCTTTGAATGATTGTTAGGATGCTGATTGAGTGGTCATACAGGATTTTGAGGATAAGTTCACGAGTTCTTTATTGAGTGTTGCGGAGGAGCAATTAGAGAAGGACCCTGGGCAATTACTCAGATTAGAGCGCAGTAAGGCTACGTTACTTATTGAGGGAGCTGTAGATCGTGCGGGTATCTATCAATCTGCGGAGGCGACAATCGACAAATTAATTCAAGCATATATTCCAGAGATCGAGGAAGGGGTTCGCACGATTCGCAAAAGTGATATTGGGGAAGAAGCGGCGGAAAGGGAGTTTTTGAAAGGAGGCAAAACAGATGAGCAGTATGCTGAGGAGGCTGCGAGTAAGAGAGCGGCGAGGGAGAAAGTTAGGGAAGAGTTAAAAGAGAAGGAGAAGGCGATCGCGGACGAGAAGAGAAAACAGGAAAAACTGAAGAGGAGAGAGGAGGAAAAGAGAATTGAGGCCGATCAGGAGAGGAAGAGGGAGGCTAGAAAGAAGGCGGAGTTGGAGGCGGAAGAAGAAAGGGAGAGAGAGCGGGAAAAGGAGGATAAGGAGAGAAGAGAAAGGAGGGAGAGAGATCGCGCTAGGGACAGGGACAGGGACAGGGAACGGGACAGAGAAAGAGATCGCGACCGCGATAGAGATAGAGATAGGGGTCGGGATAGGGATAGGGATAGGGATAGGGATAGAGATGACCGAAGAAGAAGATATGATGACGACAGACGCAGGGATTCTGCCGGTCTCCGAACGCCAGCCTCGAAGCCAGAGTTATCCAAGGAAGAAATTGAACGACTCGAACAAGAGGCTCTTAATGATCTTTTGAAGGAAGGCAAGAAGGTTGCTCAAAGGTCTAGACATCAATTGGAGTTGGAGATTGATGAGACCTTAGCACCACCCCCTCGAAAGGCAATGCCTGCATCGGCCATTAAACCAATATCTCGGGATACTGCGTCGAAGACAACCGAACTTAAGAAGACTGCAGTTGCTAAGCTCAAGGAAGAATCCGGTTCGAAAACACCTCAAGGCGCTGATGGAAAATCAGCGGTAGAAAAGGCGAAGGAGTCCAGTCACGACAAAGGAGGTAGTCAAGGAATTCAAACTCCTGAGGTGGTTAAGGATGCCAATAAGGTTAGGGAAGAAACCAAGACTACAGGGGCAAATCATGATGACCGCAAAGACAAAGACGAACGCTCACGTCGTGGAAGTCGAGATCGGGATGATAGAAAACGACGGGATAGCAGAGATCGGGATCGCGATCGAGATAGAAGAGATAGTCGAGATCGGGATCGAAGTGATTATCGAAGACGTAGGTCAAGTAGAGACCGCGATGATAGAAGGGATAGAGATCGTCTTCGATCCAGGTCTCGTGACCGACGAAGAAGTTACAGATCGCGAAGTCGTGACCGATTGGGTGACCGAGACCGTGATACGAGACGTACAGAAAGCAGTGTAACCAGAACAAGCACTTCAAACCTCGATGCAGAATCTTTCAAAGTTGCTGCGGCACAAGCCAGAGCAGAGGAAGCTCGAAAGTGGAACGAGGAACGAAAAAATCAACCACTGTTACCTAATCCATCGGCGAGGAAGGAAGAGGCTGTTGCTTCTACACCTAGAGCGAAAGATGATGTCAGAATGAGCAGTCCTGTTTCGACTAGAAAACGAGAAACTTCAAGGGATAGGGAAAGTCACAGAAGAGAATCTCGCGTGAGAAGTAGATCACCCACCGCGAGACGAAGTAGTCGAATCGAGAGGAGCACTAGTCCGATTAATATCGATCGTTATGTACCGGGTGCAACTGGACGAAGGGAAAGTGCAGCAGAAAGGAGTTCACCGAGAAAGAGGGAGAGGAGTAGAGATAGGGAAAAGGAGAAGAGACCTAGGGATGATGAAAGGGCGAGAAGGAGGAGTCGCTCACCTGATGACAGGAGGGATAGGGATAGAGATGGACATGCTAGAAGGTATAGGAGTCGAAGCAGGGATCGGGACAGGAGGAGAGACCGAAGTAGAAGTAGGGATAGAGATAGGGATCGGAAGAGGGAAAGGAGTAGGAGTCGAGATAGGAAGGAGAGGGATAGGGATCGGGGGGATAAGGATAAAGATCGCGACAGAGACAGGGATCGAGAGAGGAAAAGGGATAGAAGTAAAGAGAGTAGGAGAGAATCGAGGCGGGATTAAGTTGAGTTTCTTTTCTCCTACAGGATGGGGGAGAGAAAGAAGGAAAATGGATATCGTCGTTTAGGAACACATAATAGCGAGCTTGTACGCGATCACGAAATTCTACTTGTGTATCGAGTAGTATAATAATGTAATAGAGCGACGGATGAATACAGAACAGAGGACATTGTCAAAATTCAGGATCCAAACATTCATGAAAGTCGCTTCTCCAAATTCTTAATATCTGCCTCCAATGGTCCTCGCCATAAACAGGAATCACTCTTACTTTACAACCTTCTTCAAAATCGCCTCTACTAGTTTACTTTTACCAGCAACCAAGAACCCGATGTCCCGAAATGTCACCTCTCCTAATATCTCGAACACTGCGATATCGGCGTCAAGCTTCTGGTTAAACCAATTTCTCAACTCAACAGCGATTAAAGAATCGACCCCGTAAATATGCATAGGTCGAGAGGAATCTAAGTTCTTCATAGGGACAGCCAGGGCATTGCTTAACCTCTGCATTAGTGCATTGGCAATAATGTTGGCCGCTTCCGTCTCTGAAGCTACGCCATGTAGTTGGCTGGTCACGTCAGTAGCTACATCTTCTTTGGCACCTGTCTTCCCTTGTTCGTTGATACTCCATGTTCCTCTGAACATTGGTCGTGTCATCATGGCGGGCACCTCGGCCCTCCTTGCCTTTATCGACGAGGGGGTGTCAATGCCAACAATAATCTGAGATCTCAATGGAGTTTTCGGTACGTCTAAGGACGGATCACAGTGATGTTCAAGTAACGCAAACATTTCCTCTTGTTTGATACCAACCAGGTATCCAGTACCAAGCAATGCTGTTCTTACCGCGGTGTTATCTCTCAAGACGCCATCGTCTACCATGACGCCTAGATTGAATGTGGTAGCTTTCTCGCCAACCTTGTTGCGGTAATGTACTAATGCATCTTGGTAGGCACAGGCGGCACTGTAATTGACTGACGCCGTCCCACCAATGGCACCAGAAATAGAGGAGTATACGATAAAGTGGTCTAATCCTTTTGGGAGCAGAGTATGCAGGTTCCAGGTTCCAGAAACCTTGCATTTGTTTGCTCCTACCCAGTCCTCATAGGTCATATTCTCGAAGACACTACTCTAAAATTCTGTTAGCATCTAATGTAGCAAGCAAAGGAACACAAAATGAAGACTGACCCTTAGCACCATGGCTGATTGGATGCAACCCTTTATAGGTGGCATTTTTTTATCAAGAGATTTTAGCACTGACTCTAGAGATTTGAAATCGGAAATATCGCATAATGGTGTCTCTACTCGTACGCCTTGTGCCTGTAAACTTGAGATGCACTGCGATGCCTCTTCTGAAGTAGGACCTGATCGCGAGAGCAAGACCAGATTCTTAGCCCCACGGTCAGCCATCCATTGTGCCGTACTTCGCCCGATGCCACCAAGTCCTCCCGCGATCACATAGGTTGCATTTTCCGGAAAGGTCCACGAAAATGTTCTTTTGAGTGAAGCCTACTCTTGTCAAAAAGCTGTGTTGCAATCGATTACGCTTAAACTTACCTTGATGATATCCGGTCCTCTAAACTCAATGACTGTCTTACCGGAGTTCTTCCCACTCTGTAAATATCTGAAGGCTTTCTCAACCTCACTAATCCCATAGACATGGACAGGTTGTGGTGGACGGATTTTGTCATCGAAAAGTAAAGTGGTTATACTATTTTTAAGATCCAAGAGAAGACCAGGTCGATATTTTCGAGCCTCGTTCAGATCAATGGCATGGAAAGAAGCATTTCGAGAAAATGGAAGCATAGGTAGATTGCCATTTGCCAAGATGTCTTTCTTGCCGATTTCAAGGAATCGCCCGAACGGTGCAATGCATTGCCATGTATCGACAAGAAGATCACCGCTGAGTGAATTTAAAACAACGTCAACACCGCCGTGATCACCAGTCATTCTTTGAATACCCTTCACAAAAAAAGCGTTGCGACTATAAAAAATATGATCTTCGGGTATTTGATACAGGCTAATAAGTAAATCCTTTTTAGACTTTGATCCCACGGTCACGAAAATTTCGGCGCCTAAAAGTTTCGCTATTTGAATAGCAGCTTGCCCTGTTCCACCTGCTGCAGAGTGTATCAAAATCGACTCCCCCTTCCTCAGTTGAGCTACATGTACAATTGCATAGTACGCCGTAGTGAAGACTACAGGAAGCGCAGCAGCGTCTATGAAGCTCATATAGCTGGGGATAGGAATAACATTACTCGCGTTGCAGCGAGCATAGGTCTGGTAAGTCCCAAGTGTGCTTGCGCATACTCTATCGCCCAATTTCAATTTAGTCGCATGGGAGCCGATGCGGTGGATGGTACCAGAACACTCGAAACCGAAGCTCATGCTAGGTATACGGCCTAATGCGATAAGGCAGTCTCTGAAATTGACACCACTAGCTTCAACTTCGATTTCGATCTCATCACTTGCTAGATTCGTTCTGGCAGCACTATCCTCAACGAACTCGAGAGTGTCTAAGAGTCCAGGAGTTTTGATGCTGAGAGCTACCGGAGGTGCACTGCAAAACTCACAGTCGCTGCGTGGTTTGTCTTCCGCGGTTTCAGAAAGCTTCTGATTCATGTAATCTGCATCAATGATTCGATCAATACAGATCATACCGTTTCGTTCTACGTATTCTTGTTCGCAATCCTTGACAGCGGTTGTGGATACTTTTTGGTAAACCTCAAAGACCTTATTTGCGAGGTGTGTAGGATTCGTTGAGGTAGCCTCAAATGAGAGAGATATAAACTTGAGTCTAATATTTTCCATTCGCAGTGCGCGGAAAGCCCCTTGAACAAGTGCGTATTCTGGCAAGTCAGGTCTTTCTCCCCCTCCTTTGCAAGCCCAGAGAATGTTCTCAAAGGCCAGGAACATTGCTTTGACGTCTTTGAAATTGGGTTCGGTCATTTCTTGAAGCAAAGGTCTATCGAGTTCTAGAAGTACTATGCCAAACGCACTGTTACCGTGAAAAGTAGCGGCCTCCTTGAGTGTCATGGAGAGTATGTTTTCGGTCCCTGCGGATTGTAATGTATGACGCAGCAGTTCGTAGATCTTTCTCTGCAAATCAGATTGAGGATCGAGAACAACCACCGTTAGGAGGAACGGAGATATACTCAAGGTGTCCCCACGAGCTGTAGAGACTAGTGCGCTATGCTCATGACATTCATCCTCTTCATAGTCTTTGAAATTAAAATCAATACCGGAAAACCCCGAACTTTTCAACACTCTATCCCATACGCTATCTGAGATGCCAGCACTGAAACTACGATACTTGTCGTTAAACCGCCACCACCCAGGTAACAAACCAAAAGCAAAATTCGTTCGAACAACCTCAGGAACAGTTAACTCGAAAAGCATAAGTTTTCCTCCTGGTTTCAGCAACTTTCTAACATTTTTTATCGTGACATCAAGATCCCGAGTTGCATGAAGAACGTTGTCCGCAATAATGCAATCGTAACCCCCTGCCTCGAATCCTTGATGCGCAGGGTCTTTCTCTATATCTAATACTTTGAAGGTTACCATGTCTGAAAAGTTCTGGAACAACGGAGCTGCACCTTCGAAAAAACCGGCCGAGATATCTGTGTATGTGTAGTGCGAAAAACGAGGCGTGCCGACACGAGGATCACGAGCACCATTTTGTGCAAGAACATCCAGCAGGTAATTCGTCATCCCCCCAGTACCTGCACCAATCTCCAATATGTTCATATTTGGATGCTTGTGAGTGAGAATGTCGAGATAAGCAAGGGTTTTGGATAGACCATTAGTAGACTTGTACAACTCCCTATAATAGTCCTTCACCAATGGTTCCTTGAACATGAGTTCAAGAGCATCAACTTTTCCCATCAGAATATTGCGAAGATTCTTCGAGAGCACAGCATAAAGCTTTCCTCTCGCATTACTATGCTCTAGGCGGCTCAACAGCTTTTCATAAAACATATCGTCGTTAAGGTATTCCTTGACATTCACTGCGCTGTTACGCATCTTTGAATTATTGAGCTTGTTCCGTTCGTATTGCATCCATTCGAAGAATTTATGGTGGTGCGGCTTCAGCTCAGCGATTTCAGAGTCTGTCAGCCGATCTAAAGTTCTCAGAATACAGAGATATAGCAACAGCTTGACATCGTGATCCAGTTGGAAAGGAGCAGGCTGAGTATCATAGGACGTGGAAACATACTGAATGAGTTCTTCTTTAGAAAGTAGCTCAATGTCCGGCCTATAATCAAAATTCCAGGAGAGATGGTAATTTTGTTTTTCCGTCGACTTTTTCGTTTGCTCCAAGAATTTGCCTTCGAGACCATCAAGGATAATGACAGGATTGAGTGCTTGATTTTCAAACGCTACTGTGTTTATTAGTGTTCCCGTGGCACCATTCATAGCAGATTTTGCATACGTAGGCATAATGGAGGATCCAGCAACGTTTATTTTTCCTTCGGAAACCCATAATTTGCGCAGCCCAACTATTACACTCGGATTTATTTTCGACGTTTCTCCTACCAAAGCCAAGAGACCTAACTGGAAGAGTCCGTCAAGTGAAGTCGGATGAATAGTGAAGTCCATTTGTTGGAATTCCCTTTTTTTAGACACCCAACTATCGAGCGCGATGTCACCAACACATTCCATGTTTTGACCGTACGAACCATTCTTGATTGTTTGATGAGCAGTTCCGAAGTCGATTCCGTTCTCTCTTAGTGTTGGGTAGAAGCGTTCCATATCTACTTTTTGGCAGCTGGATCCGCGAATACGCCAGAGTTCCGCTCTATGATATTCATCGCTTAAAGAATCTTCGAGCCCGTTGTCGACCTCATCCCCGACTTCGAAATGAGTTGCTCGGACTTGGCCTCGACATACCTCGACCCAGTTGTCGTTTTCAGGAATGTAAATACGGAAATTGGACCATGTTATCTCTCGGTCAGAGGCAAGGCCGCATGGCCGGAGGTAAAACTCTATTTCGGTCCCATCTGGGTCGGAAGGAATGGTAAGAGCTCGGGATACGACGACATTTTGGACAATAAATCCTGAAATGGCTTTGTTGGACCTTAATTTTGCCATTATTTTTGCTGCCTCTATGGCCATGACCAGCATAGCAGATGCAGGAAGAATGCACGCATTGGCGATTTTGTGGTCTTCAATCCAAGGGTCTTCCGAAAGCTTAATCCGACGTCTCCATTTCGCTTCCTGGGGATTCCAATCTGGTACTGGCGTTCCTAAGAAGTCATTCCGAGGAATTTTGCGAAATCTGTGACCTCTGCTAAGACGAGATTCACGCCAGTAAGATCTGGAGTGATCAAAAGGATATTCCGGTAAGTCTGTTAGCGGAGTAAATATCCGGGGTCCACTGGAGCTCTGCTCGTTCAAAGCCTGGATGCTCATCCTGTGGCCACGACAATAGAGATTCCCAAAAGCTTCAAACATCGAAGAGTTTGAATTGACATTGCGTATTAGGATGGAGTAGTATCCTACAGCTGAAGTCTTACCATATAGCTTAAGGAAATCTTTTATAGGTCCTTGTAACGCTGAATGGGGTCCAATCTCCAGGACATCATCGAAAAAGTCCTTTGAATCATTGTACGAAATTGACCCATCTTCGGATACGCGTAATGATGGAGCACAAGAAATAGCGTCGAGGAATCTCACTGGAGAGACCATATTTTCTACCCAGTAGCCTGGTTGACGCAGTTTATCACTGCTGACCACCTCGCCGGTAACAGATGAGACCATGGGAATAAGTTTCGCAGAATTCCGTGAAGACAAATTACCCAATTTCTCCGAATATGCCGCAGCTATAGCATTCATATGATGAGAGTGATATGCGACATCAACCAATAATTTCCGGGAGAAGATGCTCTCTTTTTCTAGAAGCTCATTGAGGTAGTTTATTTGTTCGATATCACCTGTAATTGTAACGTTATTAGGGCTGTTGATGCATCCTACGACAACACCAGAGTATCCAAATTTTGCTTCAACGCGAGCCAGGTATGGTAAAACTTCTTTGGCAGACAAGCCAGCTGAAAGCATTCCGCCTTGAATCATTTTGTCTTCAGCCACTTTCGATGATAGCAATCCTCTGTAATAAGCAACACTCATAGCTGAACGCTTATCTAGAGCGCCAACACAATATCTAAGGTTTTTTTAAGCTTGTGGTGATGCTCTTAAAGGGGGAATAACTTACGCAGTGGCAATCTCGCCGGATGAATGTCCAAATGCCACGGAAGGTTTAATATCGAGGCCCTCTAAGAGATCAATCAAAGCAATCTGTATTGCAGTACAAATTGGCTGACTGAATTCTGGTCTGTTGATTCTGGAAGTTTCTTTATCCCGTGAAAGCTCGGCTGGGATAGGGATGAGCTAGTGTAAACAAGACAAATGCTCGGCAAACATACCTTGGAGCGACCACAAACATCCCATATCTGTGAGAAGCTCAGATAATTCTCTAAGACTTTGCTTAAAAATAGGAGCCTGGATATCTCTACCCATTGCATACCATTGAGCACCTTGCCCCGTGAAGCAGAATGCAAGCCGAGCTCGAGGAAGTGCACGTACTGCACGTGAAAACTTTATCCCTGTTATCAGGTCATTCTTAGAGTTGACTGTCGCAAATGATCTCCATAATAGAGCGCTTCGTCGGTTACCCAGGGTGTAGCTCAGTCTACTCATGTATGAATCACTAAGCTCATCCTTGTTCATTTGGGACCAGTGATCGTTGTATGCTGACTCAAGCCGCTTGATACCATTTTCGTCTTGAGCAGAGAACACCAATATCCTTCGAGTCTCCAAGTGATGGAAACCGTTAGTCATGGGTCGTTGGTCATGATTCGCATGGTTTGTTCCGTTTACTTGTGTGCGATTGATGGCTTTTTCTCGATTGTCAAGGTAGCCAGCTGCATCCTCCATTATGACGTGGGCATTTGTGCCTCCAAATCCAAAGGAGTTGATAGAAAGACGGCATAAGCTGTCTGAAGGCCATGATGTGAGATCTTTTGGAAACTAAACATCATAGAATAAGTCTATATTCCATCACGAATGTCGCAAGGAGGGAAAGTACCTTTAAGTGAGGATGCTCGGCCACGATAGAATGGTTGACGTGTTCGAGTCCTGCAATTCCTGGAATCATTCTACGTTCAAGTATTAGAACGCTCTTAACGAGTCCAGCTATGCCACTGGTACCTTCCAGGTGACCTATATTTGACTTGATACTTCCTATAAACAATGGGGAGTCAGCAGAGAGAGTGTGGCTAAATGCGTCGGCAATGGCTCCTGCTTCGATGGGATCTATTGTTTCCATTAGTATTTCTCGTTTCATTGCGGTTTATTCATACGCACCTCCAACCGACGTTCCAGTTCCATGTGCCTCGACATATCGCGTCTGGCTCATATCTAAGCCAGCTTTGCGATAAACATCTCGGATGAGCTGCGCCTGAGCACTTCTGCTTGGTTGAACAATACCTGGTGTTCGTCCGTCTTGGTTTGTTCCCGTAGCAAGAACAGCAGCTCGTATGGGATCGTTGTTCTCAAGCGCATCGCTTAACCGCTTCACTACAAGCACCCCAAATCCTTCACCACGGCCATAGCCATTCGCCTTTTCATCAAAGCTCCAGCATCTTCCATCTGGCGACAGGAAATTTTGATTGTTCAGTGACATGGCCATGTCTGGACTTAAGAACAGATTTGAACCAGCCACAATTGCCTATTACCACAATTAGACTATTATTGATTCCCGCGGTTAAATTTGGCATACCATGTTAGATTCTCTGCTACGTAGCCTCTCACATGCTGTGTGGAATGCAACAAGAGTACTTGAGCAAGCGGTATCCATATTGATGGATTCACCACGCAAATTAAAGTACCAGCTGATACGATTAGCTAGCATATTAGCCGACACAGAACTTGCCGAATACTGGCCACCAAATTGAGGGTCTTTGGTAGAGAATGATTTGTAGTCATCTCCAAAGCTCCCCGTGTATACCGATGTGTTTGTATTGGAGACGCTCTCAATCGATATTCCCGCTAAATCATGGTCAATTTTGGTCTCATGGTTGACATTGAACATACCATTCTCTAGTGCTCGATATGTTACCTCGAGCAATATACGTGATTGCGGATCTATCTCCGCCGCTTCGCTTGGCCCGATTGTGAAGAATGGAGCATCAAATGCACTTATATCCCCATTCAAAAAATGGGCACCTTTGAGAGGAAACTGCACGTCTCAGTAACTATTTCTGCTGCAAAGTGAGAGCTTACTTACGCTGTTCAATCTTCCTGTATCTGGATCGTAGACGCCGTCGAAGTTTAACCGACTCTCAGGGAATGATGACCAGGCTGATCGACTGGAAGCTAGTCCTTTCCAGAGGGAATTGGCAGTTTCCATTCCTTGAGGAAACTTGAATGATAAACCAACAATGGCCAATGGTTCTATTTTTGTGGAGGATTCACCCATTTTTGGAGTGGCTTCTGCTAGCTCCAAGAATTATAATGGGCTTGGGAGTTTGAAGTTCCCTTTTAAATTTATGATCCACTGGAATTGAAATGTATGTATGTCGCCAAAAGGAGATTGGGTTCATCAGGGGAAGATAAAGGAGTCGACGGAAGAGAGAAAAGGGTGGATTTGGCACTGAGAGACAAGATGGTTAGAGTGGATGTGGTAAGTTTGGGTTTGAAGTGTTAAAAGTTAAGAGTGAGTGTAGTGTTGGCGATGATTTTCAGTCTATAAAAGTTGTGCTTTTCAAATATTCATCAAAATAATCGAATGATGAAAGTTATTTCAAAGCGTTGTAAGCTACATATTTTGGAATAGCAGTCATCTTTACTGATATAGATCTAAATAACCCCCAGACACTACATAACCAGCCTGGTAGATCTAGATAGATTGCCATGGTACAACTTGACCGTCAGATAGATATCCAGACGAGGATGTGAAACTTCTTCAGCTCCATTGCAATTCACCTGCAAAATTATCTACACGACGAAGAAATTTATGTCAAATTCATCCTACCTGTGAGTAAGCCTTGGTATCTTTTCAAAATAAAACCAATATTCAAGCAAGCCTCAAAATATGCGTTCCTATATTGGACGGAGAAATGTCACCAAAATTCATCCCATCGTGAGCATTACCCTTTAAGCATATATCTTGGCAGGAGCAAAGTAAATGGCTTTCCACCCAATTTCTTCAATGACAGTACTTTATGCCTTGAAAGGCTCGGAATGGTTTGATTATGCCGCCAGTGTAACCGAAATAGGGGGGAGCGCTCGTTTCTAGTTGACCAACCACCCCATTTCAAGCTCCTTAAAAGCCGAGCACTACTAGTTAGTTTCCGTTTTTAACGCAATCGGAGCTCCATTTCACCAAAAAAAGCTACCACTAGGAGTAATATCCGTGGTTTCTGCTGATGTTTTACACGGACTTCCACTAAACAGTTGCAAGTCACGATGAAGCCGGCACTGACAGGAACCGAATGCGGGGTTGATACGCTGACTGCATTCATAAAGCTCCGATATCAGCATGTACCACACTACTTTACTAAAAGCTAATGCTTCTTCTTGGCTGTATCACACACCACCATGCTCCTGAGTAGGTGACGAAAGTCTTATTTATCGTGCATAATATGCCTATACTAGTTTAGTTTCTAAACTCCCAACAATTATGATATCCATGGGTGAAATGTGTGGTTGACATATAATCTCTGATGAAAATGCATCTCAACTAATCGGATCGTATTATTTCAAAGGTTGCAGAGGCACATGAAGGCACAGCATCGCACAGCAGTGAGTAGTAGCCTACCCGGGGAAGCAAAACCAAAATGCATAGGAGATTGATTGCCTTCGAAGGGGGTGCAGATGAAAGGGTAAGGGCTGTACAGCAGCGAATGCTAGTTAAACACGGGGTGATGCTTCGTGAGGCTGAGACATATCCACGGTACTTCAGTAAAGTTGTCAGCCAAGCGAGTTTCATGATCAACAAGATACCACAAGCTGTGCCTTGCAACAACATACAGACCATCCAAATAGTCCAATTAGTCAAGCCTTTTTCATTGAAGAAAATACCCCCCTGTTATCTGTGATAGTCTTACATGTCAGTTAATGCAATACAATAATCAAGGGTGAAACAATATATACCATGGAATTATCTAGAAGAATTAAGTGATGTGAGCTTGGCGACAATTTTATCAGCTCAGATGAAAACGATTGAACAGATTTTTCATCGCCGAAGTCTCTACACCATTTTCCTCATTTGAAGAAACATGACAAGCCTTGAAATTCTCATGACTGAGCAGCCCTCGGGCACAAGATCTCAATTTACCGCGCTTGAGAAAGACGCACCGGAAGATCCGAGAAAAACCGGCGGTCGAGGTGCTCATAGCCATTTGCAGTACCTTTCTGGATGGCGTTTAAGTTTGCTCACTCTCGGGTCTGCTTGAAAGGTCGATAAGCATGGACTTCTACTAATTTTGCAGCAGACTATGCCTAAGTCTCATGCTCTCTTCGCTGGATATCACTATCGTTAGCACTGCTCTTATCACTATCTCTGACGATCTACATGCATTCGATCAGAGTAGTTGGATAGTGAACAGTTATTTGACTACATACTTTAGTAAGTGAAATCATTGCAATTCTGTATAGTTTCTTACATTTCAGGTGCTTTAATTATATGGGCCAAAATGAGTGATCTCGTTGGCCGTAAAATTATGCTCGTCACCGCCATCGTGATATTTTTGGCGTTTTCAGGTGGCTGCGGGGGTGCTGCAACTAGTACTCAAATGTAAGGATCCCTAAAAGCTCCAGTAATGCCACTTTTAACCACAAAATATAGAATCGCTTTCAGAGCCCTTCAAGGCATCGGAGGTGCTGGAATATTTAGTATGGTACCGATAATTGTGGCAGAGATGGTCGCCCCAGAGCAATATGGGAAATTCAACGGCATAGTCTCGCTAGCACTAGCTATCAGTTTCCTACTTGGTCCAGTACTGGGAGGTGCAATCCCTCAGAGCACAACGTGGAGATGGATATTTTTGATCAACTTGCCCATAGGCGTGGTAGGTCTAATTCTCGTACTGTTGACGATGCCTGCAGGTTTTCCGGACAACAGACCATCTAAAGCTATCCTATTCTCGCCAAAGAAGACCAATTTGCGAGCCGAGATAGACTTTGTGGGATTCTTATTACTTCCAACAGCTTGCGTTTTTCTTATCGTGGCTTTCGAAGAAGCTGGAGTAGCTTTTGCCTGGGATTCTGCCCTGGTAATCACCTTCTTAGTACTTGCTTTCGTCCTCCTTTGTCTGTTCTTCGCATGGCAAAGATTTCTCTTTTCGAGACAATCTACGAGACAGCCCGTAATTCCATGGGTGTTCTTGAAAAACAGAGTTCTCATGGGTATCTATATGTAAGATCTACTCTGCACGAGCTCTGATATTGGTAACTGACGAAAAATAGATATGCTGTCCTCTCAGGTGTCCCTTTTGTAACTCTAGTCATCGAGATCCCTCAGAGAATCCAGAGCATTAGTAATACCTCGACACTGATTGCAGGTGTTCGCATATTACCCTACACAATGTCTATTGCCGTCGGTTCAGCCATCACGGGTGGTTTAACAGCAAAAGGCCGAATACCTCCGATTTATGTGCTGATCATGGCTACAGCACTGCAAATCCTTGGGACTGGACTATTGTACTCGATACCAGTAAAACCTCACATCCCAGCAAGCTTCTATGGGTATCAGGTGCTGGCAGGCATGGGTGTCGGCTTGGGATTGACGACTTTATTAAACATAGCACCCTTTATCGTTGAAAAACAACTTCTAGGTATCTAAGGATCTGATAATGTATTCTTCTTCCAGAAACTAACGATGCTCTAGCTGTTGCACTCGGTGGTGTAACCCAGATGCGTATCCTTGGAGGGGCTATCGGTGTTGCAATTGCAACTAGTCTATTGAACAACACTGTCATATCAACTCTGGCCGATATCATACCTGCTGAGACAGTCAGCCACCTTCTACAAAACCTTTCTTCAATGTCTTCGCTGTCGTCGCATGATCAAGTTGTGGTTCAATCTGCATTTGCTCACGGGTACCACAAACAACTAGCTATGATATTGGGCTTCTGCGCTGCTGAAGTTTTGTCAATTGGGCTTATGTGGGAGAGGACGCCTCGCAGACTCTTGTGAAGTATAGGCTTCAAATATCTGTAAAGTCAGCTAATCAATGAGATGGAAGCAAGGGAATCGTGTTGTAAGTAGATCTAGGTCTACAACACGTTGACTGGGCACACCTTTTGGAAGGAAAATTACAGAGAATGAATGAACAGCCAGATCACATACTTTTCCGTGCAAACAATCGAGCGCATTAATCGCGAGAGTAATCTTTGCCCGTTTGATGTTATTTTGATGTTATTTTGTCCTCCCCACGTGCAACTTCCACTTCCTAATCATCAGCACAGACCGAATTAACCTACAAAAGTGCGGGGCCTTTGGGACTAACGTATATTAGGCGAACCTTCTCTCAACCACCTCGACAACTACATTGGGAAAATTCTACCGTCGACATTGATGCAATGTTTCATATCTCATTCAAGGAGCATTTGTCATATAACGCAAAAAAATCTTTCCCTTTTTCTCGCAGTTAAATTAATCTTACAAAAAGGTTGGAGTAGCGAGCACGATGAAACCTAGTCTTCTCAAAGAGGGAACGGAGCACATGTACACCAACTCTTACGATTGGACTTTCACAAGAGTCTCCTCTGCTATTCTTTGGATTGAATAAGCTTACAACAACCATTACCCAGCTCTTTGTATCATCATCACTGTGGCATTGCATGTTTTGACTACCGTCCTTCGTAACCACAACCCTCCACCCACTAAAATTTCGAGGCTCCGATCGGACCATACCAATACACCGTAGCAAATGGTACCAATTAATGCAATTACTACGGATATATACAACATCCGCTGACCCGCTCGTCGAGGCTGGCCTTGTAAAGAAGGGTTTTGATTCCAGTCATCGAACTTGGGGTACTTGCAGCGGAGGTAAAAGTCAAGCTGAGATCGGCTATGGAAAAGATCAGCAATTAGCAGGTTCATCGCTTGTTTTCGTTTATGAAAAGACAGAGACTCAGGAAAATCGATGCATGCTCACGGATATATGACAGAATTCCAAGCCCCAGAATCATTGTACCAGCTTTGACAAGACTCATAAACGGTTTCCTGCATGTCTTTTTTGATGCCCTGCGTCCACTTGACTACCGCGTCTGGTTTTGGCTCCAGGCTAGTTACATTACCGTCGATGATGGGACGGATCATCTTGAGGATGTACTGGATATTGTTTTCAATGCTCATGATGACCGAGGTGTGACCAACAAAGGTGTTTGGGCCCATGATCATAAAAAAGTTCGGAAACTGGTCGATGCTTGTCCCCATATATGCTTGGGGACCACCACGCTCCTCCCAGACTCGATGAAGAGAGGCTCCTTGACGTCCCGTGATGGATAGAGGGTGTAGGAACTGTGATGCCTTGAAGCCCGTTGCTAAAATAAGGACATCGGTAGGATAAGAGCATGGTAGCGCACTAACGTCGGAATTTGCATCATAATTTCCCACAATTACTTTGCTGCCTTCCACACTTAGCCAAGGTTGCGTTGTAAGAGTATACCGAGGATCACTCATGCTCTGGAGCCAATCATTATCGAACACCCGGCGCTTGCAGCCAAGACTATACTGAGGTGTCAACATAGAATGATATTTCTCTGGGGCTAGCTTTCTCATATGGTCCAGGGACGTCTTCTCAGAGATTTGGCGTAGCTTCAAGTTTTCTTGGATGAACGTTGTGTACCATAGAAGCTCAGACATCCCGCAAATCATCATTCGAACGATAAAACCTAACAACGGAACGGAACCATAAATTTTAGGAGCAAATTTTGCGTATTCTTCCTTACCTCCTGGCTCTTTAATACGGGGGACAAACCACGGTGGACTACGTATTATATGCGTCAAGGACTTTAGCTCGGTTTTGAGAATTGCAGGGGCGATCTGAGCAGCCGTGCAACCAGAGCCCACAAGCACCACATTTTTTTCTTCGAGGTTAATATTCTGAGGCCATTCAGCAGAGTGAAGAACCTCACCCTCGAAGGTATCTCTCCCAGAGACACCTTCTGGCCAATCATTGGGATTGGTAAGAATACCTGCGCCACTAACAACGATTTTTGCTCGAATTATCTCGAGCCCAGTGGGATGCTTGAGCTTAGTCTCTGGAGAAAGACGACAGATTTCGATCTCCCATTCTTGTTCTTGCTCTCTCCATTTCAAACTCCTCATCTCCGTGCTCAAACTAATATTATCTTTGATCTCGAAGCGTTCGACGACCTGATTGAGATACATCAGATAGTCGTGACCTGAGGGAAAGATGGTCGGCGAGGTGTAGTTTGGGGCGAAAGAAAATGAATAGAACAGGGTTGGTCTAAAGCGGTCAAATCAGGAAATGTTCTAACTTCTATGGTTATTTAACCTACACATCACAGGCCTCCAACAAGAAATTAGCTCTAATACGGTACATGGATGGAAGCCGGGGGTACTCACAACTCCTGGATATCTGTTCGCCCACCATGTACCTAATTGTTATTATTTGTCAGGCTTTGGGCTTGTAGGGGATAAGAATGTGCTCAGGTTTACCTCCAAGACCCCCTTGACGATCAAATATCTTGAACTTGTCAAAATGGAGCTCCAGTTTCAATTGGCAGCCCATGGCAATGCCTGAAGGTCCAGCGCCTATAATGACGATGGGATAGTAAGAATCAGGCGGCCTTCGATAATGATCCGGAGTAGTACTTTGTATTGATGACGCCATGCCCGTGGTTTGTAACGGTTCGAATAGACAAAGACGAAGTTAAAATCTCTTTTCTTGTGCTAATGAGAGATTCTTCATCTCAAAAGCTATTATTTTCATCTCTAGGGTTCAAGCCAACCCCTCCAACCTTAGGAAATGGTGGCCATCACTAGAAAATAGGCTCCAAAATCGAGTCAGCAGTCTCCTCACCGAGGTTTCAGAATCATTACTATATCCCTGCGTATTATTGTAATCTTCTCGGTGTCAGATATCGATTTGAGGGTAACACCTATGCTGCCTGGAAGCAAGTTCTTTACAATCTACTCGGCGGGTATCATCTAAAAACAACTTTTTATTGGCGAACATGCCAAGCCCGATTTCCAACACTTGTCGAACTATCATTTGAAATATTCATTAGATGAGTCCAACACGTTCAAAAAATCCTCATCCTTACTTGAGCAAATCCTCGTATTAATTGTTTTGATATTCCTGATACAGGCCCTGCCTTGCTTTGTCTACTTACACAAATCCTGGAAATCAAATCGGATGGAATATCAAACCTTTCAATCTCGTTTGCTGCCTCACAAATCACAACATATAATGCGGCACAGAATAGCGGGGTAGCTTGCTCGCATGATAAGTGGCGTTATAAGGCTGCTAATTAGAGTATGTTACGACGATAGTACACGAGGTAAGGTCAATATATGGAATAACTGCTTCAACGCAACCTTCTCTCTTTTCATTTAAGCATACAAAAGTACAACTTTGATCAACCTACTTACGTGTATCTAAAATTTGAACTGCAAAAACAACATGGCCATACAAATCTTACTGTTAGCCTCGATTATCACTTACGGAGTTGTGCTACTCACTTATCGATTCTTTTTGCACCCACTCGCACATATTCCCGGACCTCCACTTGCCATTGCAACTTATCTATATGAGTGGTATTATGATTTGTATCTCAGCGGTCAATATACCTTTCAAATAAAAAAGCTACACAAGCAATATGGTATATGGCCACTACTATACTATCTACTGCTACATTACTGATATGCCTCAGGCCCTGTTATCAGGATTAATCCCAATGAAGTCCATATTGACGATCCCGATTTCTTTGAAGAGATGTTCAGCCAGTCAAATGGCCGAGCACAGAAACCCCTAAACGTTGCCGAGGCATTTGGTCCATATCCCGCGGTATACCATCAACCTCTATACAAGTGAATTATGGCTCTGATCCTCAAAAGACTATAGGAACGCAAGATCATGATCACCATCGCATAAGACGAGCAGCTCTCAACCCATTCTTCTCCAAGAAATCAATCAATGACCTAGTTGCCAGAATTCAACGTCCTATTCTCATACTTTGCGATCGACTTGAGAAAGCAACTAAAACTGGAGAGATACTTAATATGAAGTATTTCTATGCTGCTGTGACGCTTGATATTATCAATGACTACTGCTTTTCGAGAGAACCCGACAATGTCTTAAGACCAGACTTTGGGCGCAAATCGTTTGATGACGTTGATACGTTTTTGAATATTAGTCTATTGGTATGTGAATTAGTAATGAATTGACGCAGATTCTGACAAGAAAGAACATTCATATACCTTACTTGATGCGATTTAGTTATTCAATTCCGGTATCTCTGTCCCCGACCATTGTTTATATCGAGAGTACTCACGCCTCTAGGATAACATCAACAAAATTTTGGCTCCTGCAATGGCAGACATCCTTGATTTCCGCAAGGTGAATAATGAAGCTTTGTTCAAGTCCGTGTTATTTAACATTGTACAGGATCTCTCTAGACAGGTGGAAACCATTCGAGATGAACACAGAAAATATCAAATAGAAAAAGTCGTTGATAGAACTGTCTTTCATGAGCTTCTGGAAAGCAAGTTGCCACCAAAAGAGCTGGAGCGAGACAGACTACGTGATGAAGCTTTCAGTTTGGTCACAGCGGGCTCCGGTACAACGTGAGTAAACTACATAGTGCGCTCCGCAAACGATTTATTATTAAACATCCTTAGAGCATATGTCCTTAGAGGCACCTCATACCACATCTCGGCTAATCCTAGGATCTCCGAACTCCTTCACGAGGAGCTCAAATCAGCCATTCCTGATCCATTAAAACCACTCTCGTTACCAGAGCTAGAAAAACTTCCGTACTTGACAGCTGTCATCCAGGAGGGCCTACGCCTTGCTGATCCAGTTACCCATCGTATTGGCAGACAATATCCAGAAAAAAGCTTCCAATGCAACGGTAAAACAATTCCAGCCGGAACAATAATGAACATGACAGCCTTACTCACCCATCAGAATGAAAAAATCTTCCCTGAACCCGAGGTCTTCAAACCAGAGAGATGGCTAGAAACGGAGAACAAACGACTTGAGCACTACCTTGTCACCTTTAATCGCGGGACTAGGTCTTGCCTAGGTATCAACCTTGCTCGTGCAGAGCTCTATTTGATCTTAGCATCTGTCTACAGACAATTTGACTTCGATGTCTCACAAGTTATTCGAGCGCGGGATATAGACGTTAGCCGAGACTACATTTTAGGCGCCCAGGCGAGAGATACCCCTGGTATTTTGGTTAAAGTGAGAAAAGTAGATTGATGCGTGGATAATCTATGGCCTTCCTTAATCTAGCGGAAACATCACAATAAAACCATATAACATGCATATGCATATTGAATGGCGAACAATTCCGTGAGAAAGCCCAAATGACATTGATCAATAAATTAATCTCCTATGCTCCTAGGTTAAGCTTATTTTCTCCATGCTTTTGTTGCTTACTAGAGCATCCCGTTCACTCACCGGTGATAGTCATACATGATTTGATACGGACATTTTATACCGGCTGACACAGAAGCTTGCCAGCTGACGCTAGGCACATTAGGAGTGGCTGAGATTTCCAGAAATTCAACAAATAGGAATGATTAGTCGGCCTAACGCAGCAATCTTGGTAGAGTGATAATGCGGAGTCCCTGTGATTATGCAAAAAAGGCATACTATTAATTAGCGCATTCGCAATCATACCGACAATCCTGGCATAGGAAGGTTTGGGATGCATTATCTACTTGGTAGCAACTAAGCAGCCTCATCATTACGGTATTCTCTCCTATTTGATGATTCGAAGATGGGCACACTACACACCGTCAGCCATCACGCGAAACGATGACAACTCTTCTGAGATATGCTACGAGTATTAGCGCAATATAATCTTGAGCTCGTACCGATCTGCTGTACGACATCTATCTTAACACAAAACTCCGAAGTGCCCCGTGGCGCATCAACTCTCCGAAGTCCGAATACTGGTGAGACACTGATTGTCTGGACAAATAGAAGAGATCTCTATCTACCGTCACTAATATAGATATGCCGTCGGAGAATTTTACTAAATGGGCGTTTACATGCCTAAGATGTTACAAGCGAACAAATAAAATTTTAGTTTTAACTAAATTCCGCCACAAGGAATTCAACTATAGCGTATTTGAGAATCTATAGGATGCTAGACGAACCATTTTCGGTAATGTCAAAGTTCTCCGCCAAAGAAAGATCGAATTCCTACTTATAATAAAGTCTCACCAATTAGAATCCTTCAAATACATATCAAACAATTAATATTTAAAAATCGACAAATTAAATTTAAGCCATCAAATAATTTTGTTGCCGTGTAGAGCTATAGCTAGGGGTCCTTTGAAGAAATGTAACCATGACAGCATACTCTAGGATCAGGCCCTTCTCTGAATTTCTTACTTGGCATGAGAAATGAGAAAATTTTCACAGGGCTGATAGCTCCTTGATATATTTAGTATTGACTACAATGGTGTTCCTATGGGTGCCACTGAACTCCAAGGATGTTCTGAATCTCTACATACGCACCTTTTGATTCTACGACGACTTTCTGATTGAGGACGAGGCACAATTAATACAGCCTTGATATTCGACGTCGCCTCCCGTGCTACCTTGCCGCCAAACGGGGATATTTTCCCAGTCTGATACAAGATGGATAAATTAAGCTTACATATACTGTAAGTGTCTCCTCACCTGGTGCATTTCTCTTGCACTAGCTTACCGGAACGCTTTCTTACATTTCAACTTACGATTGCGATCCTTTGGGCTCTGCATTCTATTTTGTCAATACAGCATGGCGGCTTCTGCTGTCCCCAATCCCTACAAGCTCGGACTTAATCAAGTGGGATATGCGACTTTGGTTGTCAGCATTCTTTTCATACTGGTATCTACGATCGCGGCTGTACTCCGTATCTGGACGAGGATAGTCAAGAGCGCTAAGTTTGGTATTGATGACTGGCTTCTCTTCGTCAGTGTCTTTCTTTTCTATGCGTTTTGTGCCAATATTCTGGTCGGTGTTTATACCCTCGGTGGCGGACAGGTATACACCGACCTCGTCGTACTATCCCGGAAGTCGCAACAGTATCTGAAGAGCGAGTATGCTATCCCTCCAATTTATGCCACCAATGTGACCACCGTCAAGCTTTCGATTCTATTCTTCTATCGTCGCATTTTCGAGACCCCATGCTTTCTCAGAAACAACACTATTGTCATGGTAGTATGTTGTATTTGGTATGTGGCGAACCTCATCGGGGATTTACTTTACTGCATCCCCATGGCTACATTCTGGAATCCAGCAGTTAAAGGGTCATGTTTCAATTTCTCCTTATACTTTTTGATCATGGAGCTTTTTGATATGTTATTAGATATCGCTATCCTCTGTCTTCCCACAAAAATGATTCTTGGTCTTCACCTGCCGTTGAAAAATAGGATTGGGATACTTGGTATCTTCCTCTTGGGAGCATTGTAAGTACTCCGTATACTAGCATCAGTGGCAAATCACTAATAAATTTAGGGTTGTTATTACTAGCGCTATACGGATTGGATATCTATACAACCCAAGCGAGGTAGTGTGTAAGTTTCTGCCCATCTTGATGACCAACTTTCGAGCTAAAAAGCATCTAGTGTCACTTGCACGAGCATCTTTATGGTCCGTTATCAATTTAGGTGTAGCAATCCTCTGTGCTTGCCTACCAACGTACAAACCTCTCTTCAGCAGATTCTACACCATAAGCTCTTCGCTCTGGAGTAGTTCGCTCTGGAGTAGACATAACAGAAGCAGAAACACAGATGAGAGTGCAAACAAGACTGCCGGTGATGCGAATTCTCATCCTGCAGCTTACTATTACAGAATGGGGGATAGTAATGAGGATAGCACTGGGGATACGGTATATCACACTGGTGTTTCAACACAGATACGAAGTATTAGTGAGGGTCAGGTTATACCTATGGATGGTGTATTGGTTCAGCGGGATGTTGATATGAATCGTTCTAGTGCTGTTACTGGTGGAAACGAGATATCAAAAGTTTAATTGTTGGAGGTTGTGTAGCGCTTGAATTTGTCGTTTGACTCGTCATGGAAAGGCTCGCGTGGTTTGATTATGGAATTGTTGGAAAATATGAGTAATTATGTTTTGTGTGTACATGTTTTTTACCGCAAAAATAGGAACTGACTTTCTTATAAAGTCTATAAAAAGAGTAAAGATGTGGTATTGTGTTGATGTTTTGTCATGTTTCACTTGGTATGCGTGTTCTCATGTAACTTGCTACTGCTGTGCCCCCTCATGAACGATGCGCCAATACCCTGTACACCTCGGTAGATGAGCTTGTAATTACTTAATAAGGCTGCTTAGACTGCATGTTTTGTTTATCCTGTGGCGTGTTCTCCGCTGGCTATTCACTCCAACAATTGCTGGACTTTATTTTTATGAAGGTAGAGAATTACTTGAGATCCAAAATCAGGAACAAATAAATCATATTATTTTAATCCTATATTTTGATTTCAACTGGATTTACCCGAAGCTTTTACCGAACATAGAATCATCTTCTGAGTATAATTCACTTGTTGTGGGCTAGTAAGCAAGTAGGTATTTAACTGCAAGTTTCCTGCCGCTTTTCTGAATGCCTTGACTATTAGCAATACAACATTCAAATCATCAAGTATTTTTCTCCTTCTCCACGGTCAATGTCCAAATAATATCGATCAACGGTAAACCATAACTAATCTTCTTACAGGGCCATTGTCAATACGAACCTACATATCACGCACGACATAATCCTATTCGTAGCACCCCATTCGTAGCATCACAACTCCCCAAGAAGCCCCAACAACATGGACTTCCAAAATATCAAGCACTTAACAGCTGCAACAAAACAAATGCGAGAAAAATATTGGAACGATGCAATCAGCACTTCCATCTCGGTCCAGCAAGCAGCTACTACACAGGATCTTCCCGTGAAAGGTCCAGTGTGGGTTAGCAAATTCACCATCCCGTCTCCTGTCCAGGATGACAACTCGCGAGATTTACTGCTGGGTTTGATCGATGAGCATAATTCCCATAATGTTCATTATGATCGTCCGAATTCAGAACCGCTTTCTTGTCAATGGACGGGTTACCGTGAGGGTGTTGACGCTAATGCGCCTGAACCCAAAATCTCAGAAAGTGAGAAATTTAGGCACTTAGTCCAGGGGACCACGAGCCCACTAACCATCTTTTATATCTATGGTGGTTCATTCGTGTTAGTATTTCCATTTCTTACTAAATTATCTATTTCACCATTTACTCACACACATAAACCCCAGACTCAACAGTCCATCCAGCTACCGAAAACGCATGGGAAATCTAGCTCGCGCAACAGGAAGCAAAATCCTAATGGTGAAACAGCGTCTAGCACCGCAGAATCCCTTCCCAGCAGCTTTCCTCGATATATTCCAAACATATCTTTCTCTCCTCGCTCCTCCCCCAAACTCACCACATGAAGCTATCCCTGCCAAAAATATCGTGATAGCAGGGGATAGTTCCGGATCCTGTCTCGCATTAGGCTTACTGCAAGTACTCCTGCAACTCAAACGCAAAAATACAGTGATAAAATTCCATGGAAATATAATTAAACCATCCGAATTCATCCCAGCTGGCCTCGCCCTCTTGAGCGTAATAACAGAATTAACAAATGCGCTCCCCTCATACCAGCGTAATATAAAACATGATATATTCCCCTCCCCTATCGAAAAACTTCCATACCTAGAAAAAAGATTCCCTACATGTTCCATCTGGCCCGCCAAACCCGCAAGAGCAAATCTATACTGCGAGGCAGGAATTCTCGCTCACCCGCTAGCGAGCCCAGTCGCCTCATTAGATTGGTCGGGTTCCTGTCCCCTCTGGTTCGCATCCGGACAGGAGCAAATCGTAGATGGAGCGAGATTGGTGGCTCAAACGGCCTTTTCTCAGGGTGTTCCTGTTGTGCTTCAGGAGTATGAGGGTATGCCTCATACGTTCTTTTGGATGTTTGGGAAAGCACCGCAGACGAGGAAGATTTTGGATGAGTGGGCTGAAACTATTGTTGCTTTGGGAGAGGGTAAGGAATTGGTTTGTAAAGCGGAGTTTATCTATGCTAAGGGTTTGACGTCGGAGGAATTGGATTTGGAAAATTTGGTGCCGTTTGGTGTGGAGGAGGTGAGGGAAATTCTATGGAGAAAGACGTTGGATTATAAAGTTCCACCGTTTCATAAACAACAACGGTCATCTTTGTAATGCATGTTCGTTTTTCTTATGGACAAGATTAGTAGTCTCAACTGAGAGGTATTATTGTTAAGAATTTCGGGGTTGAGTTTCGGGATGTTCATCGAGATTAAGAAAATGTATGATTTGTTCTACTTTCTTACGGCAGAACCTTGTAGGGAGTGGTATATATCAAATCATTTCATTAATTTCCCCAACGCAAATAAAACAGATCTTCAAGTCTTCTAGTAGAATCTGGAACACACCGAGTACATCCATCTGATCATCCTAAGCTAACATTAACCATTATCCAACATCCATAGACTCCCACCATAAACAACCTATTATGGAGCACAAGTAGATGCATTGAATACACGAAAATTCCACCAACACAAAGTATTCCCCTTCCCTCCTTATTTCTCAACTAAAAGCAAACCTATCCAACAGATATACCTATATACTGACGAGCTATACTAGTACTATACCAGACTCCAACCGTAACACACCAAATCTATCTCTTAACATCACCAATAAAGATATGGATATTACCGCATCAGCTATACCGACCTTGACGGAACACATCTTCCCCTTACGTGACATGGGATGGATCAGTGTAAAATGTAATCTTCCAAGTAAGTTTTATCATATCCATTAACCTAAAGTGTCAAGTAAATTATAGATTACAGAGGGTGATGAGAAGATCTCCTCCCATACAGTATAATTATCAAACTAATTTATTTTGCATTGATTAGGTTATTCCTGTACTCTATTAACCCTTCAATACAATCAACCGACAGACAGAACAGACAGGCCAGAGCGGAGAAGAATCAAGTAAGCTAGCACGACTATGCAGAACCTATATATATTCATTCATTCATCCACTTCATATCAAGCTACCTCCTAGTACTATCCATCACAGCTACTACTTTCTTACTACACTCAATTACCACATATACTAGCTGCGTGCATGTGAAATAAATATCTTTCCCTATCATCCACCTCATACCATTGTCCCCGTGGCAAATAAAACAAAAACAAAAACAAAAACAAAATACTATTTAAGGTATAAAACCAGGTATAATCGAGAAACGGAAGAAGACAGTAAACCATTAATAGATAGATTATGAAACTAAACTGAGCCGGCTCACTAGCACAACGAATAGATACATAGCTTCTTGACTAAACTCATCACTAACAAGAGAAAAGATAAAACTTAAAAACAGACAGGCAAGTCAACAAGTTCAATGGAGCACCCATCTCATCAAATTCATTCCTTTTCCGGACTCCTAGCCATCGCTAACCTAATCCTAGCGCTAATCCAACAATGTCATCGAACCGATTTCCCGTCCATAAACTTTTTGTCTATTACCTCCCAACCAAATCAATGCTAATGCCAATAATGCTCGTGCCAATGCCAATGCCAACGCTAATGTCAATACCAATGCTAATGCTAATGTTAATCCCAACGCCCTTGAATTAATGCGTGTCCAACCAGACTGAATCCTTCCATGCCAATTCGTCAAACATGATTTGGTACATATGTAATGAACTTTCCTTCCCGCTCCATCAAAGGCTGTCATTATGACATGATATATTGCGTAGAATAGTGGAAAACCACGTTTTCCATGACTAGACCGTGAATGAAACTTTTGATCCGGCATCAAAAAAACTCATGTATGCAACAGTTTGACTCTTCCATCCTCGGCCGTGCTACCTAGCCCACCTAATTTCCTCTTTCTAGCCGAACCACCTCCTGGAGTCTCAATCTCGACTTCAGTATCTTCCTCTCCCTCCTTATCCTTTGAGCTCTTCTCTCTTTCTCTTTCCAACCATTTCTCCTTCAACACGTTATAAATCATCACATACTGCGCAACCTTATGTACCATCAGCATTCTTTGATCTCTCAGCCTCTTCACCGTCTCAAGCACGGGATCTTTGTCTTTAGATAATCCATCCAGATGCCCCATGTCCAATTCTCTCAAAAGGTGATCTAGAGCGATGAATGTACCAGTTCGACCAACACCTGCTGAACAGTGGACTACGCGGGGCGTGATCGAGTGATTGTTAGCTGCGCGGGAGACATCGAGAAGGGTAAGGAGCGAATGGATATCGGCGGGCGATTGAGGAATGTCATTATCCGGCCAGGATTCGAAGAGGAAATGATGAATCGTGCGTTCTTCAATTTGTGCTTCTTCCTCCTGTAACTCCTCAATTTTAATTTCCGTTTCTTTTTCTTCCTCCGAGTGCTCTTCCACCGTCTCAATCGTCCCAACTGTACCATTCCCGATACTAGCACCGCTTGCTGTACTCACACTACGTGCCGCTCTCCCTACTCTTCTCAATTTCAACGTCCTCCTAACGGTTCCTCCCTCTTCCTCTTTCCCTACACATCTAACCTCCCATTCTCCGATTCTCTTGACCTCTTCGACATCCTCTGCATAATAAACACCGCATTTCTCTTTCCCCTCTTCCACGGGTCTTGTCAACATAACCACCACCTCGACATTTTCTTGCCAACACATTTCCCAAAACAGACCACCATCATAACCATTATCCCTTGGTCCCTGTGTCGCTATGTAATTTTCCTGTTCCTCTCCACTTCCATTTGCAGTTCGAAGTGCAATGGGTGATGCGTTTATATAACCAAATTGTAGCGAATGAAGATTAATTCGATGATGTTCCCATGGATAGACATCGCTATATCTATTGCGCGATAGCACAACGGGATGATATAATAATGTATTTGGCATCGTCCTTAAAGTTTGTTCATGATTTCGAAGAGCTATGAATTTGCTCCCTAAGGCACTCGGCGACAAGTTGAGGAAATGTGGAGTGGTGTGTTTCTGTTTCTCTGATGTGAAATCCGTCTTGACTGTAAGGCTTGCAATCATGGGTGGAAGAAAAGATTGTCGCTTGGAGGGAGACGTTTTCGCAGATACGGTCGAGACGGACAGTGTTGGTTTATCAGAAGTGCTTGGTCTTCTCTCAAATATTGAACTCGATGTGTTATTCTGCAATTCCGTAGTTTGTGACTGCGAGATTTCGAGAGAAGGCAAGGGTCCACCACCGCCACCATTATCATTATTATCCATACTCGTGGGATCCTGAGGACGATGATGATGATGATGTCGGTGAAAGCGTACGGGTGAATGTTGGCGAATGCAAACCCGAATGCGCTGAGAAAGGGGAATTTTGTCTGTTGCAACTGCAGCTGTATGGTTTGAATGGTGTCGCAAGATACCCATAACAGAAAGGGTAGAGATAAAAGAAGGAAGGATTTCGTATGACGTAGATTAAAGAGGAGCGAATTTATATCCTATTTCTCGTTGGGTGACGACGGTTTCAAAGTCCGAGCGATCTGAGGGTTGGCGGAAGCTTAGAGGCTGATTTTGGATAGTGTAAGATGCAAGTAGGGCGTAGGTGCAGTGGTGCAGCAAGTGAAAGAGGATTAAAGTTAAAGTACAATGCGGGAAGTAGCAATATCTGCAAGTAAGAAAGGAAGAATGAAAAGAAGAGAGAGAAATACAAGAATATATTAATCTTAGTTTGGACTGAAAATTATAAAGAGAAGAGGAGAGAAAAAGAGAAAAGAGGGAGGGGACTCCTTTGATGTTTTTCCAAAGGATACCTACATACAAGGTACAGAGGAGTAGATCAGAGGTCATTCATAGCTAGGTCATAGGTGCTATGTAAGTACTAGGTGGGTAGGAAGAATCAAATTATAAATATGAAACTTATCTCATTCTAACTTCACTTCACTCCAAATTACAGATTTCGGTGTTTAGAGTGAAGATTAACAATAAAGGAATAAGACCGGTCATCATCAAATAGAGTCAAGGTTATGGTAGTAGAAAGATAGTTTAAATATAAAAAACAGGTGTTGGGTAAACTAGTATGTAATCATGTAAATCTATATTTCAATCAAGGCTAAAGATTTCATTGCAAGGAATAAGAAATTATCAGATTGTACCTAGGGTTAGCTCTAGCTCTCCCAACTACGTATATCTTCATCTTGATTAATAATAACTTTATCATCTTCTAGATTGTTTCGGATTCTTCCATTGATTGATCAGTTGATGATTATTTGAGTACCCAATAGACAAGCATTCGAAACCATCAATAATAAGGCTGACTGCAATCTAAACATCCTGAAGATCTACCTAATAGATAACTTTATGGGACCCCTATTGAATTCTAATTAATTCTATTTCAAGCAATAACCGATCGAACTCAACATTACAGACCACAACACCATAGACATAGTCAGTCATCCTCTCTACCAAAAAGTCTAGCTAGAATAACTGCCTAGTTAGCATATATATTAATTCAAAATGATATGAGCATCTCCTCTACATCTTTTCCCCCTCAAACTGCAAACTTCTAGGCTTGATTAGCTCCCTGCTATTTCATCGAGACGACCTCCTTGATCCAATTCAATTCAATCCCCCCTGCAAAAAATTTCATCTTCAGACCCATCCTCGGAGATCAGCCTTACATCCACTTTATTTCATATCTGGTGTTCGATAATCCATTATTAATCCTGTTCACGTTCCTCCCTAGGAACTTGACTTAATCTACGAAATGTCGTTCTGGACGATATCCAATGTTTTGCTAACCTCAGCTAGAACTAAGCGATATATACTCCGTAACGATATGTGTATGTATATACTGTAGTAACTAACTGTACTTGCTTCGAACTTGGGTAAATGTTATTTCAAAAATTAAAGTACATTATTAAAAATATTCGGATTCAAACACCTGGTTGTCAACTGATGAGAGGGGCACGTGTTCTTAAGGTAGAGTGGCAAAGTTACCTCTCATCCAATTTTTACTATTATATTCGAGGTCTCCAAATTACAATTTTGTATTAATACCTACGAGTGGCGATTAAAACCCAGTCATTGATGCGTATCGTCAAAGACCTTTTGGAGTACAAAATTATCCGAGTGACTAAATCACATATAAACATTGATGTAATTGTAATCTTAACATCATCAAAAGTATTGGAAAAAATGGTGACAAGCTCAACCTCAATAGACGAGTAAATCGAGGGACACTCAGAATAATGCTCCAGTCAAGTCGGATCGTGTAAATTGTTTTTATTCTTTATTCTTATAGAACCAGCTGTTACCTGCTGTAGGACTTGCTTCTATTCCTGTGCTACGCGCCTAGGTATTATACCTCATGTCCAGAACGGATTTGGTTGATGACTACATCACCTTTACAATCCTTAACCCAATCCCATCAAACCCATCGAAGCTAATCCAGACTCCATGCTATGCATACAAAGTGCCAAGTACATCGTTTCGTTTTCGGCACCGCCATCAAACCATACCACATCATCCATTTGTTCCCTCCTCTTAAAAGGTTCCACCTAATGCTCAGCTTACACCATAACCAAACCTCCCATACCGCTCTCTCTGACTCCTTCACCACCATCCCTCTCAGGATTATTTTTCCTCGCACCCAAATATGGTTGAGGGATCAATATAGCTTTAGTCGGGCTATATTCCTCTTCCTCTCTCTGCTCAGTGTCCTCTTCCCCATCTGAAAGTTCGGAAACGGTTTCTCGGTCATCAGGATTTTCGTGATTCGCGAACTGTGTATCCACTTCTGATAAATGAGATGACGATAAAGACTTTGATAAACCAAAATCCACGTCGTTAGTTTCCGGAAGAGGTGTATTAAGTGCCAGATTCGAGGGCGTCTCATGAGATGAAGGAAAAGCGACTCCATTTCGGGACCCGCATGTGGATGTTTCGGTAACCACATTTTCTGTTGGTGTATCAATAATCGGTTGTGTGGGTGATAGATGAACAGCTGACTCGATCTGGTCGTAAAAGAGCATGAACACTCCTCCTTGCGCCAGAACGTTCTCTTCACTAATTTTCATTACATGATCATCACTTAATCGCCACCATTGATCCTTTTTGTTGCCATCTTCATCCATCCTGATACCTGAAATTGGATGTTTTCGGTAGCATATATAATGTCCATTTTCATGTCTCCCAGAGTGTGTAATAACTGCCCGTAATTCGTACAATGGTCCTTGTATCCGAGATTTTTGTTGTAGCCCTGCAACCATGGAAGCATAAGGTGCTAGGAGCCATTCCTCACTGTCATCTTCACTATTCCCTCTAGCACTACCTAGGCAATATGGGCCAAGATCGAGATATTTAGGAAACCGAATGGCGGCTGTCTTCTTACTTAACTCCCCGTCAGGTCCATAAGTACTTCGATTGAGATGGAGTGCTAAAGATTTTGGAGGTCGAGCGATTATATCTTGTTTTGATTTGGTAACTGTGACCCAGTTTTCTGTCGGTATCTTGCACTTATCTTTGAGAGTCTTTTCCGAAAAGTCGTCGTTCTCTAATGCTTCAGTGACGGCTCTCAATCGTTCAGATGTGTTCAATCGAAGTCGACTATCATCTGGCTCAGACCCTAATCGCTCCATCAATGTAGAAAGTAGATGCTCACTCTTTCGCAAAGTGCATCTTTCACAATATACGCCATGAACAAATTCTAGTTTGGTACCTTCGTGAAGTAGCTGGGAAAGGTCATATTCCCAACCTTCTCCGACAATCAAAGGCTGGCAAAGGGAGGGCGTTGCTTTCAAACCTTCTGAGTAGCCGCATTTCGTGCACACGACTCTTGTAGCAGTCAATCCAGTCAATGGGTTCGGAGATAAAGCCTGAGCGTGTGATAGATTTTTGCCTGCGTCTTCCGAGATATTTGCCTGCTCCAAGCCCAACACTCCGCCCAACTTTACCGTTGCGCCATACTCTTTGTCTATTGCACCAAGGAGACCGGAAAAGTATTCTTGCGCATCTTGTTGCTGCCAGCTGCTCATATTCTTCAGTGTTGCTGGTGTCCAAATTCGCCTTCCATTATTCGACTGGTTCTTCAGAGTAGTAATCAATTCCTTCAAAGCATTGGCCATTTTAATATCATGCTTCGAACCATCCTGTCGTAGCGCATCATTGATTCGAAAACTCTCGAGGAAACCTGGCAGTGTGTCTAATGATGCCAGTCCCTGTAAGATGCTGTTTTGGTAGCAGGAATTATCCCAATTTCCCAACCCCGGAGGCGTTTCATCGTCTCCCCCAACTCCCAAGCCGATGAGTGGAATAGAAGAGAGTCTTCTTCTGCCGGCACTCGCGACGGAATCTATAATGCCACCCGGAGTGTCTAGACCAAATAATCGGCGCATCAACTCACTCTTCTGCGCATGTGTTCGTGGATATTCCATTGTATTCGGGTTTCGTATTGGTAAAGGGTTCGAGTAAATTTCAGCGAAATCGAGCAGTGAAGAAGGCGTTATGTATACCAATGCATTCCAGGCTAATTGTGAGAGAGGCAAGAGGTCATAGTCGAGGCTAATGAGAATTTGATAGACCACTGCGATAAAAATAGCTAGTAAAGTTAAGATGACTCCTACTCCAATGGGTTCTTTTTGATATATTCCTTCGGTGTAGTCTTGATGATAATCGTCTACAGTAAAGTGGTCTCTGTCGAAGAGATCATGTATTCGTCCGTGTTGAGGATTCATCCTTGGCTCCGGATGTATGAATGAAGATGGATAGGATAGAATGTTTGAGGACCGTTAAGAGACTGAAGGCGAAGAATGAGAATACAACGAGGGAGGCTTTAATCACATTAAGGCGGCCGTGAACGATTGTGAAGCATTATTCTTTTTAAATGTATGGAGCAAATGTTTGTTTGATATCTATTTAAAGATGTAAAAAGTTTGTAAAGACTTCGAGGAGTTGCCCAGGTGCTATCGTAACAATTAGAAGCCTGTTAGGTTCCAGGGCACTTACTAATGGGAGTGTGCCTTTGCGAATGTAGTTTAGTGTTATGTTCACTAACATTATAGTGGATTTCAATGTTCGTTAGGTCCTGAGTTATCGCTCCGTACCCCACAACAAGATAAATCTTATCTGCAGAATCGAAGATTTTTTTTAAAAATACAAAACAAGACATAATTGAAATATTCTTATTTCTCTTCATTAACCATGGGTAAAACTGCACCTCTGAAGAACAAGGGCTGTAAGTGAACTCGGAATTTATTTCATCGTTCCTACGAGAACTAACAAAAGCACCAGCTACTTCTGTGCGTTCCCGCGCAGCAAAGCGTGCATCTTCTCCAAGTATCGACACCGATAAGTCACTCAAAAATGTCAAGGCTCCAACAGAGACAGTATACCACCCACAAGCTCTATCTCCGCATCAAGGCGCAGGTGTGTCTAAGAAGAAGAGTGGAAGAAAATCGCAGTTGAGCTCAAAGGCAAAAAGGCGACAAGACAAGGGATTGGATCGAGCGGAAGCTGTCATGGATAGGACATCCACGAAAATCGAGAAGAGCAAGTACAGAGGAAGGAATGTTCAAGAGAGAGCCAAAGCCTGGGAAACACTGAATAAAAAGGCACAAGAAGCTGTTCAAGCAGCGATGGAGAAGGAGAAGGAGAACGAGGACGAGGTTTCTGAGGAGGATGTTGAGGATGATCATTCTCAAGGAGAGGTTGAGATGGATGATGTTGCAGCTGCTCCAATTGCTCCAACTGCTACAGATGCGGTTCAACCAACTCCTTTGACTGCGCCGTTAGAGGATGAAGAGGAGATTCTATGAATTTAAAAGGGGGATTCTTGCATTTGCATGGCGAATTGGCGTAAGAAAGGAAGGGAAGGGAAGGGAAAAGGATTTGCATTCAAAATGAAGACTCTGATACCACTAAATCATGACTGGTTTGGTTTCATATGAACGGAATTTTTAAGTTTTCAGTGAGTACTAAAAGGGATATTTTAGTAGGATGATATATAACAGGTTCTCAGCGTGGACGCATGAAGGAAAAGTAAGGTAGACACAATTTATGTGGTTTATGGATGTAATCTTAGCTCTGTAGAGATGAGCATGCAATTCAATTCAATACAATTCAGGACCAGATTTTATTCGTCGAATTCTAGATTGACTTGATTGTGAGTCTTAGTTCACCAAGGATACTTGGATTCCTCAAAGGATAGTACGTAGACTATCTATACCTAGGTATATTCAAGTTGTGTTGTTTCCTCAAGTTTCTACAACATTTACCAGTGATTCTAATCTTACTTTTGACCGGAATTGATATCGATAACTATTTTGGAGCAAGCGAGCCTTTGATGGTGATGCAGTACCAGAACCAACCGCTGCGATTGGCGATCATTTAGGCTCGGAGGGTTATCTTAGCGTACAATTAAGTCTTCCATTCCCGAATGAAATATTTCACGGGCAAATGCAGCCTAACACTTCAATCGCGATCTTTCAGCCTCGTCGAGCACCGAATTTCATCTCCAAGGAATAATAATTACAATACAATAAATATAATTGACTCTATCAACATATTCCATTATTACCAATCATATATACCAACCTCAAAATGTCTGGCAAACGTATGACAGCAAATCCAATTAAACCATCACGATACCGACCTGGCAAGGCGCATCTTGAAGAAGATGATTCCTCTGATTCTGGGAGTGATGTAGAAGAAACATCTACCGTTGCTCCACCCCCAAAAGCTTCTACCGCAATTGGAATTTCCAGCAGTTCGAATAAAGTTGACTTGAACGAAAGGAGGAAAGCTGCGGCTTTCAAAGAAAATGCGCGAATACAGGAAGAAAAGGCTTTAAAAGCTGCAGAAGAAGAGGGTTTTGTGACGGAGGAAGAAAGTGAAGAAGAGGAAGGTAGCGAAGAGGGTAGTGACGAGGATAGTGACGAGGAAGAGAGTAGTGAAGAGGAGGCACCGAGAAAGGTTATGATGAGGCCGATATTTATCAAGAAAGATAAAAGAAACAATCTTCCTGGGGCTTCTAAAGTTGAGACCAAAACGGAAGATGAATTAGCTGAGGCGGAGGAAGCACGGAGGAAGAAGTTGGCAGATGAAATAGTCGAGGAACAAATCAGGAAGGACATTGCTGCGAGGGAAGCAGGCAAAAAGAATTGGGATGATGAAGAAGAGGAGGATGAAGTGGATGATACAGACGATATAGATCCCGAGGCAGAGCTTGCAGCATGGAAATTGAGAGAGCTCAAGAGGATCAAGAGGGACAGAGAAGCGATTGAGGAGAAAGAAAAGGAATTGGAGGAAGTCGAGAGAAGAAAAAATCTGACGGAGGAAGAAAGGAAGAGAGAGGATGATGAGTATATCGCGAAGCAGAAAGAGGAGAGAGAAGGGAGGGGAAAGATGGCAACAATGCAAAAGTATTACCACAAAGGAGCCTTCTATTCGGACGCATTGGCCGCAGAAGGCTTAGACAAAAGAGATATCATGGGTTCCAGGTATGCGGATGATGTGCAGAATCGAGAATTGCTCCCAAAAGCATTACAGATGAGGGACATGACGAAATTGGGCAAGAAAGGAGCCACAAAGTACAGAGATTTGAAATCGGAAGATACGGGGAGATGGGGGAACTTTGACGATAGGGGCCCGAAGAGGGGAGGAATGGGAATGGGTGGACCTACAGAGGATGAAAGATTCATGCCGGATAAAGACAGAGGGGGTGCGAGTGGTGCTAATAATGTCCCCGTTGGTGACGAGAGTCGTCGAAAGCGTCAAAGATTTGATTAGATAGATATAATGTGAATAATGTATCTTCATTTCATCATTTGCAAGCGGGTTGCTTTGTTGAACATTGACTTGCATAAGGATATTAGAGAACATCAATCACTCAGTCGATCTTTTTGATGACTTTACCCTTCCCCTCGGATCTTCAGAATGTTCCATTGCAGTTGACTTGGATATGCAATCACTAGAAACGCTGCGGAGATATGTCCTTTGATGTAAGATTCACATATAAGAAGGAAGCTGAATTTCCTACTTCTGAATTATAATATCTTAACGTCTTCCTTGGCCAAGTAAGACTTACAATTCGTGTCGATGAACCTCTTCTCATCCTCAAAAATTCCAACACTAATGAGGTATATCGCAGTTTTGTGGCCATCAGCATGAGATCAACCTTACTTTGTCAACTTATTCAGATGTATCTACCATCTACTACAGCTACAGCTACTACTTTCTCAAAGCTGGCCACAAACTCGCACAATCGTATTGAGGACTAACACAACTAAACATACATCTTGAATGTCGTCTCTGCCGGCGTCCGGGGGAATCTACAGGCCGAGTGTCCAAACAGTCACGGGAGTTGACCTCCATACTCCACAAATAAGCATCATGCACCTATTCTTCAGTAATAGCTTCAACGACTGCGGAGATTTTCCATTGGTGGGAATTCATTGTTTTTCAAAAAGATTATTACAGCTAGTGCTGAATTACCAAGGACACGCAGATCTCACCTGTCATGACTCCTAAGACGCATTCTCTTCCTAATATTCGCTTGCAGTTATATATATGTTATATGTTCGTATACTCCATCTAGGGATGGACCCTTTATGTAAAGCAGAATTAGATTACATTAAAGTATAATATAACGCTTTTTACTGGATTATGCATTATAATTACGCATGTAATTGTAAATTATTCTGATTAATTGATAAATGCTTATTAATCATCGAAAATGATTTTATTCAAAAATAAAAACGACAACAAGAATCACAAGATCAATTAATCTCAAAATAACTTCAATTTACCCCACTATTTAGTCGATATATAATGCGAATTAGATTATTATATAAAACTAAAATTTTGCTTTACATTATAAATCATATAACGCTAAATGCCCAGCCCTGACTACATCTCACCAATATAAACTTCACCATATTCCCCCCCGCAAAGACTCGGATCTTTAAAAACTCCCCTGCTCAACAACCCCAGACTTGCTGTATTAACTTAAAACTTCGAATTTAGCCTATGCACGTCACAAGTCACATGCGTAAGAAACTCAAGGACTGATCGTCAATACTCTGATGCGCATCAATCAAAAGTGTCCTTTAATGAAAACTCAATCCCGCAAGCCTGCAAAGTGCGGGGAGAGCACCGTCAGCATTCGAGCGCTTAGGATATAGTTTCATTCTACATATTGAACTCGCTACTACAAAGTAGGGTTGGACATTTAGCGTTATATAATTTATAATATAAAGCAAAATTTTGGCTTTATATAATAATCTAATTCGCAATATAAAATAATTAAATAATATGTTAAAGTGAATGGTTCCTGCGTAGCACGTGCACAGGGCACTAGTCCTGTTAGGACTAGATTGAGAAGCTCTCTTACAGAGAGCTTCGCACTTCCGTAGAACTTAGAAGAGAGATTAACCTACTAGACCAATATTACCTCAGTTCTGCCCTATCAGCTTCCCACTATTCCCTGTGTGAGGTCATTCCTTTTAACATAATAAAGTAAATTGTGTTGAAACTGAGTTGTTTGGAAGTAGTAGTAATATTAGATGTAGGTTAAACTAAGGATCTAAGTTACAGTAATGGTAGAATTGAAGATATTCCCAATTATGGTCCGTGCACCATAATGGTCATATGACCTCAATTCTAGGCCCATAATGACCTTAATTTCAACAAATTGAAACTATTTCAAGATCAATTGATTTTATAATTCTTACTATTGTTGTTTATTTTTGAATAAAACCATTTTATATAATTAATAAGTATTTATCGATTAGTTATAATAATGTACACTAGCAGGGATATTGTAGTCATATGCATAATTATAATATATAATTCAGTAAAAAGCGTGATATTATGTTTTATTGTAATCTAGTTCTGCTTTACGTAAAGAGCCCATCCCTACTACAAAGTTTTGGTTAAATGTCCATCTACTCGTGCGGCCGGAAAGTACAGAACTCCTTCCTATATGGGCCTGAATTTGCGGGGAAAAAACTCTAATTCGGCAATAAAATTCATTACTCTCATTCATTCCACTTTTATTTTAGGGACTTTCAGAAAATTCATGAGTAAAATGCTCGCTTAAACCCACATTTATGCAATCTAACTGAGTATAGATATATGAGGTATATACCCTTTCATTCAAAAAAGGTCCTGTTTAGGAAGGGGTTCTGTACTTTCCGGCCGCACGAGTATGCTTATTTGCTTGTGGATCGATGAGCCAAGAGGTTGGGAAGTACAATGTAGGGTATATATAGTCCAGGCACAATTCATGCTATGTGACTTTTCTCATCCATTGGGATGAGGTCGCATTCAGGTTCAATCTAAAGCTTCCCAATATGTTCTATTCAAGTCTTTCTGTGTTGACGGTACTTGCTGGCGTTGCCAGTGCCATCAACATCACTGCATCTGCTAGTGGTGGCAATGCCTCTTCTCCTTTGGCATATGGTCTCATGTTTGAGGACATCAGTCATTCTGGTGATGGTGGAATTTATGCCGAGTTGATTCAAAACCGAGCATTCCAGGGAAATCGGGAATTTGCATCTACTTTGAAACCGTGGTCAGCAATTGGAAGCTCAGTCTTAACCTTACAAAACACATCAATACCATTATCGTCCTCGCTACCAACATCCGTTAATGTGCGTGCCTCATCCAGTGGCACTTCTCACAGCAGCACTGGGAAATTAGGAATCTCCAATCCTGGATGGTGGGGAATAAGTGTTCAGCCTCAAAAATATACCGGAAGCTTCTGGGTTTTGGGTTCATATACTGGACATTTCACAGCAAGCTTGGTTGGCGCAGAATCAGGGACCGTTTTTGCAAGCATCGACATACCTTCAAAGTCTACCTCTAAAAAATGGACTGAATATTCATTCACTCTGAAACCTACTACTGCAGCTCCAGATGTCAACAACGTTTTCATCATCGAGTTCGATAGCGGCAATTCCCTCAACTTCAATCTCATCAGTCTCTTCCCACCAACGTACAATGACAGGCCAAATGGTAATCGACCAGAGCTTATGAAAGCTATGAAAGAACTCAACCCAAGTTTCTTCAGAATTCCAGGTGGAAATAACATGTAAATCTCCCATCGCACATTGATCAAAGTGGATAATATTAATGATTGGTGATAATAGTGAAGGAGATAGTTTCGGTTATCGTTGGGCATGGAATGAGACAATCGGCCCCCTAAAGGATCGCCCAGGAAGACCAGGTATGTGTTGACAATCTTCAACTTAGTTTAGTATTGAACAATTTGACTAACAATTCAATTTCACAGGAACTTGGGGATACCAAAAGTGAGCATAAGTCGCCCTCATAATAGTTCTTTCATTCATAGATGTATTCATGCTAACCTGTGGCGATCTAGTACTGACGGGCTTGGTTTGATTGAATACATGAATGCAAGTTTCCTTTTTCGCTCCATCATTAACAAGTACTTGAGCTAACCTCTAATAGTGGTGCACCGATCTCGATGTCGAGCCTGTCCTAGCAGTTTGGTCCGGGCTTTACTTAAATAACGGAGCGCCAGGTCCCATCGTTGTTCCAGAAGCAGATCTCCAACCTTATGTTGATGATGCTATGAACGAACTTGAGTTCCTCATGGGTGATACATCAACGAAATACGGAGCTCTTCGTGCCTCTCTTGGCTACCCCGAGCCCTGGAAAATCAACTATGTAGAAGTAGGAAACGAAGATAACCTAAGTGATGGAGCGTCGTCATATCATGCCTACCGCTGGCCCATGTTTTTCAACGCCATACACGCTAAATATCCAGATATTCTAGTCATCTCTTCTACTCAGGATCTTCTCTCAGTTGGCCCTCTACATACATCAGGCACGGACTTTCATCAATATCTCAGACCGGATGACTTTGCACTTCAATTTGAGCTCTTCGATAATTCAAATAGATCTTACCCCATCTTGTTAGGCGAATATGCAGTCATTCAACCGAATGCAAATGGAGCACCAGTAGACTGGAGTGCTGCCAAAATGGACTATGGTACCTGGATTGGAGCTGTTGGTGAAGCGATTTATCTTCTCGGTATGGAAAGAAACGGCGATATTGTACTTGGTGCATCATATGCCCCCGGTTTCCAAAATATAAACTCCTTCCAATGGACTGTAAGTTCTACTCCATCCCCCTCTTCGACTTTAACCCTACAAGAGTGACTGGTACTGACGACTCAAAAGCCCGATCTCATCACGTTCAGTGCCGACCCAGCAAAAACAGTCCTCAGTTGTTCTTGGCATCAACTCCAACTCCTATCGAACAACCGTTACAAAGCCACCGTCCCATTCACCGTCACAAACTCAGAGAATAGCAAGTCACCATTTGGTCCGGCTTTCTACGTCATCGGTGTGAATAATCCCGGCGAATACGTTTTCAAAGCCACAGTCTACAATACAACAGAGCCGGTTCCTTTCTCGATTGACTTTGAAGGTGTAGATGCTGGTGCGAAGGGTACACTTACCGTGTTGAATGCTCCAGATGGGAATAGTATGAATGTTTATGGAGGGGAAGATGTGGTCGTTAAGAAGGTTAGTAGTATTACCGCTGGGCCTGGAGGAAAGTTTGAGTTTGAGTTGAAGGAGTATGATATTGCGGTTTTTACTACCTAGAGATGAGGGGTTTAGAAATAGGTATTTAGAGTGGAGTTATACAAGAAAAGAGCGAATTCTATTACCCTACCAGCGCATAGCTCATCCATAAGATATTAGACATGAAGGTTACCTTCATACCTTTTTTAATCTATTATAGGCCACGTGCCTCTTCGTGTTATGTGTGTAATTAGCTCTTCAAGCAGTGCTTTTTGATGATAATTATAGATGAGCACTAGTCTGAAATCATTTCCAATCGTCTGGGTCATAGGAATAATGACCATTTTTGATGACACGTTCTGTAAGAGTAACGGAAAGTAAAGGGAGGTAGAACTAGATTCAGGGAGATTTCAGGGATATTTAACTTCGCCCAATGCAGACAATAAGTTCTAGTAGAGAAATGGAGTAATTCGAGGTTTCTTGCATTTCAAGGCCTGGGAAAGTACCTCAGAAATCTTGCTAGGGGCAGAGTATTTGCAAACTAAGACCCACGAATCTACAGAAATATTTGAATGGAACGTATATTCAAATGAGAAGTGTGATCGTGTTCTACGTTGTCGGAGACTGTATTCTTACTATACCGGCATCCGCTGTTGTATAACGGATCAATATCTGGAACCATCTATCTTGCGAGGGATTTTTTGTGACGGGAAAGATCCTATTGGCCCTTAACAGAGGAATGGAAACGCAAACAATATCAAGTTTCGCATTTTAGATATTCAGCATGGTGTTACGTCGGACTACACAACCACCATCACATGACCAAGCACGTGATCACAAGTGATCAGTAGTGATCATGAAGGATCACCAGTGATCACGAAAGTATGAAGGTCTATATAAACAGGATGGATTTCTTTTGTAAGAGCTTCGTGCTCAAGATCAATCATTTACAATAATCTACTATTAGTTACGAATTGTATACCATTATTGTTGTTATTTAAGTCCCTGCTTGATGCCTAGTTATAAACCACCTCGAGAGCCTAGAGCACTTCCACGTGATCTAGACGGCAAACCTCGTAACATATGGCACTCTTAGATATCAAATAACCTTGTGAATAACAGATTCTCATTACATTAAGATTAGTGGCTCGTGAATATCATATGAATTCCATTCCGCGAAAGAAAAATTCGAGTGAGATGAGGTGGAAAATGTTACTTCTTACGAAATCACAACCGCTTTGGTGACTGGTGAGCTTCACCAAAGTCTGTATCAGAAGTAGACAGTTTTCTCTTCAAAGGATTCATGGGGGGTTGCTGAATAGGTTGCTGACTCTTGGCCAGCTCAATGTCTATATGCCGAATGCGAGCGGAACATCTACTTTCGAGCTGAATGACTTGATAGCCTCTTTTAATGTTGGGGCTTTTCAGTAGTGAAAGGATATCTTCAGTAACCTCTTTGGCTTTACCGTGGTTCTGGATGTTTGCAAGAAAATTGGCGTATTCCATTTCGAGTCTCAAGAGTTCCTAAATGATGCGGTCCATATTTCTCAATGTATTCAGCGATAGCTAATTCAAAGATCTGTGCTGTAAGAGCAGAGTCAACTGACTGCTCTGTCATTATGAGAGCCTTGTGGCCTTTAAGCTCAGGAAATGGGCTCTGCTGAGGTTAAGATAAAGTTTCGTTGAGTAAAGGAAGCGCCTGCTGCCCCCGGAAACGACGCCTGAGGCATTCGACGACAATAAGACATAATTCTGGCGTCAAAAGATCAGTTGCCTGAATAACTGCGTCAACCAACTTCTTGAACATGCTGTCGATGAAGAATGAAGCTTTCTGCGCATATTTTGCAGTATTGAATAAAGCAACAAGTTCAGATTGTGTCTCAGTGTCTATAGGCTTGTTTGATCATATCCCCATTCGGCTTGGAGAGTAAGATTTTGCGAATTAGTTCAAATCCCAAAGCGAGAGCCTGAAGAGTTTAAAACCAGCTCAATGTGACAGTAAGAAAAGAGGAAATTGCGTTCGTTCAATCGTATCTTTTGTGCCTTGATCTCTTCAAATATCATTCTTGTGCATTTCAAGTCATGGTTCTGCGACCTTTTCCAAATCCTCTCCGAAACCTTATGCTTCAAAATAGCTGCACTTAGGTCGATGACTATGTATTCCCTTTCGATTTGTTTGCTGCCCTTTAGTATTCTAGGATCCACTAATATATTATTGGCTTTGATAACCCCATGGCATACGCCAGCATCATGCAATGCTCGTACGGTTTGAGACAGGTCCGATTCGAACTTGGTCACCCATTCATCCTCTCGGTCATCTTTAGAGATAGTATCGAAACCAACTCCATTGAATAGCTCAACTCCAAGCGCTCGTTTGTAAGGGTCGGGTGGGCTAATATGCTGGTGATAGTCGTAGTCACTCGGATAGAAACAGAAGGTTGATATTAAAGAATTGCTGAGTTCAAAATGGCCGAAGTATTGAGGCAGCTGAATATGTGGAAAAGTATCGCTCCGACGAAGATGCCTATAAGCGTCACATTCCCGTTTGAAATAAATCTTATCGCGATACTGGGACAGTATGTAATTAGTACATGGCACAATGTCAACAGTAGAGGGCATAGAAATACGATTTTTAACGCCAGAATGCTCTCATCTTCAAGTCTCGTAGCATAAACCTGGGCGTGTCCCCCAAACCCAACAATTTACCAACGGACGTGATTTCCTGCATGTTATTCTACTGAACATTCGTGGCAGTAAGCAGTGAGGATGGTTGAGTTTACCTGTATCCGTGGGACGGGATGATTATGGTATCGGTGTTAGAGGGAGAACGGCCTCGCAGTAGGTTTGTGAAGTTGGTTGTGTAAAAAGGAATGAGAGGAGTAGAACGAGCCTCGGTGGAATTAGATGCATAAGCATATAAGCATACTTCCGCAAACTGAAGGATGACTTGTAACAATCATGCTGGTTGAGAATACAGAATCCAGGATTTGAGTCCAACTTGAGAGAGTGATCAGTGGTATAGCAACGACGTTCGCAGATGAAATAGTTAATTAATTCTGCGCATTTCAAGAGTCGTAAGTTCAGTGAGAATAATTGTAAGAACCCCCAATTGAGGTTTGTTCTCTTAAAATCTCAACTCTCAACTCTGCCTCCTACCTTTGCCCTGATACTTGTGATAGAAATATCCGCTTCATCGATAATATCGTCTGAATAGTTAAGGTGAAATGTCAAGTCAAGTCAACAATTGCTTGGACTTGGAAGAATAGAGGGAAAATAAAGCGATCTTTATTTATACTGGCGTCAAAGTGTGTGCAGCAGATGATAGATGAAGCTATTCAACTTATAAGGAATTGAGGGATACATTCGATGATGCGATATAAATATAATAAAATAAGGCTGATGAAGTTTTCACTAAAGACGAGTCCTCTTTCGCAAGACACATCCGATGATGTAACACAGAAAGACGATAAAGCCAAAATGTAAGCTAAAGCTAGGAGGATTCAAAAACAAGTCTGCTATTGGTCGAACCACAATCTTATCTTGCAGAATCTGCAATGCAAATATGGAGACTCCGTGCTAACACAATAATCCGGGAAATCATTTTCTTTCACTCACTCACCCAATCACATATATCATTAACAAATCTTCCCATTCGGTCAATTTCAATTGAGACATTGACCAAGTGATATTTACCTACCTACTTCCTACCTACCTGTATTGCTTCTATTAATCACATATCGATCTCTCTTAAATTCTTGAATGCTCTACCTTCCTATTTATATTTCTTCAAAAATATCATCGATGCCATCAATCAACAATACAAAGATATAATTTTCAAACATCATGATATCATTATTGGGCTTATCGCAGGATTTGTCGGTACAAGAAGCCTTATCGGGCATCTTTGGAAGTATAAGTTTGGCGACTTGGATCTTTTTGTTGGTTCGTGATACCCTCGTATCCAGTCTTTGATCCCTTCATACCCAACCAAATTATGACGAGTTTGGTGGTATGGCTCATGAATGGCCTAGCCATATTGACGTGATCCGATCTCTTTAGGTGCCACAACTTATCCTGAACTATCGATCTCAGAGTGCCGATGGAGTATCATTGGCTTTCTTAACGGTGTGGTTTATTGGCGACATCACGAATCTTGCCGGTAAGCACAACATGAATTTTGAGGGAAGGGTCGCATAATCTTGGCAATCATATCATGGTACGACAGCCGCGGCCTGACTATCATGGTATCAATAATCATGTTCATGATGTTGATGGCTCTTCTGTCTACCAACCATCAAGATTTCATTCTTCGATGATCACGTGCTTATACTGATTCATCTTCAGGTGCAATTTGGGCCGATCTTGTCCCTACAGTTGTTGTCCTAGCCATCTACTTCTGTATTGCCGACTTCGTACTCATTGGACAATGTCTTTACTACAACAAAAAGAACGCTCAGAAACACCGAGAAACAGAATCCACTGCACCAACAGAGGAAGACCCTCTTCTTACCCGTCGACGAAGTAACAGCAGTATTGGACTTCCAGGATCTCACAGAAGACGTTCTTCAGCAATAAGCGGAAATCAACACCATGAAGATACCTTGACCAAAATCTTGGAAGAAGAAGATTCGTCAGATGGAAATGCTTGGGTGAGGAATGTTGTTAGCGTTTTACTGGTTATTGCTGCCGGAACAGCTGGGTGGGCTATTGCTTGGAGAAGTGGTGTTTGGATTCCCACCCCGGAGAATGGTGGTGATGTCCCCAAGACGAATGATGTTGCTGTTGGAGCAGAAGTACTAGGATATTTCAGTGCGATCTGTTATCTTGGGTGAGTTATTTTATACGAGAAAGTGTGTAGACGAGTACTAATGAGATTATCAAGTGCCCGAATTCCTCAAATTTTGAAGAATTATAAGGAGAAGTCTTGTGATGGTATGGAAACTCAATCTTGCTCCGCACATCACCTGGTATCTCAAGCTAACAATCACAGGCCTCGCACTGCTTTTCTTCCTCCTTTCATTAATGGGCAATCTTACATATGGTGCTGGCATCCTTTTCCATTCTCTGGAGAAAGAATACCTCATTGTCAATACTCCATGGCTCATTGGATCTTTGGGGACGATTGTTGAAGATGCAGTTATCTTCCTTCAATTCAGAATGTATGCACCTAAGCAAACTTCAACATCTGCCGTAGAATAGGCAACATATATGGCAAATTGGTGTATATCGTTTAGGGAGATGTTGAATCTAGCATCGAGGATATAGAATAGATCACCGGTGAGGTGTAGAGGAAGGGCGTTTCTGAATTATTTCTTCTGTTTTCAACGTGTATAAGGAATCAGGGACATGAACCGAATTGCAGATGAGGAAGGTTGGGTGCTTTAGATGATGAAGGTTGGATATTTTAGACGAGGAAGGGTTGGACATTTTAATGATAATCAACGCGACAAATGTAAATACTACTGAATTGACTCTGTTAGAAATGATCAATTTCTTTCGCCAAGGTGGTTTCCTTCCATCACCACTTCATCTCATGAAAAAGTTCATCAAATGGAGTTCATATAATACTATTTAAATTTCTCCTTTCGTGTTCTTGATTGCCAAGCCTTCTCATTACCCCGCCAAGCCATCCAATCTCTTCACCCAATCCTTTGAGGCAAAGCGTCCAATTCCCCCTTGAGACTGTGACTTAAACCATGGAGACGGGACTTGGAAATCTCAATTGACCTTCTCGTATATTTCACCAACCTCATTGTCCATTTTGCCATCACAACCCGTCACTCATTTAGGTTTTGAGCTTTCAATCCTGTATTGAAAATACCGTCAAGTCACTCTTTTATTTCTTTATTTTCCAGCTACACACAAACAAACAGAAAACGCCATTTCGATCCACCTCCGCACCCCACAGTCAGTCCCCTTTAACCTTAACACACAACCTTAATCCACAATGCGCTCGCTCGTTATTCTCCCGCTTGCTGGACTTCTTTCCACCGCTGCGGCAGCAGGTACATTGGGATTTGCTCTTGGTACTAAGAAGCCAGATGGTACATGCAAATTTACGGCTGATTATGAAGCGGATTTTGATACCATTTCTAAGGGAAGCACTGCAAAACTTGTGAGGGGATATGCGGCGAGTGATTGTGATACCGCAAAGCAGATATTACCAGCTGCTAAGGCAAAGGGATTCAAGGTTGTTTTGGGTATTTGGTATGTCAATCAAAACGAGATGTTTGAATTTCGGATGGGTAAGCTAACAATGTGAATAGGCCAGACACCGATGAATCCTTCGCTGCAGATAAAGCAGCAGTAGTCAAGTATGCGCCTCAATATAGCGATCAGGTTTATGCCATTACGGTCGGTTCGGAATCACTCTACCGAGGAAACTTTACTGGTGAACAACTCTTGGAGAAGATTCAGGATGTCAAGAATGCATTGAACGGAGACTTTAAGGTTGGAACAGCAGACAGTTGGAACAAATACATGGATGGTACCGCTGATGCTGTTATCAAAGGTGGTGCTGATATTCTGTTGTGCAATGCTTTCAGTTATTGGCAGGGACAAGAATTGAAGAATGCAACACATAGTTTCTTTGATGATATTATGCAGGCTTTCGGACATATTCAAGATGTTGCTGGATCTGCTACTGATGGACCTGAGTTATGGGTCGGAGAGACTGGTATGATAAACATTCCCTTTCATAATTTCAGAATTTACAGTGTGCGAAACCCCCCTGAACATTCAAAGTGCTCCCTGACCTTCAGGCTTATCTACGCATGCGCTGACATGATTCTCAAATAGGCTGGCCAACTGCAGGCTCAACTTATCAATCTGCCGTCCCAGGGACATCATCTGCACAAACGTTTTGGCAAGAAGCAATCTGTGGTATAATGGACTGGGGTGTGAATGTTTTCTCCTTCGAGGCATTTGATGAGCCATGGAAGCCAGTATCCACCGGTGCAGATGGCTCAGTTGCAGATGAGACTCACTGGGGAGTCTGGAACAGCGATCGAAGCAGCAAGTACTCGTTGAATTGTTAAGTTTTGGAACTCAGAGACTGCCCACATGGTGGTGTTCGAGGGTGCCGAAATTTGTGGATAATATGGAGCATCGTTCGCATATGATATTTAATTGAGGATATGAGCGACTTAAAATTTCGCCCGCCCAGATTGTTAGCTTTGAATTTCGAGATACCATACATTTGTCCTGTCTCTGTTTTTGTTTCTCCATCTGCAATGCCATGCTGGCTTGGCAACGTCTTTTGTGCATCTCATCTGCCGACCTAACGGAGTTCCCCATGCAAGGGACAAACGCGCATCTCCATCTTTTGCTCCTTTTTTGAATGCACCATCCAAAATAACAAATCTTCATCCCCACACCCTCATGTTCGTGCAAATTATCACAGTAGAAAATTTAACGAAGTGGCTAGATTCAACACAGATAACGAATGATGGCGTACTTGGGTCACTTTTTTACGGGTCGGACCGTTAGCTGTGTGTTAGCTCACTGTCTGTTGCTCTCCGCCGCCGTAAAGGACCCTGGCACTAATGGGATAGCTCCACGTCTGCATGATTACCCTGCATGATATTGTACTTCCGAGGTTGAAGATGGACTTGGGAGGATCTCGTTTTCAAATAGGTAGGTAGGTACTCGAGAATCGTATTTATATTCTGCCTCCATGGCACTGGCACTGGCTCCTGAAGAGCCAGCAGAAGGTCATTCGAGTTGATTTGATTGATCAAATATTTAATGGCTCTCCATCTCCGTTCTCCATTGTATTAATGGGGGTAAGTTACCAAGCCCCCAAGCCCCTATTGCTCGCTGCGGTCGAAAGTCACTCCAAACGGTATCTAGGTATGTAACTTCATGAATGTCATGTTACGGGAGTGAGAAAGGAAATCAACCATATGTACCTACCCCCTTTACATCTGTTGGTACATTATCGATATTTCCCTGGATTTTCCAGGGATCAACACTTAAAGCAACTATTTGTCGTGCTCTAAGGAATCGTACAAGATGTTTCGTGTGCCTAGTATGTACAATGGTTGTACTCCCGACTTAGCAATATCCAGCCAGTAAGAAATGGAGAAGCCCTAGTAAGACTAATAATGATAATTTTATTTTATTTGAGAGGCTCTGGAGTACGAACATGTCGGATTCTGTCGTATTATAAAAATTGCAATGATTTGTACAGGCGGTAGGTAGTATCTCACATGCTTCCCGGTTGGTCGATAGACGTTCTATTCATCATCCGGAGAAGCTTTCGTTTCCCCTGTACGGTTACTAGGTAGGTAGATGGTAGGTACAGTACCTAATAAAAGTTGCCAGCAAGACCTCCTTCAACATCAAATCCAATATCTACCTACCTACCTACCTACCTACTCAACAATCCTAGAAATCCAAGGACGAAGTTATTTATTTACATTTATAAATGATTTCAAAGGGAAATGTCGAAAATGAATGTCGTCTTCTACTGATTCATTCCATCAATACCTTCATTATCATGCTTGCTTGCCATTTAACTTAATTCATCGATTCGCGGATACTCCTTTTTTTATCACAACGGTAACCTTAACTTTGTCACTTTGCTTTCTTGCTTGTTGCTTCTTGCTTCCTACCTCTTGCTTCTTACCTCTTGCCTTCTCACTACTTGTACAATTTATAATTCGTACTCAGTCCTCAAGTTCCCTGTCAGCCCCCAAAAGCTTCTCCCATTCTCCAATAATTTTTAATTACCGAACGCGTCGCGACAAATTCTAATGGTTCTCCGGTCTTGGGTAAATAGTAAATACTAATAACTCCATACCAACCTACCTACACCTACCGGCAGGGACCTGGAAATCCAGCAAAGGTTGATAATTGGAATTGGGACTTGAATTTGCATTCACTCTGTCAACAAACCAACCAACAACAACAACAACAAACATCTAGAAGAGAGGTCCGAGTGGAAGAAAAGTATCTCGATAATTTGATAATATTTGATTATAATATTTTGACCAAAAGAATAATTAAAAAAACCAAAGAGAAAGAGAAGAGATACAGTGACAGACGAATATCAAATCGTCTGCACTGTTCTCTAAACTTTGGGTGAGTGGTTCCCTTTTTTTTTTGGATTGATTGATTGAGATGTTCCTATTCCTGTTATCCGCCTGCATCCTTATTTCATTCATCCCCGTCGGCAAAATAACTGGAGATTTGATCACTGTGAATTCGTGAGTCTTATTAACACATTCATTTTCTTCCATCTTTACAGTCAATATTCAGACTTTGATTTCGACACCTCCTCGTACGACGACGGCAGAGGCAGGATTCGAACTTGTATATCCTGATCCATCGAATTCTCCTGCCTTGTCAACAACTTCAACTGCTGAGGGTGGAGGCTCGTCTCCTATTCTTCCACCTCTGCCAGAACCAACCATAAACGGTCATACCATCGATCTTTTTGGAACTCCACCTTCGCGCCCGCCATCAGAACCTCAAACGGATACTAGCGCTTTCTTCACGGCCAGCTGGGGATCTCCGTATCAGCACCCTACAGAATCTTCGGTTGGAAGTCGCTCACTCTATCGAAGTGCATATAGTGAAGCATCAGAAGACTCGGAAGATCTGCCCATTCGCCATCTTGAGTTGCACACACCGTTTTTACGTCCCCCTCCAGCTTTCACAAGGTCTCAAACAGAATCGGATTTTGTGTCTCACGACGGCCTCATCAGCGCTGCCGTATTAGCCAATCGAGCTCGACGTCCCGCGCATCGATTGACTGAAGATTGGATAAGGCAACATACCGGGGGAGAATCAACGGAAAGGAATAACTGGCTCAGTGACGACCCTGGAGAAAGTGAGAACTCTTCATTGAGCGGCTCAAACTCAGGGCGCGCAACAAATTCTTCGGTCCTAGAATCAGACCCCAGGACTCCTACTTTACAACGGGTTTTGCAAGCTAGTCAACAATCAAGGTGGGAATCTGAGAGTCGGCATAGAAGAAAGGATACCGGAGAGACTTTGACACAAGCAGATATTCCATCTTCACTACGTGCCAAATCCTCGAAGATGTCGGCAAGAAACGAGGGTGGTTCGCAGAGAACTTCTGCCAATCACACACCAATAGATGAAAAACCCCTTCCTCCTCCGCCTTTGATGGCACCATGGGCAGGCAAAGCTCTACCTAATCCTACACCATCTCCAACTACCCCGCTCCATCCGCGATTAAAGAAGAAAGTCCCATGGAAGGGAAAGAATATATTGGTATTACTTCCTTGGGATGAAGATCGTGGGAAGAGAGGAGGAGCACCGAAACCTATGACACCGAAAGATGTAGCTGGCATGCTAAAAGATTGGGAGGAATTGGGCTATGACACCAGTGGATTTAACCTTGGCTCTGATGATGGAGGTGAAGGCGGTCCTGGTCAGAGTCGAAATGGTTGGCCGCTTATAACTGATGTGGAAGCGGAGAGAAACCAGAAAAATTTCAAAGTCAGTATTCCTGACAAGAGAGGTAAGATAGATGTTTTGTTTCATACCTTTTTTTCTCATAGTTGAAGGAGCCCCAGATGTGGTCGTAAACATCCATCCCTTTATACTGCGCTGTGGCGTTCTCCCTTGCATTCTTTAATTGCTTAGTTCAACTACATGAGATTATCGGAATTGCGAAATGGGAATTGTCAAATGGTCATTTTCACGTCATTTGTGATATAATGAGGACTAATGGATTGGATAAATATAGAATGGGATGCTTATGTCGAAGAATTGAAAGAAGCCAAATTACGAGCATTAGGTGTTTCCCTGGGGAACGATGACCCCATTCCCATAATTTCACCGGCGATATCGAATTTAAGTCGTCGTACTTCAATGCAATATCCACCATTACCATTTTCACCACCAATACCAACTTCATCGGCAGCGAGTAGTCATATGGCCCACAATTCGAATCTTCCTTTTTCTCCTGCTTTGATGCCTGGAAATGGGTTATCAACAAGTCAAAGCTCCAACCAAGGTTCAATTGCTTCTCCCGTCTCAATGCATGCGCACTTGCATGGAAAATTTGGAGGCATGAGACACAGTTCGGTGTCGTTTGGACATGGGGATCATCCTTTCGGATCACCTTTCCAATATCCACAACCAACCTCATCACCAGGTGTTTGGTCTCCACAACAAATGCTTTACCAGCATGGACATAGGAGTGGGTCTCCTTCGATGCATAATTTGGGATCGATCAGATCTCCCACTTCACCTCTTTCTCAGGATGGCTACTTTCCACCAGGTCCAGGTGATGCCATGTCACGACAAATTCTGATGCAGAATCAGTTATTGGCTGCAAGTGCCCGTGCTCGTGCATCTCCAAGTCTTCAAGAGGTTCGTGAAAGTGAAGATGAACAGATGGCGGAGATGCCCGTTCCTAACAAGAGTCCTTCAAAAACACCAACATTACAAGATGAATCAACCATCAAGCATAATGCAAGCGCAAGCTTGCAGCGAGAAATTGATGATGCTGAATATCATCTCGAGGAACAATTCCAACGTCAACTTGATGGTGATGACTATAGTCCTCATTCTGATCAAGTGGAGGCGGACAAACAATTTGATAATAAACCTGTACCTCACCTTAGGAATTCCTCGATCGTTGGCGGTGGGCTCGGATCTTCAAGGTTTGTGGTGGGGACCTCTAATGAGGGACCTGTTCTTCATCACCCGCAACCCCACAGTCGCGGACATTCCCTATCTCAGCGGCCATTCCAGGATTCTGAGCAGGATACGTCTAGTGGTGAGTCGAAGAATGGATTACGTGGTGTAAAAGATAATGCGAAATACGACCTATCTGATATTGAAACCAACCCTAGCAATATGGGGACACCGACTTTGCAAAAAGGCGTACCAGCATTTGGCCACGATAGGGACATGTCCATATCAAGCAATCCATGGCTCGACTCTGCGTCTATTCAATCAAAGATGACACAACCTAGTCATCGATTCAATAAGCAATCTATGTCAACATTAAACGTTGCAGCGAGACCTTTCAATTTTAACCCAACAAGTTCCTTCCAACCAAATCAATTCTCCTTCACTGATGGCAACTTTCAATCAGCACATACAGCTGCCAACTACGTGCCATTTGCTCATCAAGGACCTTTACCTGGTGTAACTGGACATCATACCAATCACTCTGTGAAGAATTCATCCAGTCAAGTCAATGCTCCCGCCCAGGTATTCTCCCCTAATCTGCCAGGTTTCGTACCCGGACAAAGCGAGTTCAACTTCCAAGGACCAAGCTTCAGGCCTGATGCACCAACATTTACTCCCAACTTTTCCACCTCTATCACTTCTGTGAGTGAAGAACCTGGTAATGAAGCTCCAAAAAATCCCATCTTTGCTGGTCTTGATTTGAATTCCCTCGGCACGACTAAACCTGCGAAGAAGTCAAAAGCTATTCCCATTGTCCGGCCTGATAGTAATCCATCGAAGGAGTCTGAAGAACTAATGGAAGGTATAGACGGCCGCCCCATGCAGAACCCGGGCCACATCAAGAGAATGCGTAGAGAAAACGATGATGGCGATTCTGTACCTCTGTTTGCTGGGTCCACTGTGCCTCTTCAAGAAACCACCTCGGAAAAGTCAAGTCCAAAGGAGGCCCAGATTGCTACTGCAGATGATGACAAGGAAAACTTCGCGCCTTCGAGTGAAGATGTGGAGGAGCTGCCTATTGTTACTGAGAACAAAAAGCTATCCAATGATGCGGATTTCTCGCCATTCGAATTTCAACAACAAAAGGAAGCAGAAGATTTCAATGCCGCAATACCGTTCACTTCACAAAGATTTGAATCTAATAAGTCAGAAGATGACACGGAAGACGCTGATGAGACTGCATCCAAACGAGATCTACGCTCACGGACAGCATCAAATGCAAGTGGAAGTCAGCTTGGCCACAGGAAAATGTTATCATCTCTTTCTGCAGCTACAAAAACTTTCGAATCTCAAAGAGACGGGAAGTTTGCTTTCAGTTTTGGTGGAAGCCAAGCCCCGGTACTTGCCCCAGCTTCTCCTGTTCTCCCAAAGACCAATGGTCTTGCAGACTCCAGGTATGCTAATAGTCCATCACCACCTCGAGCATCTGCTACGGAATCACCTACCCTGCGACCTCATGAAGTAAACGATTTCCAAAATGCGTTACCAGGGCCACTGAGTCCGCCAAAATACGACGAAGACTCTGACCTGGAGGAGGGCGAGATTCGAGAGGATAGGGAGCCAACATTTGAGGAAATTGATGCTGTTATGAGGCATCTAAACTCAACGGAAATGTCACCAGCCTCAGCCTCCGACGGAGAGGATACTCCAAGATGGCATGAAGCTGGCTCACAAAGACATATCCGAATTCCTTCAATGTCATCTCCTATTCGCCTTCATCCTAATCTTTTGCGCAGTGATGCTCCTAGTCCAAGTCCAGGACCAAAAAGATATGCAGAGGACAGTCAGTTTGGTGACATGTCTCCCGACAGAGTATATTCATACATGGGAACTGAAGATCCATTCGCGGATCCTCATTCTACAGCTGCATTTGGATCACCTATTCATCGTCTCAACACTGGAAATAGTCTACCAGTAAGTGATTGGGATGATGTCCTCAGCGAAGGCGAGGAGATCAAACTTCATGAAAGGATTGGGTTCTTCGATAATCGTGTCAATGACATCGTCGGTTCGTTGTTGGCCGATAGATTGGATCCGATCGAGAAGATCCTGGAAGGAATTACTCACACTTTACGATCAATGCCTTATCCCGCAAAGCCCACACCGCATCGTAGAGAACGGCGCAGCATGTCCGGTGCATTCAGTGATGCTGATGATGAAGATGACGAAGACCCTGGAAGATCCGCAAGCCCAAGGAGAAACGCAAAATTGGAGAAAATTAGAACGGTCGTATTGGATGCTCTCAATACTCATTCCTCAAGACCTCAAAGTGCCATCACTCAAACAGCTGCATCAATGTTACCTGTCTCGCGTAATGTCATTCAAGCTTTGGATGAAATGAAGGAGCATCTAACCCGATCCTCACAACCTGCTTTCAGCGTGGAAGATCTCAAGAATGCTGTGGAGCAAGTTGTTGAAAAGAGAATACCTGCTCCAATCAATCATGATGATATTTCAGCTTCCAAATTAGCCGAGGCTGAAGTAAAGATAGCTGCTCTTGAACAACAAGTCCACGCTAGCCACGATAGGTTGGCTGAGATGGAAGAAAATTCTCGATTCAAGATTTCCGAGCTCGAAGAAAAGCTCCATCGAGCTGATGATTGGGTTGAGGAAGAGATCAAGAAACGCAGAGCTGCTGAAGACTCCAAGGCTATGACGGAAAGACTTTTATCTAGTTCTCTGGAAGAAGAAACTCGACTAAGACAAATTGTAGAGGAAAAGAGCTCAAAGGCGGAGATAGAGATCGTAACTCGACGAAAGGCCGAAGATCGTCTAGCTGAAGCTCAACGTCTGCTTCGTATCTCTTCCGAAGAGGAAGATCGACTTCGCGATGCCTTGTTGGAGAAAGATGCCAGGATTCGGGAGATTGCAGAAGATCGCGATCATAAGTTAAGAGGTATTGAAGAGTTTAAAAGCAAGACTACTATGCGTATCGCGCATTTGGAATCTGCTCAGGAGAGCTTCCGCAAAACCGAAGCAGACCTTACCGCCACAATTCACATGGCCGAATCTGAATTACGGGAATCGCGTTCTTTAGCCCATAGATGGCAGCTGGAGGCGGAAGGAGCCATGGAAGCAGCCAAGAGACACAGTGAAGATGCCGAACAAGCCAATGAAACCAATAGAGACCTTAGGAGGACCATCGAGACTTTGAAGAACCAGATGGAGGAAAGTATCCGAGTCCGCGAATCCATGAGATCGAAATTAATGGATTTGCAGGAGGATATGGCTACAGCAGCCCAAAGCATCTCACAAGAAAACTCCCATCACGCCCAGAAGGAACAGGAATTACTTGCCAGACAAGAAGTCCTCGATGCTAAACTTCATGCCGAGGCTAGAACGAGGGAACGACTCGAAATGGAAATTGAACGACTAGAGAGCGGCGAGAGACAAGGTGTGAGAGCCGTTAACGAGTGTAAGAGGTTGGAGGCTCTCGTCGTTGAACTACGAAATGAGAATAATGCCGCCCACAAAGATGTTATGAGATACAAGCGAGAATTCGAGGAAGCTCGCGAATCTGGCCTTGGCGAGGTTGCGCGCACGAGAAAATATATGCAGGTTGAGGTCGACACCGCTAATCATGAGGTCAACGTCGTCAGAGAGGAACTTGAGAATCAAATCTCCAGACTTCAAGCCGAGATAGATCTGGTAAAATTGGATGCTGAAACTGCAAAGGAGCAACATGATATGCTCTTAGAAGCGGCGCAAACTTCCAAGAAAGACATGTTCGATGATATTACAAGAAAGCATCAAGATCAGCTTGAAGATCTACAAGAAAAACTCAAGCGACAGCTTGAAAACACCATTGTGGATGCCCAGAGATCGGAACAGCATCTCTTGGAGCGATTAAGTTTGAGTACCGCCAAGACGGAACATCTTCAAGATCGTGTGAGCCATTTGGAAGATAAATTGGAGGTCGCCAGGTCTGCTGCACAAGCCGCTGCTACTCATGCTAAAGCTGCAAGATCGGCAAGTGTAGCTGGATCTTTGCCATCACCGTCACTACAAAAGGCTTCTACCCGTGGATTGGATGTACCGGAGAAGATCTCCCCACAAGCGCTTCGTGAATCTATTATGGTTTTACAAGAGCAATTGCAAGATCGTGAGTTGAAGATTGAAGATCTAGAGCAGAGACTTGAGGATGTGGATCCTGAGGCTTCAACAAAGATTAGCAAACGTGATGATGAGATAACGTGGCTAAGAGAACTTCTTTCGGTGCGCAAGAGTGATCTCCAAGATATTGTTCAAGCCTTATCAACCGGCACATATAACCCAGGCAATGTTCGTGATGCGGCTATCCGATTGAGCGCCAATTTGCAGATGGAAGAGCAAGAACGTGAGAGAGCTATGAACGGTGGCTCATCTATCAACCTTCCAAACATTGCAGCTTCCATTGCAGCTAGTCCTAGAGTTGCACAAGTTGCCAGTGCTGTAGGACCACTTGCCGCTGCCTGGGGAAATTGGAGAAACAAGAATCAATCAAAAGATGCTTTGATGAGTGGTGGTAATAGTTTAGCTACCGAAAGCGGTACCTCAACGCCATCTAAAGCTGGAAGTTCATCTGGATTTCTAAGTGGGTTGATGACACCGCCAGCAAGTAGCTCCAGGCAATTTCCTAACACACCTGGAGCACCTCCGCCAGTACAGATCAACAGAGAGCCAGCTAGCTTCGCTAGGGATAATACATTGAGTGCTTTTAACGCAACCGGTCAACGATTCGCGGCTAAACAAGGTGGTCTTATCTCCAGAACGTCCACACCGAGACGCGCGGATAAAGTCCCGGTCAGGAGAGAAGCAACATCAACTCCACCAATTCTGTTACAAAGTAGCTATGACAATGATGCTGTGGTAACAAATCATGATGAACTAGATAATAGGAACAGGCGGGGGAGTAGACGCGGGAGTGCACTTGCGCAACCAAGCTTGGGGATGAGCTTAGGGGAGGAACTGGGAGATTTCGGAAGTGAGGAGGGCTTTTATGATGATGATGAAAGTACAATGGATGAGATGGCTGGGATTTACAGTGGGGAATTTGGACGTTAATTAAAAAAGTTTATTTTGTCATTTCTTTTTATTTCTATTGCGGTCTATGTTCAAGAATGTCTGAGGGAAGGAGAAAGTGGACTCAAAGCTTCTTATATCAATACTGTCCGCATTCGCAGAATGGGCTCTTTACATACATACTTATCCTTTAATAGTTCTAGAATGATACCCGGAGTGCGCGAGGGAGAAGTGGTAGAGGGGAGAAAATTTTGAGAGAGATTGGATATAGTTTCCTCTATTAATGTTGATGGCTCGGAGGTAGGATTTAATGATAGAAAATGAATTTTGAGATTACTTTGCATTTTTAAATACCTGGTTTAAAGTTGGAATGGCCGAAGTTTGAATGTTTATTTGGACGTGCAAAGCAGATGAAAGATCTAGCGGTGATCTGATATGGCTATGAACAATTAAAGTATGCTAATTTCCGTTTCATTGCTACACGCTTCGCCTTGTCTCACGTGTCTTGTAATAAATGAAGCAAGGTCTTTTCCAACCCTATGGTGAGAACATACGTCCAACAAGACCTTCAGTCAGATCACCAGTGTCGATCAACAATCAGAAAAATGTACCACTGTAAGCTCCTGCAAATGCTGCGGCAACCAATTTTTGAACCGCCTGACCAGGATGGAAATTATTCCACCACAAACAACTTACCCCATTTGTATTATAGCAAACTGCATTTGGGGCACCGTATGCTTTTGGATTGTTTATGGCAGTGTCAAAGGGGATCTGCGAATTTATATAAGTTTGTGGATGAGGAGCTAGTTCTCAATTTTGACTCACCGAAGTATCAATCACTGTGACGGTGCTTCCAGACCTTTCGGATTGGAACTCAGTGGCCGTGTTCTTGACGAGAGTATTCCAAGCTGCAATACTTGCAGTGTATGTCGCTTGTGACGTACTGTTCAAAGCTAGGATTTTGGGGCTTTTGTTCGTGGCTATTTTCTCCAGTCAATGTTTGAGTCCGGCTCAGCATTTTAAAAACTGAATATTGACTTACGTGGAACTGTCATCAACGCGAAATTTCTGGCCCCATAATAATACATTATGTCAAGCTGCTTCCAGTAGGTGTTGAAGATTTCTGTGAAGAGTTCACTCTCGTTCGAGTATGTATAACTGAGATCTATATCATTGATGCCAAACCACACAGCAAAGAGAGTATTTGCCGAAGTCCATGGCGCATACGAAGGTTTTGGGGCAAGATTTGCAGTGAAGATTGCGGTTTGTTCGACTAGTGATTTAGAACCGGAGGTAATGGAATGAACAACATTATCGTCTACTGTTGAGCCTCCGACGGCAAAATTGTAAGATAATGTTAAAGAGGTGTTATATGTGGTGACCAAGTGATCAATCCAATTAAGACCTGCATCTGTTGTGGTGCCGGGGAATGGAGGATTTCCAATAGGGTTATCAGCCGAAGGCTTTGTACCCGTTATTGAGAACAGCGTTCGTGAGTAGGAGTCACCACTAGTAAGATTAACATCGTTCCCTCGATATATTTTGGATGCTCTCACAAGGAAAATAGATATTTGGTTCCTGTTACTTGTCTAGGTGCAACCGAGTTCAGGAATGGGAAGGCCACACCACCATCCACCAATAGAGGAAGGATAAACAGGAATTGAGAAAACATGACCTAGATTTTGGTTTGAGAAAAAGACGTGAACAAATTTTAAGATCGATAAATGAGCGAAGACGTATGATAAAATACCTTTTGCCAAGTACAAAGCAAAGATGGGCTTCATCATCAATCGCTATCGCGCGATCGATACACCGCCAAATTATCCGTGGCTCAACGCTGGAATATGCCTGGTGGACCCCACAACAAAAAACTGTACTGCAAACCTATTCAATGGGTAAATTCTGATTGGGACGCAAGAGATATTTATGTATCGCTGTCAATATTTCCGGCATGGGGAAATCATGCACAATTGTCCGAAAAATGGAGGATCATTGTCCAGATTTGTAAGATTATATTATAGCTTCCCCACGGGAATGGTTGTATGAAGACAATTTGGGTTTGAACAACTCGTTATCGTCTCGTAAAGTTTCCTGTGGGAAAATAAAGCACTTGCTCAATCATGGTGAATTTGTACTTGCTAATTAGTAGTTCCTTTTCTTTCTCCTTTTTAAAAATTTGATAATTATTTTCATTCTTTTAAAGGTTTAAAGGGGTTTTTATTATAAATTAACTCTTTCTTTTATTAGAATTAAATTTTTTTTAATGATGTTTCATGCTATATATAATTAATTTTATATTATATTATAGTCTATCACTTTAAATAGTATTAGTTGAAAATAGTAATATCATTTGCATTATATACCACTTCCTTATCTTAAATTATTTTAAACATCTTTTCAAAATACTATAAACTATTTTCATTATCGATTCCTCATCGATTAACCTTGTAGTAAGACTATATAAAAGCGTACAGTCGGCTGCCATCTTGAGTTCTTCTCTAAAGCTCTACAAGTTCTAAGCTGGGTAAGTAACCTATCCTATTGGAAGCATTTTATAAAACCCTATTGTTACTTAACTGACAAAACACACTTTCCCCATCCAATTTTCCATGTCACAGGTTACCCATACACCATGAACACAGATCCTCGCAGATAAATGGCCTCCTCCAATTCGTTGCTTTTGTATTGTATGCATACAAATCTCGGCAAGAAAAAGCTTGGTACGACGACACAGCATTAAAACCTTACCCCTCATTTCTCAGATAGTACGGTATCATCTTAGACAAGGCAACCTATACCGAGAGCATAAGTTGAAATACGAAACTCGGCTAGATAGTCCCCTGGCATGATGTGGCCCTATTAAAAGAACATTTGTCTAGCTGTTGGCCATAGGAGGCATAGTGCCAGTTTTTGAGGGGTATTTCTTTCCCATTATCCCCATGATTTTTACATCAAGCAAATTAATATTGGTACACGATATGGTCATGTAAATTCGAGCATTCTTGACAAATTTACTTTAATAATGGCTGTGCCAATGGACCTTGGCATTTCACAGTCATAGATACAGCGATTGAAATTTCCCAAAGGTTCATACATGGCATCCATTTTTAGTTGATTTTGCATTCTGAAGTACTGACACCAAAGATTATTTCGACAATGATTATCAAAATAACCTTGCATGACCTCCGTATTCTTCCCTCATCGTCGTCCTTATCCAAACCACAATAGAGTCAAACACGCGTCATTCCGAGAAAACTTTCAGTCCCTCTCAACCTCCTGCCAGTACTTCCCGCCGGAGTACCTAGGTTAAGCACATGCGGCACAAACATCATTGACAGCACTCAAGACTTGAGCTGCGGTAGTCAATCCACAAGCGTTGATAACGCAAGTAGTAGCGTCACTTTGGATAGAAGAGAAGGTTGAAGATGCGCATTCACAAGTGTAGTTGTCGGTGCTTGAGCAGAACTTTTCCACTGATGCATTGATGCAAGTAGCCTAGTAAAAATGTTAGTGGATCAATAGGAGGAAAGAATACAGAAACTGGGCGAGGGTCATGGGATGATAATGAAGAGAAAATGAATGATAATCTTGGGTCAAGAAGATTGAGGTAAATGAAAAGGTCACATACACCACAGGCAGGAACAGCAGCAACGGCTGATGTGCAAGCAGCACTTTGAGCTGAGACGATGGAGGCAGCTCCGAGACCAATAGCGACGTATGAGAACTTCATGGTTTCTGTTTTGAGAGAAATATATGCGTGGTGTGCGATTGTGTTATTGTGCTAGGGAGATTGCGTGATAATGGATGATACACATTGGAATTTTTCACCCTTATATAGTTTTCTTTTACTCCATTGTCATCCTGTCTCCTCAAGTAATCAGCATTGGGATACCATTTCTGTATAGTACATTCGAATCCTGGCATTAGAGAATGTCAAACTCAATCATGAATAAGTGTGCGGAATACCTAGTGAGTGCATTTAACCGTGCACCCACATGCAGCAGTTGTTGCGGGTGCGGGGAATCCTTGAAACAGCCCCGAGCATCATGTTCCTGTATTGGTCGTAAAATGAGGGGGTTCTCCTCGGTACCCACATGCCTCCATTTAACATTTCGGCATGTGAAGTGTAAATCGACAGCATGATAGACATTATACGTCAACGTGGGGAGATTGGCAAGCAGCCGATTGAGTTTGCATTAAGTAGCTTCCCAATACTAACAGCTGTGCATCTTTCTGCGGAAAAATATGACCAGTAAATGATTGTATGTGTAAGAACCATCAAAATCCTTGAACGATCGTCACACTGGATATTTTCCCGTTACCACGCTTGTCAATCGTAGATACTGAGATCTTGTGGCTAGCTGGGCTGATTCGGGTTTGTGCAACCTTCAAGGTGACCTCACATCTGAAGTTTTAGAAGAAAATAAAAGAAAAGAAAAAAGAAAATATACATTGATAGACCTGTACACACAGTAGGAACGGTTGCCAAGTTGCCAGAAGTAGTCATTAAAGCTTTATAATTTTGAGTTTTGTGTAACCAAGTCCATTTTCTGGAACACTTAAAAAAGGTATTTCTGACCTCAAGTCAAGAGTAGTCTTCCCATCCTTGAAGAGACTTCAGGTCGTGAGGTTACTTTAATGCATTAGTCCATCTATTCTGAACGATAGGTGCATGGAGCTAGAACGACATCTTGACAATAAGGTCATGAGTGACTTCTTTGCCCTGGTTAAATACTATGCACGATACACAGCCTTTCGGCGACAATTATTGCGCGTTATGATTCTGCCGCTTTCCGGCAGTCAATACCTTGATGCCTTGGAAGAGTTCGGGCGCGGTAAGTGGGAATCGTGCATTGCCACTGAATATCACCCGACTTGGGAGAATTCATCGCCTTGGGTAACAAACATTTTTAAAGTGAATGTAAGTTAGGAATGAAGCTATTGTATATTCAAAAATAGCCAACACAAGTATCAAGTGCTGGCCTTCGGACTATGCAGTATAAATGTAATCAGTTCCAAAAGCAGACACTGATACCACCTACCCATACCCAGAAAGTGGGATGCATGCAACATAAATAGATGAATAATGAAAGAACATGCCAATGAATCAACAAGAAACTTCATACAGATAAACATGGAGGAGGATTGAGGAGTGAGGAGTCAAAATTAATCCCGGAAGTAGATGATGAATTAGGCATAGATTTCTGAGATCCATACTAGGAGAAGCAACGTCCGAGGTATTGCAAGATTGAGGAGAACCATGTGAAGCCATAACTATCACGGCGGCATCGCTACGAGCTGCATATCCCCTAGTAGCTGAGCAAATGTGTGATCCTCATGTCCGAATGACTTCTGAGAGACTTTGTCCGCCAGATCTGACGCTAGAATGTCACTTTAAAAGCATTTTCTAGGTTCCCACTAGTTACATGAGCTGTTGGGCGACCTGACCCAAACCTGACAAAACCATTCGAACACTGCTCGAGCAGGAAATAGTTACTTGTTGGAATTTCCTGCGAAAAGTTGGATATAAGTATCAGGACTCGATTTTTATTCAATTCCATTGTAGGTCCAGTGGCCGCCAAAGTAACGAAAATAAAGTATAGATAGTAAAGTATCCGGAGGAAGAACAAACAGCTTGGTGGATAGCAATAGTGTTGTAACCCTTTACACTTCATGAATCAAGAAGTTTTCATCGTTCCGTCTCATGGTATGTATCAAATCCCATCAATTCAACCTCTTGTATTGTTGCTCCCATCGACAGCGATAACGAATGGCGGAGCTGGATAATCTTCACATTAGCTTCTCATAAATTCCATAGATATCCAGCACTACCGTTGGAGTCCAAACCAACTGTAAAATTTTTAAGCATTCGATATGAAGGAAGAAACACCCTCTCCACTCAGGACCCCGACTGTCTTTCGAATGAATGGAATAACGCTGCGAGCAAGGCCTCATGTGCATTTTCCTCCCTCGTTCTTCGAAAGAATGTTGTCGAGGACGCAAAAATTACTGTCTGCAAACTGAAACGTCAGGCATAGAAATGTTAAGGAAGTTTATGAGGAGAACATAGGACATCAACTTGACCATATCACCATCTTGAAATCACTCGCGGTTGCGCATTGTCCGTTCGTTCTCTTGAGCGGGGTTGTCGCTGGTGTGACGACGAGAAATCAGTTTTCCCATCTAGCCTTAGGTCTGAGAGGAGTGATCATAATGCTAGCAGCCTTGCCCATTGATGATGGTCGTGGTGATGACTGATGAGTGATGAGCTGATACTGCGGTGATACAATATCGCAATCCAAGAGCCGGATTGCGAAAAATAACCTTGTGCGATAAGGCTGGAAGATAAGGAATAAGGTTAACCATAAGGTTACCTAGCCTAGGTTAAGGCTAAGATAGGTGATTTACTCATGAACTAGGAATTGTAAGTCTTATATATACATAGATACTTAACCTTCACGAAACCATCCAATGAATTTCTTAGATTAAGTCACATTCCGAAATCATAGTATAGATTCTTTGAGTATAGATTTGGTTGATTCGTCTCATGTTTCGAACATCAAACATCATTCTCTTAATGTAATATTATTACACACCCTTCAATGACCTCCGACGAATAAATCCAAGTGGTTTTGGAGATACAAGCTTTTATATATCCATCTAGTACAAAATCAATTGAACAAGCATATTTACAAATTAATATACACCTCCCCTGCCTCTATAATATGATTGAGAGTGATTGAGATGCGGTGCACGTCGATGTCGTTGTGATGATGAGGTGAGTTTAGACAACAACATGTACCATAGGAAGCACTTATTTTCCACAACTTCTCCGCATTTGAGGAATGAATTGAAATACCATATGCCAATATCGAAATGGCTTAAGGTTGTTGCACGTGTTTTTATTTCCTCGCGCTGTATGGCAAGGTTTACGTGGCTACAAAGTCAAGTACCCACGGATCTGGGCAGAAAGAAGACTTGTCGTGAGTGACCACCATCTGTTCCTTTGTGAATATGCATAAATTCATGTCCAAATTTTAGCCAAAATTCACCAAAGATAAAATCACCATATCTTTGAGACATTATCTTCCGCGCATTACGACCTACTCCCTCAAGAAGACCATCTTTAGAGACACCCGTTGGCGGATACAAATCAATAGTAAAAATAGCCAAATCCTTTTCAAACATTTCAGCAAGCCGGACCTGTGTATACAAATCTAATATATCATTGACAAAGGATACGTAATGTCGGAAATAAACTTCAACATTTTGACAATTGGAACGCAAATAAAACTTACAAGATGATCAGTAGCAACTGGCGGACCCTCCTTGGAAGTATATGTTTGCTCTTCCATTTTGACCGATGTGGAAGCTTTGAAATAATGGGATGCTCAATTTTTTGGAAAGAATATGACGTTCATCATGTAAAAGTTTGTTCATGCCTCAAGCCCATTTACTAGAATTGATATGAGGTAAAGCAAAGACACTCACCTCCGGTTTTGAAGGCATTGTTGGTGGATTCGGTGCAGGAAGTTCAAGGCTTGTGGCGATTATAGGGTATGACAGGAGTGTAGGATATGTGAGGTGTAGACGCAAAGCAGGTAGCTCAAATGTAAGATTACCACTCGACTACTTGAATACCAAATTTGTTCGAATATCAACCGAAGAAGGTATAGATGGCAGCGAGTCTATTGAAACTTGGATCTGATGTCGAGGAAGGTCTGATATTAGGTGAAGATGTCCGCGAATGGTGTGGAAGAGGAGGTAGGGTTCCGAATGCTTGACGGTTGAGACTGGTTTCATGTTAAACAAACCAGAATTTGGTTGACTGCCCTCTTCAACACTACCAACACAGGTTGCTCAACAGAACGATAAAATCCGTGTGGAAATTTGTAACTTCATGGGTGAGGTAGCTCTGGATGTTCCTTTAAAATTCATGGAAGGCGACATCAATAGTAGATAGGCCTTCCTTCCCATTCTTAAGCTTGTGTTCTGCCAATATCCGCTTGTACTTGATCAAAAACTCCATTATGCATGCCATATCCGCAATGATATGAGGAACAAACTGTCGGTCTGCGTTTGGTGAGAATTGAAAGAACAGTACTCGCAAGGCCGTTTGGTTAGGAAACAACACGCAAAGCTTCGACTATATGTTACAAGCAACTTCAAGCGATGATAAGCCAAGCTACTGCCGCCGATGATACGAGAGATGTGTGGGGTGCATGGTGTCTTTTAACTTCTGTGATTGGGTGAAAAAAGCAGCTGAATTCGCGTCGAGAAGTATTGACACCTTGTGTCACTTAAGATGGCTAAGTTCTGAGGGTGATGATCATGTAAGACAAAATTAACTACCTACCAGACGCGTAGGTTGGTATTTTTAAGGTTTTGTTCAGCTGCAAAATAAGCCGATGGCTTGCAGGACTGGGCACCGCACCGCACCGCACCACCCTTTTCCGCACCCCTTACCCGCGATTTTCGACCCTTTAGTGTAACCACCCTACCCTGCAAGTATTTTACAGGGTAGCTACCTTGGAAAGACTGAATAACCTACCCCGGGGTAATCCATCATGCAAAGTCGATTCAAGCTTTCGAAACGATCAAAATGTCTACAGATCGCCGTGTGATTTATTACCATATGATGGGCATGAGTAACAATCACATGATGAATTATCATATATGTGACATCTCATCGACGCATACATTCCAGATCGATAACCTTATCTTATTCCAAATGATATCTACCCCAAAGCAATGTACCCAAGTGCCCCGCCTTAGAGATCTTGTAGAGATCTAATACTACCCCGCCCGGGTCATGCCGTCTAGCCCTGGCGGATCGCCGACGACTAGCGCCCCCAATCCCCCATTATGGCGAAGTGCATGATTTCAGCACCGCATTGACTTATTTCTGGTCCAATTGTATCCTAATCCACTCTGCATCGCTGAGGATAGTTCCAAAATATGACACTATCAAGTTCCAGGCGTTTTGTCCTTCAGCTGGAACCAAAATGAGCTTACTTTCTCGGAATGGTGCATCGAAAGCTGAAAGGTACGTCAGGATCGCCAGCAAACTCATGGGAGAAGTGGTTTCGTGCGTCCAACTACTTTTCTAGAGATGGCTAACTATACCAATTCTTAGAAACACGTCAGTAACACTATCAACTTTGCGGACTCGCCAAAATATGACTTCTTGTCGTTGATTGACTACAATGCTGCTGTGATATCATGCAGCCGTGCTGTAGTCAATCAACGACATGAACACGACTTACTCGATGTGGTCACACCAAGGAATTGATCACGAAGAGGAAGTATGTGTGGATCGAACGTTGACATGACCCTCATTAATCTCGTTCCCCTAAGATCTATATATATGTGAGTATGTCACCTCATGAGAAGGTAAAAACCTCATTACAGTCCTCTCAATTCACATTGACAACTATCAGCATACTCAATAACATCAAAATGGCCACCGGAGAATTTACAGCCAAGGAAATTGCCATCCAAGATCTTGAAAACCTCGTTAATACTTTGGGGTTCTCCAATTGCTTCAAAAAAGGCAAAGGCTTCTATGAAAATGAAGTAACGCAATATGCCACTTCCTCTTATGAGTGCTTAACCCCTTTTCCCATCCCTGCTTTTACCTCATGCCACCATTGCTTGAAATGGAGTTTTATTTCCTCACCTCTTTCCATTCACTCAGAGAAGTATGACACTAATTCTTGTTAGATACGTTCGCACGTTGCCAGCGTTGATCCTGAAGCCCCGAAACAAACAGGACATTGCCACTATTTTGGAATACGCTACCAAGAGGAAAATTGGTGTATCGGTTCGTACAGGAGGACATCAATACAGCGGAGCTTCATCTTGCACCGCTCCAAATATTCAAATGGACTTGTCAGAAACTTTCAAAGGTCCCGATGACCGAACACTCTTGAGAAAGCAGGGTCGCCTTCACACGAGCGTCAGTTGGTCTCTGAAGGAATTCACTGATTTTTGCGCCGAAAACCGAATTTTCGCTCCTCACGGACAATGCATTGCTGTTCACCTCGGAGGACACGTTCAAACCGGCGGTTACGGGCAACTCGGTCGCAGCTTCGGGCTACTTGCGGATCATGTCCTTGAGATTGACATTGTGGATTATGAGGGAATCCCTAGAAGGCTTGTTCACGACAGCCCCAACGAGGCTGAACGAGATCTATTTAATGCCATCCTTGGAGGAAGCCCAGGAAACTTTGGTGTAGTCACTCACTTTACAATCAAGGTTCACAAGGACGAAGATTATGAAGGATCCATTGGCATGAAGTGCTTATACCCGTACAGTCGTGACAGGGCCGAGAAGCTGCTCGACCTTGTGGCAAAGATGTCAGACGGTTTGGACTCCGAAGGAAATGAGATGGTCCTTGCTCGTAATTATGATGTTTGCCTTAACGTCGTTAGTTCTGGAAACGAGTTCGCCGCACTTTTCCCCGGTAAAGCTAAATCACTGAGGGACTTTTACAACAATCATGATGACCTTCCAAACATTGACCCTAACTTGCCGCAATATCCTAAATTGATTTACGTTTGGGCGCAATGGGTCAAGCTAAAGGATACCGATGTATTCGACGAGAAGCTTTGGTTCGATAAACTATCTGACGGTTGCATTGACTCAATCAGCATAAACCATAAGGAGTTGATGTCATATCCTATGTCTTACATGACAGGCAGTTGGTGGATTTTAGATGCTGTTCGCGAGTACCCATATCCATATATCAAGAGTACCCGCATGAGCGACAAGACGGATCTGAGCAAGTCCGGATGGCCTAAGTGGCTAGCTCAACGCATTGATAAAATTGTGGCGCCAGAAAATAACGGTCTCTTTGTATGTGCTCAAATCCAACCTTTTGGCGGTCCTGAATCGAAGACGGTCAAGAACGCAAACAACGGAACTTCATATAGTTGGAGAAACTCGACCATAACCTGTACTCTTGATTGCTTCTACAATTTCAAACACGACAAGAAGCAGGAGGCGGAACAGTGGCAGAAGGAAAATGAGGAGGGAGCCATTGGGGAGAATGGGGTCTTTAGCACCAAGGATATGCGTCCCTTATGGGGGTCTTTCGGTGAATATGACTTCTCAAAAATTTGGGACGCGTATCATGACAGCCAGGAAAAGTACGACAAGCTACGCAGACTGAGAAAGATCCATGATCCAACTGGGGTATTCACACCAAACACATTCTGCGTCCCGCGTGAAGGAGAAGACACCAAGGACCTTCTGGCAGAGAGAGTAAAACAGCAGGCTCTTCTTAGTTAATGGAGGATTTTGTAAAAGCTCAGAATTTCGAAGTTGGATTCTAGGTTGAAGCTTCTTTACCATCATCTGTGGTCTTCAAAGAGCAGAGCTTGTTGGCAGACATGGACTTGTTTATCGAATCATTTCATAGATAACAATATACACATCCTTTAGCATATGCTCTACCTGATTATGTTGATATCTTTTAACATCACTTCTCCATGATTGTGAGCGATTGCACACCTTCACAAGTAGGAATTCAAAAAAAAAAATAAACAGGACGGCACATGTAATTAGCAGTAATAAATGCATCAGGTACTTAATTACCCATCGAGGTGCTTGATAAAGCAAATTCTTTTAGAGAAGTATGAGAAGAAACTAGAGGAGGCATCAGCGATTCCTAAGAAATATGACCATAATATTAGATTAATATAATATTTTTGAAAAACTTTATAACTTGTAATAGATCTTTTAATTTTATATCAGATTATAAAGTTTTTTGTAAAATTTATATAAATTAATTATTAATATAAAGTTAATTGATATAATGTATTTGAAAAACTTTAAAACTTTTAATAGTCTTACGAGGTTTGCCGTCTAGATCACGTGGAAGTGCTCTAGGCTCTCGAAGTGGTTTATAACTAGATGTCAAACAGGGACTTAAATAATGACAATGATGCAATTCGTAACTAATAATAGAGTATACTAAATGATTGATCTTGAGCACGAAGCTTTATAAAAAGGAAATCCATTATGATTATATAGACCTTTGTGTTCAAACTGAGTTGTTTGGAAGTAGTAGTATTATTAGATGTAGGTTAAACTAAGGATCTAAGTTACAGTAATGGTAGAATTGAAGATATTCCCAATTATGGTCCGTGCACCATAATGGTCATATGACCTCAATTCTAGGCCCATAATGACCTTAATTTCAACACTTTGTATTATACATCCTATCATCTTGTTAAAAGGAATAGAAGTTACCGGTACTAATCACGTGTCGTGATTAGTAATACGGTTACCTAAACAGGCTAGATTAGACGAACCATAAGCAGGCATATTGGTCCCCTATGAGGATACCAAGAGGAGATTAATATGCCTACACACGTAGTAATATAGTCAATATAGAGGCCTCTTCCACCCAATCTTTTAATAAATCCGATAGTTTTAATCTTATATTCTATACAATAATTCTGAAAAAGACCTGACTTATAGCTTTTATATTCATCTAAAACTAATATTCGATATATATCCTTTGTTCAGAGTTTTATATACTTATCAAAATACTTTAATTATTCTAAACCTATCTCATTATTTGTTTATCTATTTATAATAGTTTTAATTATTTATTTGAGAAATATATCCATCTTATTATATCAATTTGTTGAAACTGAGTTGTTTGGAAGTAGTAGTATTATTAGATGTAGGTTAAACTAAGGATCTAAGTTACAGTAATGGTAGAATTGAAGATATTCCCAATTATGGTCCGTGCACCATAATGGTCATATGACCTCAATTCTAGGCCCATAATGACCTTAATTTCAACACAATTTGTTAAAAGGAATGACCTCACACAGGGAATAGTGGGAAGCTGATAGGGCAGAACTGAGGTAATATTGGTCTAGTAGGTAAATCTCTCTTCTAAGTTCTACGGAAGTGCGAAGCTCTCTGTAAGAGAGCTTCTCAATCTAGTCCTAACAGGACTAGTGCCCTGTGCACGTGCTACGCAGGAACCATTCACTTTAACACAATTAGCTAAATACATTTGTTCTTAAACAAGGAGATATAGAGGTATATTCTCCTTTGTCGTATTACCATATATAATTGTTGTCGACCATTCTCTATTATCTAACTGTATTCCTTTACTTTTGCTATATCTATTTATATTAGTAATAATTATAGTCAAGAATATCATTCCTATTATAAAACCTGTTTCATCAAAATTCTATATATTATTAAAAGATTGGGTGGAAGAGGCCTCTATATAGACTATATTACTATGTCTGTAGGCATATTAAGATCTCCTCTTAGTATCCTCGGAGGGGACCAATATGCCTGCTTATGGTTCGTCTAATCTAGCCTGTTTAGGTAACCGTATTACTAATCACGACACGTGATTAGTACCGGTAACTTCTATTCCTTTTAACACTGCTTATGGTTCGTCTAATCTAGCCTGTTTAGGTAACCGTATTACTAATCACGACACATGATTAGTACCGGTAACTTCTATTCCTTTTAACATTATTTATCAATACACTTTCCACCCCTCGATTCAAAAATGTGATTCGCCATATTTTCAACACTTATAAATTTAGGACTAAATCCTTGCTCATCTATATCGATTATATATTGAATAATAACCTCCTCTTCAATTTTAGTAATTTTATACTGTTTTTGACGATATTCAAAGGCAGGAGTGATCCTTTTCATTCTATGCATAAGTATTGTATAAGTAATATTGTAAATCTTGACAGCTTTTCAGAGGCTTAAATTTTTATCTTTAGCTATTGCCTCTATCGCCATAACGATATCGTATTTATTTAATGTCGATACCATAATTATTTATTGATAAATCGCGTATTGAAGTGATTGATGTGAATTGAGGTGAAAGTGGTACATGAGGTGATATGGTGTATAGGGTGATGAAACACGTTATTAAGATTCATAATCTTTGTAAAGCAAATAAAGTATTTAGTAAATGTTAAAGAGCTAGAAAAGTTTTAATACAAAAAGAAGAAATATTTTCAATAAATGATGAATATAATATATTAAAACAAGAAAATGTAGAAGATCAGATATAATATAATGAATATATAAATAATAATTCTTCAACAAGAAAGCAAACTACTTATTACGACAGGCTACACAACTACCAAGACACATGATCACAAATGATCAATAGTGATCATTAAGGATCACTAAAGATCACGGTATAGGTGATCATTGATGATCATTAAGGATCACTAAGGATCACTAAGGATCACAATATAGATGATCACTAATAATCAGTAATGATCATTAAGGATCATTAAGGATCATAGTATAGATGATCACTAATGATCATTAAGGATCACTAAGGATCACGATATAGATGATCACTAATGATCATGAAGGATCACTAGTAATCATGAAAGCATGAAGAACTATATAATCAAGATGGATGTGACGGAAAAGTCGTAAACGGAGTCAATTCAATCACTTAGAATCTAAAACTAAAGAACTAAGAAGATTCTAAGTAAGAAGGTCTTTATATACAGGGCTAGTGCACATAAGCCACTAATGGGTAACAACCGTCACGTAACACAAGGACAGATTTATTTTTCCAATTAGTATACCGAAACCGATTTTCCTGCAGATTGGGTTATTAAACCTATTTCCAATAGATGGATAAATAATGAAAGTAGGTTTAGAATAATTGAAACACTTCAATAAGCATATTCT